GACGTATGTTGAAGCCATTGACCTTGAAATCCAGCCCGGCACCCAAAGAGGTGAACCGTTGTGTTACACAACGCATGGAGTGGGCGAAGGCTGACCTCCGTTCCTCCATGGTGGAGGCTGATGTGCCTGACAGGTGGAAGGAGAAGCGAGAACGCTCCTCCCTCCTGTCTGTGATGACAAGGCCAGTGTGGTGCTGAACGCGTCCCGAGTTGCAGGTGTGACACCTGACAGTACACTGTCAGCAGTCGCTGTTTTGTTAACGTTAGATCTAAAAGCTGCTGTTAACGTTACGCATGCCGTTCGTCATTCAGATGATCCAAAATGCATGCATGCCTCCAAAATCAGCCTAAAAATACAAGTGTCCTCCCGACTGTGGGGTGGCAGGAAGTGGCCGGTGGAGAAGCTGTCCTGCGTCGTGTGGTGGGCGGGCGAGCTGGCTGCCCAGGCTCCGTGGCAGGGTGCGTTGTGATGGTGACCCTGGTTCTCGTCACTCTGCGCGTCACACAACTTCTTGCTCCAGCTTCTGTTGCAGGTTCTGGATGCTTCTCTAGCACCAGTCTCGAGCCATCCTGAAGGTGATTGTCTTGGAAGTGGTGTCTGTGATACCAGGCAAGTGGTAGTACCCGGTGATTTTCATTTTCAGTAGTTAAATCGCTAATTTTGAACTCTTTGGGTAGTGACACAAACATAGAAGTTAATCTCAGGTCATAACTTAATGCACACATTCATCTGTGTATGGAACGGAAATGAAGGCTTCTCAAGACATGAGACACTGATGCTTTCTCTCCTCTTAAATTTAATTTTAAAAAAAGGGATTGCACGAAAATGAATCTTGATGTGAATGGAAGGGGAGAGGGAGTGGGAAAGGGGAGGGTTGTGGGTGGGAGGGACGGTATGGGGGGGGAAGCCATTGTAATCCATGGAAATTTATATTTATTAAATAAAAGATAAAAAAAAAAAAAGGATTGCCGCTCATGGCGTACAAAGGCTTGGGGTGTAGCTGCCGCGTGCCACGTGGGTGGTCTGCAGCACCTTTCCTGGTGGCCCTCCTGACCCCAGCGTGACCTGCGGGCACCCCTCCCTCGCCTCTGGTGCTTTTCTCCCCACACAGTCCCCTCCCACCCTTGCAGCTTCAGGGGGAAGTTCTCATCGCACCTGAGCATGACGGTAACCTTCATCTTCATCTGAAAAGTACTCTGGGTGTACTTTCTGGCCTAAAAATAAAGTGAGGACCCCATCAGTCTAAAAAAACTTATATCCTTAGGATCAAGAGAAAGGGATGGGCAAATGTGAAGGGGGGACGGGAAGGCCCCTCAAAACAGTGTCAGGGTGACTGGGATCAAAGTCTCAGCTCCCTGCTGAGATGCACCCCAAGCAGTGTCTGGTGATGGCTTCAATAGTTGGGTCCTGGAGACCCATACTGAGCTCGAGGTTCTTGGCTTTGGCCTGACCCAGCTTCAGTTCTTGCGAGCACTTGGGAACTAAACCAGCAGGTGAAAGGTCTCTCTATGCCTTTCAAATAAAAATATACATATATATTAGGATAATGTATTTTTGAATGAGCCTGTTTGGGTTTTGGCATGGGTGTGTTCTGTGAGAAGCGGAGTCGCCTGTGCTTTGTGAGGGCCAGTGAAGCCTGGCATCCTGACCCGGGCCCCCAGGGAGCGGGGGAAGTGCCCAGGGGCCAGGGAAGGTTGCACTGGTGCTATTGCAATGGTCCCCGGGCTTCAGGTCACGATGGCGTTGGCACATGGTGGCAGCATACCCCTGTACGAACACGGTGCACTCTCTCATCCCCTTTTTTCTTTATTTAAAAAAGAATTGTTATTTTTAACAGAGGGACGCGGGCGGTAGTTGAACGGTGTCTGGTGAGCAAGCTCTGGGAGAGACAGTGTCGGATCTGTGTGTTCATTTCACTTTCCCAATAAAGGAATAAGAATTTTTGTCTCACCCAATACGACACATGTTAGGGGCCATTCCACATTGTCGTTTCGTTAGAAAAGTGTCTGTTGGCTTGTCAGAGGGTGGATTTATGTCATTACTTACCTGCACATCTCCAGCCAGGAGAACAGCGTGGCAGGTGATGGAGATGGAAATTGACAGCATTTGGCAACTTAAAAATAGCCACAAGAAATGCCGATATGCACAGTGTGAGTTGGAATTAATTCAGTTTTCACAGGCTCTTGTAGTTAACACACTGTTTAATGGAAATAGTTTGGTAATGGAAATCACTAAACCTTGGTTTGATTAACGTGTGTTTATACCTTGGTGTAAGAAGCCACTCTGGGCAGTGACAGGCTCCAGATACTGTGACGGCAAAATCGCCGTTTCTCTAGGGCCCCATGTGGGGCCCCTTCCTGGCTGTCGCACAGAGGTGTCCCTGCGAACTCCTCTCCTGCTCCTCCTCTCGACAGGGGGCACCAGGAGAGCTGGGATGTTTGCAACCAGCCTCATCTTCCCTAGAGGAGTGAGGCGCAAGTGTACACCAGGTCGCTTGGGCTCATAGCTGGGGGAGCTGTGTGCCTGATTCCTGTTGTGAGGAATGATCCTGTTTCCATCTCGATGGAAACCAGTAAAATCCTGCTGTTCCTCCACGGGTGAGGTTGCTTAGTCTCTGGCTGTTGAAGAGAGTTAGGGTGTGTGTGTGTGTGTGTGTGTATGTGTGTATGTGTGTATGAGAGAGAGAGAGAGGTTAGTCTTAGGCTGTTGCAGAGATTAGGTTGTGTGTGTGCATGTGTGTGTAATCAGGAACCTTCATACAAGTGAAGTGTTCCCAGGACACTGTTTTGTTTGAGAGGGGCAGTTGGGGCAGAAGGTGGGGTTGAAGGTGACAGATCAAACAAGCGTTTGACCAGAACCTTCCAAGTCTGCCTGTCTGTGTCACTATCAGAAGCCCTCCCCGTTTGCACCGTCAAGAGCCCAGGAAAGCTCTGAGCTGGCACCCAGCCCACCTCCCTGCCAGTTGCTGAGATGCAGTCCAAAGTCTGGGGTGAGAGCAGGCTCTGGCCCAGCCAGCAGCCTTGCACAGGGCACACCGCGCCCAGGTTGCCCACCAGTGAGAGGGGCGGAATAATTGCACCTGCTGCTACAGCAACGCTTGCTGTGAGGTCTGGCTGCACCCTGGCACAGCCTGAGCAGGGTGAGCCCCGGGGGAGGGAGGCCTCGCCACCAATAGTGTTGGGCGCCTGTCTGCTAGGGTCGGGGCAAAGCTTAACCCTTCTTGTTGGCTTTGAACGCCCAATCTCCCCAGCAACACAGCACAGACACACGGGCTTTGCAGATTGTTGCTAAAGCGCCCCTTGGTTAGTGACGCATGAGTAGCCTTTCAGAGAGTGCGGGCTGTGAAACAGCTTTGAGTGAGGTTGTCTCCTCCAGGTGGCATCCTGTGCCCTTTCCCCTCCAGAGGAGGAGCGAGGGCGTGGGGTGGTGAAATCTGCTCGCATTAGGGAGACACACGATCTGTGGTCAGTATTCGGCAAAATTGCATTTTGGGGGATGGTACAGTTAGTTGACCTTCGCACTTGCTTAAAAAGTCTCAGGAAACGCAGCAGCTGGAGAATGAGCAGGCTCACCACGACTTCCTTGCGTGGCTGTCGCAGGTGTGAGTCCTGGGGAATGGGCCAGCTCTCAGCCAGTCGAGGGAGCTGCCCACAGGGACACAGAGAGCTTATGGGCACCTGCCTTTGACAGCCTCGTGCTAGGGCAGGTGTCTCCAGGTTGGGTGGCAGCAGCGATAGCCGAGCAGATGAAAGAACTGCGCCACCCGCTGGAGGGACCGGGCCTGGTGTCCTCTCGGACGCACTCGGCCAGCGGTGACGCACCGCTCTCCAGTCAATCAAATCGTTACCTAAAGGGACACTTCTCAGCCTGAACCAATCACGCCAGTCCTGTTCCTGTTCGGCGGCTGCTCCTCTGTACGTGGGAGAAGAGACAGATTTTCAGATACATTTGGAAAGTCGTGTTTGTGCATTAGGAAACTTCCCAGGAAAGCAGCAGAGACCAGGGTTCCCACTGAGCAGACGCTGGAACTCACGTTTTGGCTTTTCCTTAGCTAACCGTGGGACACGTCTGAGCACACCGAGGGCTTTCCAGCTGTTAGGGGCTTGCAGTGTGGTGGAAGCAGCTGCATATACCGTATGAGGGCGGCAAGGGTCGTTCTGATTGGCAGCTGGGGGCATGCAAGCCTCAGAGGCCAGGCCACAAGCACTGGGTGAGCAGGACATGGTGTGAACAAGGCCTGGCGGACACCCCGGGGGCCAGGCCAGTGCCCTGAGTCACGGCTTCCCAGGTGACTCCCCAGGGGCCAGGCCAGTGCCCTGGGTCACGGCTTCCCAGGTGACTACCAAATCTAAGAAGGGACTTGTGCGTGTCTCCAAGTGAGTTCCATGTGGGTCCTCGTAAAGCCAGGAAAACGGGAGCTGGGGCGTGGGGATAGGGGGTGGGCCCGGGGTGTCCAGGGATTGCAGGACCCAGGCCCAGGGGGAGGGCACTGCAGCAGTGTGTTCGTCGGATGGACGAGGCTTTGTTTAACGTGTACGCTGATAGCCGGCCCGGTCACCTTCCTTGAACTGGCCGCCCTCAGGGACTCCGGTCACCTTCCTTGGACTGGCCGCCCTCAGGGACTCGTGAGCTTACAGCACTGTGTCAGTACGTCCCTGTGAGACGTTCCAGCAGTCTGTACCGTCTCTTCTTTACGCGGGCCAGCTCTGCCTCCAGCCCTCAGTGGCCCTGCATGTGTGTCCCCTGGCTGGGCACACACCCTCAACTCCAGATGACTCCTTGCCACTCTGTGCGGGAGTGGAAGTCAGCCAGGGTCTCAGACAGCAGAGGACCCTATGCATGAGCCCTACACCTCGCCTGGGCCTCCTGCCTTCCACCCTCCCCAGTGCCACCAGGCTCAGCCCCTGGGCCTTTGTCTGTTTGGAACGGAACATCGATAAGAGATGCTGGCCGTTCAAGAGTAGTGGAGGCATTAACTCTCTCTGTTCTCTTCTCAACAGACGCGAGACGACTTCCTGGGCCAGGTGGACGTGCCCCTCAGCCACCTTCCGGTAAGGACAGCTTCGTGCTGAGGTGCCTGCTGTGGGCGCCTGCACAGTGCAGAGGCGGAAATGGAGATTGCATACTCTGGCCCTGCCTCCTTTCTAGAAAGTTCTCTCAAGGGGTAGCGGGTGACTTTCATCAGGGGCCTCTGGATCCTCTGAGCATTGTGTCATGGTCACCAGCCCTGCCCTTCCACTCTTCAGCTGCTCGACCTCTGAGCACCTCGCCTTACAAAGCGCCCGTGTATCCTGTGGGCCCCTCTTGCTGTCTGCACACCTGTGCCTCGAGTTCACCGTGCAGCCTAACTAGGTGTGGGCTGCCCTCAGGTGTGCGAGCCCATGCAGCTCTGTGTGAGCTAGTGCACCCCAGGCTTTGGTTTCTGGCTGTGTCGCTCCCAGTGGAGACAGGAGGGGCACGGTTGTTCTGAGGGAGCTTTTCGGGCTGCACGCGCCACCCTGGCCTCAGCCAGCCAGCGTGTGAGGGTGCCACATTTGCTCCGCCAAGGCTGTTGACTGCTCACTGAGGCTAGCCTGAGACACAAGGCAGCATGGAGAGGTGAGCCTCAGGAGGTTGCCTGCTGGGGCTTCTCCCTGTCCTTCCAGGCCTTCCGTCTCGGCTGGGTCCTCTGGTGGTACTCTTCCAGTCATGGCCCTGATCCTCTGGTTGGCCCCTTCTTTAAGGAATGGCCGCAGCCTCCCTTTTCCCTAACAGAGAAACCACATCTTGGCCAAGGGAAGTCGCTGCACGCTCTAAGAGGCTGGAGTGAATGTTTAAACAACTTGCTCCAAGAAGCCCTTGTTTGTTTGCGTGATTTAGTGCTCGTGGTTTTCGGAGGCTGGACAGGGCATACAGAGGCATACAGAGAAAGGAAGAACGCTCTTTTTTTTTTTTTTTTTAAAGATTTATTTTATTTATTTGAAAGACTGAGTTACAGAGAGAGAGGTCTTCCATCCGCTGCTTTCCCAGATGGCCGCAATGGCCAGAGCTGTGCCAATCTGAAGCCAGGAGCCAGGAGGAGCCAAGAGCTTCTTCCAGGTCTCCCATGTGGGTGCAGGGACCCAAGGACTTGGGCCATCTTGCACTACTTTCCCAGGCCATAGCAGAGAGCTGGGTTGGAAGAGGAGCAGCTGGGACTAGAACCAGCACCCATATAGGATGCCAGTGCTTCAGGCCAGGGTGTTAATGCACTGCACCACAGCCCGGCCCCAAAGAATGCTCTTCTTCAGAGACCAAGTCAGTAGCACCAATAGTCCAGCTTGGGATTCCGGGTGGAGGCACTGATGAGCTTTCAGGGAAGGAAGTGAGGGTGCTGAGGCTTGGGTCTGCCCTGGAGAGCAGCAGATTCAAGAGGGAGGGACAGTGGACGCCTGGAGAGGGACCAGGTTCTTTACCGTGAGCTGACTCAGCCCTGCAGCTGCCAAGAGAGTAGTTTGCCTTGGAGCACCATAGTCCCATGCTTCAAATGGCCTTTAAATAAATAAACTTTTAAAGGAGTTAGAAATGAGGAGACAAGAGAGAGAGCCATTTGCTGGTTCGCTTCCCAGATGGCTGCAACAGCCAGCCCTGGGCCAGGCCAGAGCCAGGAGCTTCATCCGATCTCCCTTGTGGGTGGCAGGGTCCCCAACATCTGGGGCATCTTCTGCTTTTCCCAGGCCCTTAGCAGGGAGCTGGATGGGAGTAGAGCGGCCGGGACACAAACTGGTGCCTCCATGGGGTGTCGGCCTCACAGGCTCCTGAGCCAGCTCCCTGCCGATGCACCTGGGAACGTACCAGAAGATGGCCCAAGTGCTTGGGAGATGCAGATGGAGCGCCAGGCCTAGCCCAGACCGGGCCCAGCCATTGTAGCCATTGGAGAGTGAACCAGTGGTGGGAAGATGTTTTTCTGTTTCTCTCTCTCTCTAAAACACTCTTTCAAATAAATAAATCTTCACAAGATACACATATGTTAAAGACTATACAAAGACTGTTTATGTAATAGGAAATGGCTCTGAAATTTGGAATCCTCGAACTCAGGCTGCAAAGATGTAATCTGTCACTACATTTCTGACCTGTGTTGGTATTAGCAAAACAATTGCCTTTCTCTCCATGGTGACATAAACCAGGACTGAGGCATTATCTTATTGCTCAAGATATTATGAACCTTTATTCTTTAAACAAACAAACAAAATATCCCTGCCTCCACTGTGGTCTGCAGGAGTTGCCACATTGAACTTAGCGTCAACTCCCATGGGTGCTGGGAAATGATTTTAGTAATACTGTGTGGTTTTCACGTGTGTGTGTATATGTATGTATGTTTGGGAAGAAAACGTTATGGCCCTCGTAATGGATGTTTGCAGAAGAACCTTCGTCTTTTGGAGTCCTGTGGACTCTCCGTGGCCCCCTGCCAAGAGCTGGGCACCTGGATTCATCAGGCGCCCTTCTGGCTGTGTGGGTCATTGTGCGTTGAGTCCACATTGGTCCCCTGCCAGGGAGGCCGGCGAAGGAGGCCCTGGGCACAGAGAGGCAGGACGGAAGGGGCGTTGGGAGCCAGGCGTTCCGCATGGTAGAAAGTCCCCACCTCAGTCGCCGACTGCAGTGGCCGGGCAGGCAGGTGCCAGCTGCACCCTCGTCCCCTGGGCAGGCGAGAGGGAAGGCGTGGTGAGGGGGAAAGGATCTCCTCCCCCGGCTGTGATCGGGGACTCCGTGCACCGCGTTCAGCAGTGCTTCGGGGGGAAGGAGCGTCCTCTTAGAATTCTGTTCCGCTTGCATTCCCAGCGCCGACATGGTCCTCCCGCGTCATCTGGGGAGGTTAAAGGGATATGTAGGACCTAGGGAGTCTCAGAATGGTGGGCCTGCATCTCTGCCCCTGTTCCCACGGGGCTGCCCCCCTCTGCTCTTTCTCTTCCATTTCAGTTCTGGAAAGCGGACTGAGTAGGAGGAGGATGGACCAGGGGAGTGCACATCAGGTTCAGGATGGGTCAGAGAATTAAGAAAACACAATTCGTGCTCCCAGAAGTCTCAGCGGGGCAGGCTTTAGGCCTGGCGGTTAAGATGCCATCAGAGAGCCTGGGTTCAATACCCAGCTCGGCTCTGATTCCAGCTTCCTGCTGATGCAGACCCCGGGAGGGTGCAGCGATGAGTCCGCAGCAGGTGGCTCCCTGCCACCCACGTTGGAGACCAGGTCGGGTTCCAGGCTCCGGGCTTCAGCCACCCAGGTGTGGCAGGCGCTGGGGGTGTAAACCAAGGGTGGGAGCCCTGTCTCTGTATCTCTAAGTTCTTAAGAAATCGATTAAAAAAAGAAAATGTATAAAAAATAAAAAAGAAAATCTCAGCTCCTTCCATTAAAAAAGAAGAAGTAGTTGTCTGAGAAGATGAAACCTTCTCAGGAGTTGTTGGCGTCCATCTAGGAGATGGGAGAGCTGCCGGGTAACCCTAATCGAGGTAGTCTTCCTTCCTGTGTTCTCCCTGTAAAAGGAGCGTGTCCTTGTAGACGGGAACCAGGTTTCCATCCGGCTCTGCCATGCGAGATCCCGCTGGTTCCATCCACAGTGTTCACTGGGACCCCCGCCCCGGGGCAGGGGGGCTGTGGCGGGATGAGGCCGTGGGGGTCTGTGACACAAGAGGCTCGCTGGGCCCCTCCAGCTTCCTCCTCTGCTGCTTCTGTCTCATCACCACGAGCAGACCCAATTGTAACTGCACTGGCTGATTTTTTTTAAGATTTATTTATTTGAAAGAGCTACGGGGGGGTGGGGGGTCTTCCATCTGCTGGTTCACTCCCCAATTGGCCACAATGGCCAGAGCTGCACCAATCCGAAGTCAGGAGCTTCTTCCAGGTCTCCCACGTGGGTGCAGGGGCCCAAGGACTTGGGCCTTCTTCCACTGCTTTCCCAGGCCATAGCAGAGAGCTGGATTGGAAGTGGAGCAGCCAGGACTCAAACTGGCGCCCACATGGGATGCTGCCCCTTCAGACCAGGGCTTTAACCTGCTGCGCCACAGTGCCAGCCCCAGCACTGGTTGATTTTTAAATCGCCATTTTCTCATTTGTTAAATTCAGTGCATTGTTCTGCAGTGTTTGGTGATTTCTGTCCACCGATCGTTTAGACTTTGACTTGTCTGAACAAAACAAATGCAATTCCTGGCAGGTGTTTGCCTAGGACGCCTCCGAAGGTAGTCTCACCTCTTCCTTGGTCTTCCTCTCCCCTGCCCGGTGCTCCACCCCTGCCCACCTACAGAGTCTGCATCGGTGGCTGGTACCCTGCAGTAGAGAGCCATTTTGGTGACATTAATGTCTTCGATTGCAGGCCAGTGCTACTTAAGACAATCATGGCTAGATTCTGAATCTCCGTTTACCCAGAGTGAGGCATTCGCAGCGTGATGGTGCTGGGTGCCTTAACGGTACTGGAAGACAATTCCAGGAGGCCAGCAGCTTTATTTCACTCTGTTGTGTTGGTGGCCGGAGGCAGGGTCATAGCTCCTCCTCTGTGTGCAGAATTCAGCATCAGGGAGCTTGGAGGGACATTAGAGACCTTTGTCCACCCCTGGCATTATCCAGGGAGGGGAGGAGTCCGGAGTTCAGGGAGAAAGTGACTGCCCAGCATTTAGCCGGACTCAGCCCTGTGTCCCGGCATCTGTGTGTGCCTTGTACGGTCAGCTGTGTGGGGGACACTGAGCCTGGACTTTGGGTGCAGCCAGGTGTTGGGTTTGGGGAGTCTGAGAAGCCCTCCCCTTCTGTTTGCTCACAGAATCGTTGATCTCAGTCCTTGTCCTGGTGACCGCCCTCTCTTGAGTTGAATGCTGTGTATCCAAAACATTTGCTTTGGAATGCTCGTTTTGGCCGGCAGTTTGCTTGAGCTGAAATCCCACCAGGAACCCCTCCTGTGCCATTCTGGGAGCCTCCACCTGGCTCTTCTTCAGAGAAATGACCATGTTGAAGTTGGGTAAAGGCTAAGAAGGATCTCGTGTTAGCCCCAAGGCCATTGCCCTGTTCGGGCTCGAGTGCCGCACAGGACTGGTGTCATGCGTAATGCCCTGCCATTTATCACGTGCCACTGAGTCGGCAACGGTAACCACGAGAGACGAGCAAGTGTGGGCCTGGCCGAAGATGGTAATGGGCGCTGGGTCTCTGCAATCCCGAGGACCCTTTAGGCCTTGTCCCCGCTGTTCCCTTCCCTGCAGTTGTCCACCTGCAAGAACCTCCTGGTCATCCTGTGTGGGACCACATATCCGGAAACAGTGTGACCCCCCCAGGTCAGAGGCAGTGTCTCCCCACCCCAGGTCTCCCACGTGTGACCTCCGTATGTCGCTGCACTTGCCTGCTGTGATGCTAGTAGCCCCTCCCACGCAGCCACAGGTATTTCACATGATGTTGCTTTTACTAAACCTATTTGTTGGCCAAATATTAAAAAAAGAAATAATAGCAGTAGTGTTCATCATTGATAAAATTTCCATTATAATGCATTTTTAAATCGAAGCTATGTCCCGACTCTTTATTTCGTCACCATGGTGAGAGCAGTCTGGTGTGTTTTCAGGGCCTTGAGGTTTACTGTAGATTGCACTGGTCAGTCAGCTGCCCAGGAGAGCCTGCTCTAGCGCCAGGCAGTGTCATTGGCACCAGCAATACATTGGGGAACGGATTAGACTCTGACCTCGTGGGCGTACGTTCTGGAAGTACAGGGTAGGAGGACTCGTCAGTGAGACGTGAACAGGACGATGTCAGAGGGCGATAAAGAGGAGATAGAGCAGGGTGGTGAGGGTGATAAGTGGGCCTAGCGGTAGCCACTTAGGACAGCAGCTCGGCACATGTGGCCCGGGATCACAGACCTCAGTGGCGAAGTGGAGCCCACTGTGGTCCAGTCTGGGGGCACCTGCCAGAGCCTGGGCCTGGACCCTGCAGCACGGTTACATGTGTAACATGTGTGTTACATGCTACATATGAGGCGGAGGTCAGAGAACAGAGACTGGTTCATATAATGATGTCAAAAAAGTCGGATCATATTTGACTTTGTAGGGCACAGGAAAGAATTTTCATTTTATTCCAAGAGCAGGAAGCCGTTGGGAATTTAGGAATGACAAAGCCAGGTAGCATACATGTGTATATACCCACCTGATCAGTAAATTGCCATAACAGTATTTTATTGTATTGCGGTTTATCTCTCTTGCCACAGAAGTAAATACTTTAAATTGTATTTAATTGAAGGGTCTAGTTGCTGGAGGTCTTACAATATCAAGTACTTAAAATTAATAGGAACACTTACTTTCCCAGTTTCGCTTTGTTAGGCCAACCAGCTTTGCATAATGAAGCATGAATACCGATTTCTTTTCACGTGGGCGAATATCCCGGTTACGCTCCCAGCTTTGTGACTAAGCCGCGTTTGAAGGCTGAGGGTGGCACTTTCTGGGGCGGTCTCTGCAGGCGATCGGCTTTCCACTGTGTTCCCGTGGTGGCCTGGTGCTCTGGTGGGGAAAGTGTCCTCCTCACAGGTGCGATGCTGTTAGCTGCACGTCGGGTTCCTTGAGCCATGAGATAACAGGGCACCAGTGATCACTGATTCCAAAGCTAATCAGCTCTGTGAGACCCAGGCTGCACCCTGCAGTTAGAAATTACCCTTGGCAGTGGCCACTGTAATTTTGTCATTTGTCCTCCGCTGGGGTTGGCTCCTAACCCGATGGGGACAGTGACACCTAGTGGATCTTACGTAGGCAAGGCCCCACCGAGGCACCAGCTCACGTTTCACCCTTGCCGGGGCCTAAGATGTGAAAACGGGGACCGCTGTTACAGTGCAGCAGGTTAAGCTGTGCCGGCCCTGCCAGCTTCCCACAGGAGCTCTGGGTCAAGTTCCAGCTGCTCCACTTCCAATCCAGCTTCCTGCTAACATGCCTGGGAAAGCAGTGGAGGGGGGCCTGAGTACTTAGGCTGCCCGCCCACCCTCGTGGGAGACCCAGATGGACTTCAGGCTCAGCCGTTTGCGTACAGAAGAGATCCTCTGTCCCGCCTTCTCTCTCTGTAACTCTGCCTTTCAAATAAATAACATAAATCTTTAAAAAGATGCAAAAATGTATTCCCTGCCATCCCATCAGGTGTATCTAAAATATGAAGTTACCAGGAGCACTGAAACTTGACTGAATTTTTCTTCCTGCAGACAGAAGACCCAACCATGGAGCGACCCTACACGTTTAAGGACTTTCTGCTCAGGCCGAGGAGGTGAGACATGGCGGGTGTGGGAGGCCCGGAGCGCGGCGCCAGCGGTCACGTTACACACAGAGCAGGAAGCCACGTTGTTTGCTCTCTGACCACTTCTCTCCCACTGTGCAGCCACAAATCCCGTGTGAAGGGGTTCCTGCGGCTCAAAATGGCTTACATGCCCAAAAACGGGGCCCAAGACGAGGAGAACAGCGAGCCCAGGGACGACATGGAGGTACGTGGGCGCGGGGCCCCTGTTCCCGTGGCCGTGGGTGAAGTTTCAGCGTTGAACAGTCGGGGCCCCTGCCTGGGAGTGTGGCCCTGAGAACCCGTTCTGAGTCTGTCCTGGTAGAAAAGGTGAAGCTTGTGTCGTCCCCTAGAACCCAAGTGTCCGGGGAGGCCCGTGTGCACAGAGCAGTGGGCGTGGCCCGCGGAGCTCCTTCTAGAACTTGGAGCTGCTTCAGCTCGGATGACGCGATGTTGAGTCTCCCAGGTCTCTTACTCAGGTGGCCAACAGGGGGCGGCAGGCGTCGGAAAAGTCCTGTAGAAAGGCCGTCTTGGAATGAGCTGTCCAGAGGGCATTCCTGTTCTTGCTCCCGTACCACCTTCTTGGCACCCACCCCACGGGTGCTGGTGGGGCAGCCACATCCTCACGTGGTTCTGCCAGTGTCCTTACCTGGGGTATATTCAGATGGGGCACGTGAAGCCATTGCCCGTGCGCAGTGGAGCCGGGCGGAGGGATACCCGCCCCACGCCGTGCCTGTCCTTTGCTTACGGCTCAGGAAGCACCGTCCTCAACTCCGTGTGACTTTCTCCCACAGCATGGGTGGGAAGTGGTCGACTCCAACGATTCAGCCTCTCAGCACCAGGAGGAGCTGCCGCCCCCGCCTCTGCCCCCCGGGTGGGAGGAAAAAGTGGACAATTTAGGCCGAACGTACTACGTCAACCACAACAACCGCACCACGCAGTGGCACCGACCAAGCTTGATGTGAGTATCCCGGGCCGTCAGGGCTGCGCCAGCAGGCTCCACAAGCGGGCTCCGCAGGGGAGGCTCGCCCGGGCCACTCCCGGGACAGGAGAGGAGCGTGCCCTCGGTGAGAGCCGGTGGTGGCCTCGTGCACGAAGTCTCTGCCTCCATGAAGAGTGTGACGGCAGACCGGTCGTCCTGTGCGGAGGGCGGCTGGAGGGCTCTTGCCTCTGCTTGGGTGCTGCCGTGTTCAGCGTGAGCTCCTGCACTCCGTGTGTGTCTTGATCTTGAGCGTTCCTGATGCAAAAAAGCAGAGGGCTTTCCCCTTGATCTCATGTTGTGCGGCCTCATTGCCTCCCTCCTCTTCCACCTCCTCTCCCAACTGACCCACAGTGGAAAACAGCAAGCAAACTGGCTTTGCCCTTCTGTGTTTTCTTTTAAATTCTTGGATTTTTAAACTTCTTTTAATTATTTAAATTGGAAACCCTCTGAAAAACTCTTCTGGGGAAATTTAGACATTACCCCCGGGATTTAAGTAGAAACACATGGGAGGGCTGCACAGTCAGGATCAGTAATTACTGTTGATTTTGATTCCTCAACAGCCTCAGAGATGCAGCAAACCAATTACTGTTTTGTTCCCTCTGCAATTTTGCGTTTGATGACAGTAAATAAACACTAGTTAAACCTCAGCTTACAAGAAGCAGCTTGTGAAATGATGTACGCGAAGACCGAAAGCTGTTGACCTACAGCAAAGGACAACAACCACGAATTAGGGTCAAAGGAACGTTGTTCCAGACGTTCTGGGCGCCCTCACAGTTCGCAGTGAATTCTGCAGTTTTCAGTGTGTTGTGACAGTGCATGTGAGGCGACAAGATGGGTCTTCACCTGAGACTCTGAAGGAAATTGGCTAGTGATGCTCTTTTATTTTGGAGACAGAGAGAAAGAGAACACTGACATGGACTGTTCACTCCCCAAATGTCCACGGCAATCAGGGCTGGGCGGGGGCCAAGGATGGAAGCCAGGAACACAGTCCAGGTCTCCCCCATGTGTGGTTGGGACCCAATTGCTTGAGCCATCATCTGCTGCCTCTCGGGGTACACACATTAGTGGGGAGCTGGACTGAAAACAGGAGAGCCAGAACTCAAACCAGGCAGCCTTATGGAGGGTGCAGGTGCCCCACGCAATGGCTTAACCTCTGTGCCACACACCAAACCCTAGTGATGCTTTTTAAAAAGTGGTATTTGGCCGGCGCCGCGGCTCACTAGGCTAATCCTCCACCTCGCGGCACCGGCACACCGGGTTCTAGTCCCGGTTGGGACGCCGGATTCTGTCCTGGTTGCCCCTCTTCCAGTCCAGCTCTCTGCTGTGGCCTGGGAGTGCAGTGGAGGATGGCCCAAGTACTTGGGCCCTGCACCCCATGGGAGACCAGGAGAAGCACCTGGCTCCTGCCATCGGATCAGCATGGTGCTCCGGCCGCGGCGGCCATTGGAGGGTGAACCAACGGCAAAGGAAGACCTTTCTCTCTGTCTCTCTCTCTCACTGTCCACTCTGCCTATCAAAAAAAAAAAAAAAAGTGGTATTTGGAGGTGAGCATTGGCCTGGCAGTCAAGACACCTGCATCCCCAGTGGAGAACCTGCATTGGAATACCTGGGTTCAAGCCTTGGCTACATTTCCTATTCCAGCTTCCCACCAGCGTGCGCCCTGGGAGGCAGCAGGTAATGGTGCACATAGCTGGGTCCCTGCTCCCTGTGTGGGAGATCTGAACTGAGGTCCCGACTCCCAGCTTTAGCCTGCGCCAGCCCCAGCTGTTGTGGGCATGTGAGGAGTGAACCAGTGGGTGGAAGGTCTGTCTCTGACTCAAATAATAAAATATAAAATGAAATGAGAAGTGCTGTGAGTTAAGTAGCACGTTGGCTGATATTCTTAAACGCCTCCCCCTTTTTCTAAGATGTGACAGAGATGTTCTGCATGTGACTGTGGCTGGGCAGAGTGGTGAGTCGGCTGGTCTAGGTTTAGAGAGGGAAAGCTTGCAGAATTGGGAGCAACAAATGGCCCATCCTCCAGAGGCCCTTAGTGGGTTCTCTTTTTTTTCTATTAATTAATTAATTTATTTGAAAGGCAGAGTTACACAGATACAAAGGCAGAAAGAGAGAGAGAGGTCTTCCATCCACTGGTTCACTCCCCAAATGGCAGCAATAGCCAGAGCCAGGAGCCAGGAGCTTCTTCTGTGTCTCCCATGCGGGTGCAGGGGCCCAAAGACCTGGGCCACTTTCCACTGCTTTCCCAGGCCATAGCAGAGAGCTAGGTCAGAAGTGGAGCAGCCGGGACTTGAACTGGCACCCATATGGGATGCCAGCACTTCAGGCAGCGGCTTTTCCCGCGACACCACAGCACTGGCCCCACGTGGCTTCTCTGGACTATCACCTGTCCTCCATCAGCTTTTGGCTGCCCAGCAGGGGACAGCAGAAATACCAGAACGTGTGTGTGTGACACTGAGCTCTTCTTGGTAATCATTTTTTTCTCCGAGAAGTGTGAGTGACAAATAGTTTAGCTGGTTCAATGTGTTTGCTTACTTACTTGTACTGTTTGGCTTAGATCAGTGACCACAACTACTAAAACTGGCACGAGCTGTCCAGTGGTGCAGCTGATCTGTAGAAGTGACTTTGGACCCACCTTGGGCTTGGTTGGGTGAAGTGATCTGAGGAGTCTTGGCAGCAGGACCCTAGCAGAGCACCATTGTCTGCCTCGGCTGGATAGCATCGGAAAGGGGCAGTAGCGCTCGGTGGTGACCACAGTCCATTGTGACCCCTGTAGAAAACTGACCAGAGTGGCTCATGAATAAGCCACACTCACGTACCTGGGAAAATGTTCAGCCTCATTAATAGGTGCTATGCGAGTTGCAGTTTGCATGTTTGGCATAACTGGGGGTAATTGCTACTTTGTCTCCCAGAGTTGAGGGAACCCCTGAGACAATGTAGACACTTCACCCTGTGTCTCTAAACAGCATCTTTACGACCGCTTGGTGAGCATGTGCTTATCGCCAGACACATCAGGATGTACCTGTTGCATAACTACAGGTTCTTGTCTGTCAATCATATCTCAACAACATAGTTTTTAAAAACTCCGTCCTTGGTGTCAGTGTCTCAGAACCAAACACAACAACAGATGCTGTTCGCGTAACGCTGGCTCGTGAGCAGGTCAGAAGCAACAGGGAAAATGCAGGTCTTCATCCAGGTTCGGGCTCACACATAGCTTAGGAAGAAGCCAGTGGCGCGAGTGTCCTCACTGGTGCGGGAGGGGGCAGCACCAGAGGGGGAGGCTGAGCCAGGGAAGGTGACCCCAGAGCTCTGGGGAGAACGCGAGGGGAGGCTCCTTTGCACCGGCCCTGACTCCTAGAAAGCAAGAGGGAAGTCAGGTAGGCGAGTCTGGTTTCACAGCAGCCTCTGTATCCGCTCTGAACGTTTTGGGGTTCCTTCCCCCGAGCTGTGTCTGCCTTGGACCCTCCACAGTTATGCTCAGGAGTGGTTTTGATTCAACGATAATTTTTTTCTTGATTTAGTTTTCCCAAAATGCTGCAACACCCTTCCAAGGAAAACTGATGTTGTTAGGAAGTATCTCTATTACAGGTGTCTTTGAGGAAACAAAGAGTGCTTACCATGTGCTAAGCACAGAATTAGGATAGCCTTGGTGATTCTGCCCCCTGCCTGGTGTGCTGCAGACTTGCCTCAGGCTTCAGCCCCCCCCCCCAAAAAAAAAAAAAAAAGAGGGTGGCGCTGCCAGTAACTTGGAACGTTCTTAAAAGATCTGACTCGCCCCACTGCTCTCTGCACACAGCTCACGCAGTGGCCTGGCCATGCCCAGCTGCTTCCTGCGGACTTTGTCTGTCCCTAGGTCCTGTGCATGTTGGTACATGTTAGAACCAGGTGCCTGGAGCCTGCCCCTTCCCTGGGCTCCCCAGAAGCTGTGTGTGTCCCCTGTCCTCCACCAGCTTTGGGCTGCCCAGAAGAGACATGAGCTGGTTGGTCCTGGGACAGCAGAAATATCAGAACATGGGGGAACAACAAACTCTTCTTGGTAGTCATTTTCACCCCGAGGCCCGGAGCACATAATATGACGGTGGCCTGGGTGGCAGGGGCTGTGTTTCCTTATTCACACGTCTCCTCCTCACACCCCCCACCCCATACCTGGCACACAGTAGGGCTCAAAGAGACACATTATTTTTAAAATGATTTTATTTTTTATTTATTTATTTATTTGAGAGAGAGAGAGAGAGAGAGAGAGACAGAAAGGTCTTCCATCTTCTGGTTCACTCCCCAAATGGCTGATCAGAAACCAGGAGCCAGGAGCTTCTTCCAGGTCTCCCATGCGGGTGCAGGGGTCCAAGCACTTGGGCCATCCTCCACTGCCTTCCCAGGCCATCTAGCCCATCCATCAGAGAGCTGGATCAGAGGAGGAGCAGCTGGGACACTAGCCAGCACCCATGTGGGATGCCGGCGCTGCAGGTGGAGGCCTAGCCTACTGCCCCACAGCACCGCCCTCGAGAGGCACATTTGCAGGAGGTGGAGGACTGCACTGTGCCAGTTTCCCAGGCTCTAGGCACATGGCGTAGCGCCCTGTCTAGCCCAGTTTTAGGTCTTGACTTAGGAGTTTGGAACAGAAGGTGACCATAGAAGCTCACCAGCCTTCCCTGTCTGGTGGTGACTTTTTTTAAGATTCATTTTTTTATTTATTTGAATGACAGAGTTAGAGAGGTTTTCTATCTGCTGGTTCACTCCTCAGGTGGACGCAATGGCCGGAGCTGCGCCAGTCCAAAGCCAGGAGCCGGGAGCTTCTTCAGGGTCTCCCATGTGGGTGCAGGGGCCCAAGGACTTGGGCCATCTTCTGCTGCTTTCCCAGGCCATAGCAGAGAGTTGGATTGGAAGAGGAGCAGCCGGGGCTTGAACCAGTGCCCATAGTGCCCATATGGGATGCTGGCGCTTCAGGCCAGGGCTTTAACCCACTGTGCCACAGCACCGGCCCCTGATGGTGACTTTTAAAACACCTTTAATTTTTAGATTTGTTCTTGTATATAGATATAAACTATAAACCTTTTACTGAAAAAAAAAAAAAACACATTTTTAAAAACGTGGTGCAGAGATGACCTGATGGCATTCTGTAAATGAAGGTGAAAGCGTCGTCAGACACTGCTGGCACCCTTGTTGGCACTGCTGGCACTCCGCACGTCCTCTCCCGGCTCAGTGCCGGTTTGCTCAGGTCATCAGGATGGTCTCTCCAGGGTTGCGACTCCAAGTGCCCTCACGCACTGACCTGGCTTCAAGTCTCATTGATCGATGGCTTGCCTGTCATTTGGGTAACTGACCACGAAAGTCAAGTGAAGAGCAAGCAGGCAGGATCAGCGGCTGAGGGACAGTTAGAGAAGCCGTTGCTGGTTTCCCTGCCGAAGCCAAGCCACTCTCCCGTTGTGTTGGCTCAGGCGCATTTTTAAGTGGCCAGCTCCCGACTAGGGATCACTTAGAGTCCTAGTCAGGTCCCACAGCCCTGTCACTCACACTGCCTCCCTGTGTGGACATCCTGGGCTGTCACTGAAGCCCAGGAAAGCCCCTGCTTGGCGTTTCAGGGAGAGAGTTGCCTTGTTCCTTAGGCTGCTCGGTTGTTTCCGCTTCCCACTGATCACTAAGCGTCAGTGCGTGGTGGAGAAGGAACAAGGACAGAATCGAGCCTAAAGACACCAGCCTCCCTCCCCGCCCGCCCCAGCTTTCCCAGTCCATCGCTCTGGGGTGGTGGACTCCTGTGTCCTTCAGAAGTGTACTCGAGGCAGATGTAGTGGGATTGAAACCGTGTTCCTCCTCCGCCTTTCCAAGCCCTCGTAACAGTTCAGGTGCTGTTGAGAGTCAGGCATGTGGTGGGCATTCAGACAGTGCCGGCTGAGCGAGAGTGAATGTTTAGGAAACTCTTGGGTGGAAAACGCTGGCAGGCGCAGTGGTTGGGCCGCTGCTTGGGGTGCCTCCATCCCCTGCAGGAGTTCCGAGCTCTGAGTCCTTGCTTCACTCCCAGTTTCAGCTTTCTGCTCATGCATACCTTGAGAGACAGCAGGCGATGGCTTAGGTGGTAGTGTCCCTGGCTCCTGGCTTCAGCCTGGCCTACCCCTAGCTGTTACGGAACATGGGGAGTAGGCCAGCAGATGGGAGATTTGTGTGCATGTTCTCTCTCTCTCTCTCTCTCTCTCTCTCTCTCTTTGCTTTTCAAGTAAATAAATTTTTAGCATGTTTTCAGGTGAGGCTGATCATTATAAAGCAAAGTTGTTTTCGTCCTTAACAGAGTGAAGGAGAGAGCTGTGCAACTTGGGCTGTTTCCATACTGACGTGGTTCACGTGCTTCCTAGCGTGTCCCTGGTTGTTTGTTTTTTTTGTTTTTGTGTTTGTTTTTTTTTTGGTTGGTTGGGTGTTTTTGGTTTTTTTTTTTTGGTTCTAAGTTAACTTAACTTGCAAGCTTATAATTACTGTGTGGTTAGGAGTTGAATGTCATGTAAAACTGACCACAGCAGCATAAAATCACAGATGCGGTGTTGGGTTTTCAGACATGTCCAACAGAGCATCATCCCTTCTCGTTTTGCTTAGTGGTTTCAGAAGTCTTACAAGTGCAGTTTTTCTCTATTATAATTATCCAGGTTTTCTGAAGGTACCTCTACGTGGTGTATTGTTCTGGTCATTATATTCAATGTAACTAAGAAATATGCAGAATGTATTTTTTTTTAAGATTTCTATATCTCATTTGAAAGGCAGAGTTAGAGAAGGGAGAGAGAGATTGACATTGAGATTGACCTTCAGCTGATGGTTCACTCCCCAAAAGGCTACAACAGCCAGGGCTGGGCCAGGGCGAAGCCAGGAGCCCAGAACTCCAGCCAGGCCTCTCACGTGAGTGGCAGGGGTCGTCAGATCCCCAGTGGAGTTCGGAGGTCAGGTCCTGAAGTCACGGAAGCTGATCCTGAGATTCTGTCCAAACGAGATAGGAAGCCGCCCAGGTGCCTGGCGTGGAGTCGGGAGCGCTGCTCCCCTGACTGCCGCCTAGAACGTGCACCGCGTGTGGTCCTCGCCGGTGGCCGATGAGCAGGAGCAGCTGCTTTGGCGTTGCTGGGTCGCCGCATACGTGAGCTTGCCTGTCCTCTGCCTCCTGATGCCCGGCTTGCCTCTGTGGCGAGCAGGTGGGAGACTTCATTTCCTCTCCTTGGAGTGCATTTGGAAGCACGTGGCCTGACACAGGCTCCGGATATCATGCGTGCTGCTTTAAAATGAGCATTGGCTGCACTGAAATGCGCTTGTGCTGCTCTGGTGGCAGGATTCTGTTTGGAGAGCAGCTGAGGGCCGGTGCTGGACCCTGGGTCTGAGCGCCAGGCTGCCTGTTCTCAATACCTCTTCTCCTCCCCCGGCACCCCTCTCCCACGCCTCAGGGACGTGTCCTCCGAGTCGGACAGCAACATCCGGCAGATCAACCAGGAGGCAGCACACCGGCGCTTCCGCTCCCGCAGGCACATCAGCGAGGACCTGGAGCCGGAGCCGTCCGAGGGCGGAGAGGCCCCCGAGGTAGGCTGTCCCGGGGCGGGCATCCCACGGGCTCTGGGCTGATCTCATGCCTCGGTGGCCTGTCTCAGTGGGACTTCTCTGGCAGGTTGTGACTGTGGTCATGTAGCTGGTCAGTTGCCCGGCTGGGTGTTAATTCGGAAACTGCTTATAAAGACCACATTTGACCAACACATGTGGCCACATACCATTACAAAAGGGAATGCCATTTCTAGCCTGAAAATCTTCAGATATTTTTGCTTAATTTATTCCTCCCCAGGGTCGAACCACCTCTCACTAAGTGGCTGTGCTTATGCTAGTTGAGCAGTTCAGTGACACTGTAACTTGTTCGAACATCACACGTTTAACTGAGCCGTTTTAGTATCTGGAGAGCGATTCATCCCCAAGGAAATGCAAATCTGTGTTATTACAGATGTTTATGATTTTCCTTTTGAAAGTTCATAGAACATTTCTGGAAAAAGTACGAGTTAAACAAGTTAGCAGCGAGCTGAACTCCCATGCTGTCTGCACACCTTTGGTTCTTCCAGAAGTTCAACCTTGTTAGACCTGCTGTTGGGAAGGTCGTTCACAAAGTCATCTTACGGTGATTGAAACTGAAAAGGCAGAGTTAGCGACCCCGTGGTAAATTCACGGAAAGCTGCTGCCTAGCGGCGTGTGACCACAGCTGGCAGGGTCTTGCCTCTTCATCCAGTGCCGTGAGCAACAGAAAATCCGACGGGAACCATTTGCAAACTCCCCGGCAGTCTTATTGGTGCCCAACCATTTGCAAACTCCCCGGCAGTCTTATTGGTGCCCGTGTGTAGTAACAGGTGCTGGAAACGCATCCCTGCCACCAGTGATGGTGTGATGGCGCTTCGAGAACACAGTCCCTGGCCTCAGGGCTCCCAGGGTCTGTGTCATGGCCCTGCCACGCACTGGCCCTCCTGCCTTGGGCAGGTTGCACGCTCTGCCTCAGTTTTCTCACCTGTTAACTGGGTGGTTCCTCACTCAGGTATGTTCCTCCTGAGTGTCGAGGGCGTGTGCATCACAGTTAATTACAGTTGCTCTAAGGGTTGTCTCAAAGTAAATAAATAAGAGTTGTCCTTGTTAGGTGTTTTGGCTGGGAGTCGGGGGGGAGGATCCTGGTACCCGGCACTCACCCCACTGTCTTGTTCCTTGAAAGCCCTGGGAGACCATTTCAGAAGAAGTGAATCTGGCTGGTGACTCCCTGGGGCTTGCCGTGCCCCCGCCGCCCGCCTCCCCTGTGTCCCGGACCAGCCCCCAGGAGCTGACAGAGGAGCTGAGCAGGCGGCTTCAGGTCACTCCGGACGCCAACGGGGAGCAGTTCAGTTCCCTCATCGTAAGTAGGGGGTCTTTGAAAGGAAAGCCCAGCGATATTTTGTCATTCATTGTTGTAGGAGAATCTGGTATGCAAATCAGGACCAGGGGTCTTCCAGCTGCCAGTCAACTCTGATGTTTCCCAAAGCCCTCCTACCCCAGGGGGAGCAGAGCTGCACTAAAATTAGCCCGAGCAGGTGCGAGTCTTTCTCGCCGTGGACGGCAGCTGTGCGGTACCACCGACGCTCTCCCTTGATTTGTGAAACAGTGCAGGGGAACGGGATTTTCCACGACTTGTGTAATTATTAGCTTTAACCTTGCTGGGTTTCTTTCTGAGCCAAGAGGCTCGTGGTAGCAGTACCTTCACCCCAAGGACAGCATTTCACAGTGGGAATTAGGAGCCCTCGGCCCTCCAGCCAGTCCTATGGGGTGGGGCGTCCTGTCCCTGATTTGCACTCCCTTCTCGTAGGCATGACCACTCAGTGGCTTCTGCAAGGCCTGGATTTGAATGGGAGAAGGCAGCCTCTGAGTCCCAGAGTAGGACTCTTTGAGAAAGATCGTAGAACTGACTTGTTTTCCCAGTTGGAGAAATACTTTCCAGAATCTTCAGCTGGCACTGAGTCCCAGTGGGAAGCAGCAGAATCAAGTCCTGAGAACTGGTACTTGCGTTTGACAGTACATGGGCAGAAAGGGCCCATGGAAAATTCCTAGGAGTAAATGCAGTCCTGGTGTTTCTCAGGAAGCTAATAAAGGTAGTCACTGCGCTAAGAATGGTATCCTAGGAAAACTAATGGCATCGAATGTCAGTGATAGGAAGACTGCAGAAACCGGAAACCCAGCAGGCACTTGGAAATCATTGCTGCTTCGATTATAGTGTTTTGATTTTGAAAGGCAGCCCTGGGCCTATGGGTCACAGTGATCGCTCCGTTAATGGTGGCTTCACATTAAAATTCTGTGGATGTTCTTCACAAAGAGAAATATCGCTGAGATGTAAATGCAGTGCTAAATGGACAGGATAAAAGAGATTGCCTATATGCGATGTTTGAGTTGGTGAAACCGTTGCTATGGAAACAATGTAAGCAGTAAGACCAGACATTTAAAACCTGTAAGAGAAAGGAAGTCCCACACAAACTGTAACGATTACACCCCATTAGTCACCTAAGTGAATGATAATTTTATTCAGCATTGATATTTAGCATCCCCAGTTATTTCTATAGGGAGCCACTGCATTCAGTTTTTCTAGATGCACAAAATATCCTTCAGACCAGGATGCAAGCCGGTGTTATTTTCAGACTGTGTTCTTTGAGTCTGCCAAATGAGAGAGGTACACATGTCGGGGCCTCCCTGGATTCTCGGACTGTAGGACAACCTTGCACTGATGAGTGAGGGGAGATATGGATGGTTCCCGTCCCCTCCAGAGTCCTCCTTACACCTCCTCCCACCTCCCTTGTCAGTGCAAAGTGTTGAAAGTCAGGAAATGCTGCAGGCTGTGCCATGGATCCGCCTGCGGATAAGGAGACCCCTGGCAGTGATCCTCGTTATGGTCTCGGGGGTGTGTGACCTCACGGGCTGGACCAGGCAAGGAAGAGGCGCATCCCGTGGGACACGCTAGCTTGTTTGCCGACGCGCCTGCTTGGTTCCCCTCGAGCCACGTGTGCACTGCTTGAACTCCACTCAGAAGCTAAAATTATACATCCCTGCTCATTTACAAGTAGGACAGGAAGGTGTCCGGGTTCCCCCGGACCCAGAACCCTGCGCAGTCTGTGTGAGCGGTGATAAATGTTGAAAAGCTGTGCACACCTCGTGTGTCCTTTAACCGAAAGGCTTGGGACCGGAAGTGTTTCTGATCTCTGATGTTTTCACATTGGGGGATATTTGCATACACACGATGAAATACCTTGGGACCCAAGTCTCTGTACAGAATCCACTCGTTAGGTTTTATGTACCTTACACCGTACATACCTCAGCCGGTGTACGTACCTTATACACAGAGCCTGAAGGTGATTTTCTGCAGCATTATTAATGCACCTGCATTTTGGCTGCAAAACATCACACGAGGTCAGAGGTGGAATGTAGAGAGGTTTAGGATTTTTGAGCATTTCGGGGTTCAGATATCCAGTTAGGGACGCTGCACCTGTATCACCGTCTTTCCCTCTCGTTCCTCTGTCTTGTCAGCTGAGAATATACCAGAGGTTGCATCGTAGGGCAGGGTACAAGACTGCAGCACTGGAGTGTGGCAGGGGCCCCCGGAGCCTCCTGGGTTGGCCGCTAATTCCAAGGGCCGGTCAGAACCCCATGCTGCCTTCTCGTTGCCAAAGAGGTGTTTGGTTCAACAGGACCCCTTGTTTCTCAGAACACGCCTCTTGACGCCACCTGTCTTTGCCTCCCCTCCAGCAGAGAGAGCCCTCCTCCAGGCTGCGTTCCTGCAGTGTCACCGACGCCGTCGCCGAGCAGGCCCATCTGCCACCGGTAACCCACGCTCATTTCCAGTCTTTGGCTGGCTTTTTTGGCTTTGATTTACAATCACCTGGGCTGCTGAGAAAGAGGGCTTCCTATGCAAATCTGTTCACCCCGTAAAAATGGGATGTCTTTAATTTCCTAGCAAATCGCCCACGGGAGAGTGGATTTCCCACGGAAAAGAATCGTCACTGCCACCAAAGTGGCTTTGCTGAAGCCTTGATTGCTCTCGCTTTCACTCCCATTGCCACCGACTCTGATGTGCTTACTTGACTCAAAGTACTCGGTACCTGAGTAGTTCCCTTTTGCTGCATATGTGCAAGGCACAGGGATTCCGCAAAACAGGAAGAACGCTCATGCGTGGGGCCAGGCGTTCCAGTCCATTTCTGGTGGCCTCAGCCCTGGACCCCAGAGCCAGGCACCCTCTTTTTAAAGACACTTCTATTGACGAGGGACTAATCCTTATATGGTTCTCAGCCTCTCGCAGACTGCAGAAGTGTAGGGGGTTAATAACATCCAATGAAGTAAAAATAAGTCATTCATTTTGGAAGGCAAAGCAGCACTGTCTTGGGAGATGTTTGGTTCACCCATGAAGACTAAGAACTCTTATGTAAACTGGTTTCTTCTTTTGGAGGTAGAAAAAAAAGTGACTAACATAACGTGGCTTTAACGTAACGTGGCTTTAACGTAACGTGGCTTTAACGTAGCGTGGCTCTGTTTGACGTGTGGCCCTACCCAGCTTTGCCTCTTTTTGTTGCAATCCTGGATTGTTTCTCTGGCCCCCACTTCGTGATGTGTGCATTTTGGGGACAGCCAAGTGCATTTACAGGTTTTGAAATCACAGAGCCTTCCCCAGCTCATGCATTTTTGTCTGACTTCAGAGGGTATCTTGGCCTGGGGTTTTTTGTTGTTGCTTTTGTTTTTGTTTTTCCCGTTGATGAAGCGGATGAACAGTGTACTAGTCAAGTAAGCAGTCCGAGGAATCGATTGCATTGTGCCCTACACCGGGTCGATCAGTTAAACTAAGCTCACGGGAGCGTCTTCTGGGACGGCTCCAGTACGCCCCTCCCCCCCGCCCCCAGAGCCCGTCACTGGACCATGAGGAGCTGCTGGGGCCTGCTCAGTCCGCTGATTCCCTGCCATAGATGAGTGGCGCTTCCTGTGTTCAGAATCAAGGGCATTTGTGTTTGCTGGGAGCTCACTTGCCTGGGAACTCATGATTGCCCTCGCTCCCCTCCTGTGCATGGTGCTGGCCCTCACTGATGACCGGGGCCTCTGAGCCGAGTTCTGATTTGGCAGATTTCAGAGTCTGTGCATTCTTTGACCATGAGGACAAAAGCAGACCGGCTCTCGGGTTTGTGCCCTCAGAAAACATCCCGCTTTGTCAGGGTTGTCAGTGGGCGGAGGGTGGCATGGGGGTCAGGGTCCCTGGTGCTCCTGGTCATCAGTGACGTCAACCCCGTGTGGACAGGGTGGACCGCAGGGACTCTGGACTCTGATCTGTCCCTGCCTTGGTGGTGCGGCCACAGCAGTGATTCCAGCTTCACTAAGCAATTGGGGTCCCCCCTCCAACAAGTGCAATTCACTGATGTAAATTATCATTTAACAGCCCAGTACCCCAGCTAGGAGAGCGCGTTCGTCCACTGTCTCGGGTGGTGAGGAGCCAACGGTAATGACACCCTTTATCCGGCATTCCGGCACAGTCCGCGGGGCGGTTCACTCTCGTGTAGCAGAGGATACAGCACACTCTGTCTGTATAGAAAAGCAGTAAGATCAGCTGCTTTGTGCTGCAGAGACGCGTAGGGTTCTTACTGTAAACTGGGTTCTGGATTGTGCAAAGGCACCGCGTAAAATGGGATGATTTTTGGTTTCCTGTAGTTGTTAATGGAAGCACTGTCCAGCTCTGGCCGAGTGTGCTTGGCAGTGTGGGGTGGATTTCTTGTCTTTTGCTGTTCTCTCTCCTGGGGAGCTCTCCCTTCTTGTTTAGGATTCTTGTTCAAAGTCGCGTGTCTGGAAGATGGCGGAGTTGGGTGGGATTCCTGGCCATGCTGGGCTCTGCCCTCTCTGACGTCTCCCACACCGTCTTTGCAACGCGGGTTCGGTCATCCTGTGGGGACCTGATAGCCTTTCTCTGCCACCTGGGGCTCCACTCGCAAATGTGCATGCAGTTCCAGGAGAGGAGTTGAGATTTGTAAATGATCTAGAACAATCCGTGTTTACGTAAGCCAGATTTCTGTTGTTCTTGTTATTTATCTTGGCTGCTTCGTCACATCCACGTGAGCATCACTTAGATTTGACTGTATTTCAGCTGTGGGCTTTTCTCTTTGATGCCTGGGGTCAGGCGGGTCTATGCACTGCGCTGCTGTCGGAGTTCTTGAAGAATCTTCCCTGTTGTTTCACCTTTGCTGTGCTTGCTGGACCTGCACATGGCTTGCGAATAACCTTGCGCGTGCGGGAGCCGGTTTTCCAGAGGATGTTGGTGACCTAAGTCCAGCAGCAGTTGAGTTACATGGGTGGACTCCGTGTCTTGCCTTACACAAAGGAAGATCTAGCTGGCCACCGGTACAGTAACAGGACAGTTGCAGGTGTGGAGCGTGCAGTGGTCAGTGTAGAAGTCAGATGCCGGTGGGCCGGGCCCCGGGTCGGATTCGGGGAGCTCTAAACGAGCAGCTGACTTCCTGCGGAGCAGTGGTGATCCCAGAGCTGTGGAGGAGCAGAAGAGACGAGGTGCCTGTGCGCCGAGGAGCCCAGCGTCTTTCCCAGGTGTCAGCCGCTCCTGCGTCTCATGGGTTAGCAGCCTGCCTTCAGCTGCTTTAGCCTGGGAGTGTTGTGACGCTGCAACAGGGACGCTCTTGGTCACTGCTGTCCTGGGCTGCACGGTTACGAGGCTGCGGGAAGCACAGGGTGGTCCTCCTGGCTGCCTCTTGCTTGTGTCCCCTCCTCCCCCGTCAATGGGTTGCAGTGTGGGTTGGGCTGGGACTTGGGAATTTAAAACTTGGCCACCGCGGTTCCAGGGTGTCGCACCTCCTCTCCTGCTTTGCCTTCTCTGTGCCCAGATGGCTTAGAAAGAGTCACACTGTTTCTCTGCCGTCCTCGTCTGTCCCTGGTTGTGAACGTCTTTGATTTCCTCTTTCCTGATTCGTTCTCCTAGCTCGAGTTCTCCTCCTCCTCTCACACTCCACCCGACACGGCTCCAGGCCGGGGCTGCCCTAGGCGGGTCATCTCCCTCCTGCCTCTCTGTTCTCCCAGACTCACGTGTGCACGTGCAGATGCAGCGTGCCACTCCAGCAGCCTGTGTGTGTGTGTGATGGTCGTCTGTCGGGGACGTGGTAACCATTACATAATACGCAGTGATGCGAGTGCACCTGTTTGTACCATTTACCCCCACTGAAGCCCGCCCCCACTCCTCCCTGCCGCCCTGTGCACCCTGCGTGCGTCTTTCTGTGCCTTGATTCCGGGGGTGCAAGGGACAGGCCCTGCCTCTCACCGGAGGACCCATAGGGTGACTCGGTGCACACTGGCTCCCCCTGCTGGCAGCTGCATGAGAGCCCTGTCTGGGGCCTGGGGAGGGCTGCTGGTCTGCGTGGACTCTGACAACGCAGGAGGTGCCAACACAGCAGGGTTTCGGTGGGTCCCGGAGAACCTGTGCTGGTCAGCATCCGTGTGGTTGTTTTTAAAGGCGTATTGAAACACCCATCACTTAAACGTAAACAACTTCTTCATTTTAGTGAAACGCGGTAGGGTGTTGGGTCTACAGGCAGAAAGCTGTGGAGTGTTAGTTAAGCCAGTCAGCAGTCCCTGGCATGCTGCTTGGTTCCCTGATTGTTTCTTGAGGCAGGCAGGGTGCACACGTGCCAGGCTCCGTCTGCAGAGCCGAGGCCTGTCCCGCCCCGCCCCCTCGCCGTGGGAGGCAGTGTTGGGAGTCCCTGTCAGCACGGGTTGTTCTGCGTGGTCATTGGCGAGAACCCTGTAAAGACACACTGTTAATAACACGACCTCACGTAAACTCCGCTAAATCTCCCGCGCCAGTTCAAGCTTCAGTGGAAGGGACAGTGAGCATTGCAGTCTGACTGAGTGTTCTCCGCACATTGCTCATTCTCCATAAGCGGGATAGCCCAGCCGACTGTGGGTCTGGGAGGTGGTGTGAGCTGGTTTCTCGGTCGCCTGCCGCCTGTCCTCAGTCGTGCTGTGACCAGAGACGCATCCTACGGCTTCAGAACCGTGTGTCTGTAGAGCAGGCTGGATTGCCTGTCTCCAGGAAATGATAGGGCAGGGGGCAAAGTCATAATTCCATTTAGAGTTGCTTTTACCAAAGCGCTTACTGTCACACACACAATGGTAGGCCCACACGTCGTAAGCACGTATTTTGCCAAAGCTATACGAAGGGTCTTCAGAAAGTTTACGGACAGTGTGTATCGTGAAGAAACTTCCTGCATGGTCTTTGAACGGTTTTGCTCCGCCCGATGCAGGCGCTGGGTAGGGTGCCGCGGGTCCCTGTCGCAGTGCCTGCCTCCAGCTACACTGGTCTCAGAGGCAGCGGTGCTGGCTCGAGTGGCCTTCTCCCCAGGTTGAGTCCCCAGCTCTCAGCTTTGGCCTGGCCCGGTGCTGGCCATCTTTCTGGGAACGAACAGGTGGTGTCCTCGCGCTCTCTGCTTCCCTCCTCCGCGCCTCTCTCCTGCCACGCCCCATCTTTCCTTCTCTTTCTCGCAAATAAATGGTCTGAAAGGAATTTGTGCTGAAAGTAAACGTTTGTCTTTTACTTCCATTTCCACGAACTCTTGGAAGTGCCCTCGTGCTAACTGACCACTCGCTCAGGTCACGACGGAGGCTGCCAACTTGGTCCCTCCGAGTATGCCCGGATCCAAGGAGCCCGGAGATGGCTCCTCTGTGTCAGGGTCCCCGTGAGGGAAGGAGGGGAGGGCTGTGGGCTGACTGCCCGGATGTTCATAGGAGAGGTGAAACCCGCGCCTCCGTGCGGCTGCTGTCTTTCAAATCCCCTCACCCTGCCCAGACTGCTAGGTGCACAGAGACTTGGAACTGTCTTTATGGAGCCTGAGGACTTTATCTGGGAAAATAAGGGAAGGGTGGCTGCACTTTCGGGAGAAAGGTGGAACTGTTTTTTTTTTTTTTTTTTTTTTTTTTTAATTGAATAAGCTCACGTTGCCCGATTAAATGTGTTTTGGAAATAACCAGTCAGGGGCTGCTTGCTGAATTCTTTGTTTAAAAAAATTCACTTATTTATCTGAAAGTCAGAATTAGAGATCAGTCTTCCATTTGCTAATTCACTTTCCAGATGGCCGCAACAGCCAGGGCTGGACAAGGCCGGAGCCAGGAGTTCCATCCGGGTCTCTCACATGGGTGGCAGAGGCTCAAGCACTTGGGCCATCTTCTGCTGCTTTCCCAGGCACATTAGCAGGGAGCTGGATCAGAAGTGGAGCAGCAGGGACTCGACCCAATGTCTGTATAGGATGCCGGCGTGGCGCCACAAGCCGTAGCTTTGCCCACTGCACCACAAGGCCTGCCCCCTTTGTAATTAATTCTGAAGTTGGTTTTTCTCTGCACTGCGCTGTCACGCGCATGCAGTAGAATGGGCAGCCCGTTGTTGGTGCTTTCTCTTGCTCGGGGTGCCCTGCAGGGCTGTGGCTGCGGCCTCCTCCCCGAGGCACGCCGGCAGTAAACAGAGGCAGTGGGGCAGGCGCAGGCAGAAGCTGGGTGCAGAGCAGCCTAGTACCAAGCAAACTGCACCTGCTGAGATATCATGAGGGACCAGAAAGGCCTTACAGACGAGGTTCCTCCTGATGGTTAGGCTCTCGGCTAACGTTCTCCCAAAGTGCCTTCTTGTCTCCGCGCCCCTCTGCTAGAGCACGGGCTCCCATTCCTCACATGCAGCATCCAGATCTCTCAGGACAGCACGGGGCTCCCCCGCCCCGTCGCCTCCATAAGTGATTGGCACATCCGTGCTTATCCCAACATGGCTCCAGCCAGACTACGTGTTGCTGCCGCCCCCTCAGGCAGACGTGTCTCAGCAGATGTTTCTGTGGCTTCTGCAGCCTTGGTCGCTCCACTCTGGCTGTGACTCGAGAGCTGGGCTTCCTTTAAGGAGACAGCCTATCAGTGGGCTGCATACGCAGCTTCAGGTTGCCAGGAGACGCCCTGAGCTGGGGCACGCGGGTGTCCTGGGTGCTGGTCAGGACTCTGTGCCACTGCGTGAGTGTCCCAGAGGAGCCTCTGCGGGTTAGGTGTCCGTGTGCCCTGCAGGCTGTGGCGTAGGGCACCCGAGCTGACGGCGTGGCAGCCGGCGGGAGGAGGAAGCCTGCAGAGCATCCCTGTAAGCACTGGACGCTCCCCGTGGTTGGCAGGAAGCGTAGCAGCTGGGACGGATCTTGGTGTCTCGTTCTCTCTTCCTGCGGTCCCCTTAGCCGTGACCTTTGTGTTGAAGGCCATAGGGTGTGAGAAGCAAGCCCTGTAAGAGTTTGGACCCCATGGCCATATGGGGTTCATCTCACTGGAGACTTGAAGTGACCAGAAACATCTTGCTGTTTTGTTGAGGTGTTTTCTGTACAAACGAAGCAAACTCAACCTTGTGTAGAAAAAAGTAGATTATCTGAGTATGCGTTGCTTTGTGAAACTAATCAGAAAACCAATGCCAGTTATTAAACAATGATGATTTCTTGCACAAACAGCCGTCAGTGGCCTATGTACACACCACGCCGGGCCTTCCTTCAGGCTGGGAAGAAAGGAAAGATGCTAAGGGACGCACATACTATGTCAATCATAACAATCGAACCACAACTTGGACTCGGCCCATCATGCAGGTATGAAGAGCGCCAGCCAGCTTCGAGTCACAGGCTGCGGACGCCTCCCTCCCGTCCCTGGTGTTAACATCCTGTTCTCCAGGACCCCTGTGCGAAAAAATATATATATACATTTAAACAAAAAACAAATACGTGACTTAGTGTTTGCCCGAGGAAGAATCTGGTCCTTACGCCAAGTCGGTCCCAGGGTGCGTTTTTCAAATCCAAGCCCGTTGCCACGTGCACCTGCCCCTCGGCCCCCTGGGTTACTTGGAGGCTGGTTTTTACGCTGGGCCAGTGCCCCATCCTTGTTCCCCCTGTGTTTCCTGTCCTTACCCCACCCACCCCCTTATTCTCTTGAATGGTTTCCTCCATGCTGTACACAGACCTGGCCTCTTACTACTGCCGTGGGCTCACGCTGCCCACCACAGCCTCGGGGAGGGCCTGGAGCGAAGCTAACTTGTTTTTGCCTCCAAACCAGCTTGCAGAAGACGGCGCCGCCTCCGGATCGGCCACAAACAGTAGCAACCACCTAATCGAGCCTCAGATCCGCCGGCCTCGTAGCCTCAGCTCGCCAACAGTAACTTTATCTGCCCCGCTGGAGGTGAGAAGGCGCCCTCATCCACCTGGGCTCGCTCTGTCCTGTGCCCGCTCACTCTCCGCTCTCGCAACTCTGACCTGAGTCTCGCGGCCACCGCGCTCTCATCCGTGTGTTGGTGGTGGTGGTGCAGGCGCAGGGTGTGCTCGGACAGCCTCACGTGCTTCTCTGTCTCGCCCAGTCAGCGTCCTGGACTCCTTTGCCTCTCATTCTCATTGGGCTGAGACCGTGGGAACTGGTGCTGGGTGTGGGAATCCTCTCTGTTCAGAACTTTGGCCATTCCTGCTGTGTTTCGCTCCTGACTGCCTGTTCTACGTCATTAGACTCGCATAGCAGCTCTCTTCGGTGACAGTGCTCATACTGAGTCTCCAAACATAGCTTTGGTCATTTTTTTTTTTCCTTTCAACTGCAAGGTCTCTCATTGTATGGGTTCTGTGTGTTTCCAAAGCCTCTTTGCATCTCCAATCATGGCTGGGCACCCGCTTGTGTTTCCTCTCTCCTGTCCGTGCTGTGGTAATACCATCCTGTGATACCACAAATGTCAGAGAGTGGGAGAAGCCACAAGTAAATGTTGGAGCTGTGGACTTGACCTTGTCTCGGAGCTAGCTGGATGCTTCTCCATTCTCGGGGTCGAGACACCATTGGGTGGGAACAGGTGATCCCTCCCCTGCATTCTTGGAGAAACGTCACGGGCCACAGCTCTGCAGTCGTAGGTGGTCGCCGCCATCACCTTAAGGACTTCTTTTTTCACGTTTCGCAGGCTGCCAATCTGTTCTTCATTAGACTGTGAGCTCATTAAGAGCAGGGGCATGTTCCTCTCGGCTCCGTAAAACCTCCATGCGTAGTGCTTAACGCAGGGCAGGGTTTGTGGTGTGGATCTGGTGGCCACCGAGGGAAGCTGGTGAGAAGCGCTGAACGCTGTGTGCCGAGCCAGCAGAGAGACCTGAGGTCAGACTGGCTTAAAGAAGATGAGACACAGGTGTTTTAGCAGCCTCCCCCTTTGTCCGACTCCAGAGAGGAGCGTTCGGCCATCACCAGGTGCAGGGCCACGCGACACAGAGTTCTAACACTCCTTGTTATTCCTTAGGGTGCCAAGGACTCCCCCGTGCGTCGGGCTGTGAAAGACACCCTTTCCAACCCACAGTCCCCACAGCCGTCCCCCTACAACTCCCCCAAACCTCAGCACAGAGTCACCCAGAGCTTCCTGCCGCCCGGCTGGGAGATGAGGATCGCGCCCAACGGCCGGCCCTTCTTCATTGACCACAACACAAAGACGACGACGTGGGTAAGGCTGCTGCTGTCACCTGGCTCCGTGTTCCCGGCCGGGTCCGCCAGTAACCCCTGGGCCTCCTCGCGGAGGAATCGCCTTGACTGAGAAGTGCGACCCCCACCAGTGGGGAGGCCCAGCTGCCATGGGCTGTGGGCGTGGGTGGGTGTGGGCCCAGGCCCACGGGCATCTTTGGGGTGCTGTTTGTCATGGCGCTCCCAGAGAGCTGCAGTGCTGACGGTTCACCCTGGCCGAGGAAGCAAAGGAGCACTCGGTGTTGCCGGGATCCTCGTGCCATTGCACTCTTACCGGGACTTGTGTCTTTCTTGAAATGTGTCTCCTTCCTCAGCTTCTTCTCTTGTGTCCATGGACGTGACTCCCTTCCGTTTGGTTTGTCACCGTCTGTGTTCTCTTTCCACTGACCGTGGCTCAGGACTGTGGCTGTGGGTTGGAGAGCTCTTTGCTGTGAGCGCTTTGTCAGAACTGACTTTGCCTACACCCTGCTCTTTTCCTGGGCCCCCACTTCATGTGTGAGGAGCAGCCTGCGTGTTATCCTAACTCAGGCAAAATGAGTCACAGGTGCACACGCGTGTGCTCGTACTGCCTCTCTGCAGCCGAAGCAGCAGTGGCATTGCCAGGTAGCAGCAAGCTCCTCCAGAATCAGTGGTCACCACACCCTCCCTGGCCCCATGGTTGCACTGAGGTTGGTTCTGTTGCTCGCTGGTTTTGGTATTACAGACCGTGTGCTTTTCCTCCCCGTGCTTGGTTGTCTGGGTAGAGTTAACTCAGGATGTAGCCTAGTCCTCCTGTCCCTGTGCTGCTTGCTTGAGAGCCCGTTGGGTTTGGAGATTGCCACTGGGCCTGCTCTTGGTCTTGCTTCAACAGTGAACACTTTCTTTTTTCTTTTTTTTTTTTAAAGATTTATTTATTTATGTAAAAGGCTGAGTTACACAAAGAGAGAAGGAGAGGCAGAGAGAGAGGGAGAGAGGTCTTACCTTTGCTGGTTTACTTTCTGGTTGGCCACAGTGGCCAGAACTGCATCAATCCAAAGCCAGGAGCATCTTCCAGGTCTCCCACGTGGGTGCAGGGGCCCAAGGACTTGGGCCATCTTCCACTGCTTTCCCAGGCCATAGCTGAGAGCTGGATTGGAAGTGGAGCAGCCGGAACTCAAACCGGTGCCCATATGGGATGCCAGCACTGCAGGTGGTGGCTTTACCCGCTGATCCACAGTGCTGGCCCCATAAGCATGCGCTTTCAAGTGGGTCCAGTTGATGGAACAGCAGGAAAAGTGCCCGGCGAGGACAACCTGGACGGGTCACTCCACACGCTGCCCATGGGTGATGGTAGTTCTGTGCCTTGAGAATGGATTAGAGGGTGCTGTCCCTGCAGTCCTGTGGGTGGTGGCACAGTGCATCCCCAGGAGGGCACTCTTGGCACTTGGTGCAGGACTGGATATCCCAGGTTCCTGCCACAGAGTGCAAGTAGCTGCCACCAGCCCCAACCCCAACGTAGTGATGGCCAAAAATCCTCCCACACACTTCCAAACACCCCATGGTGCAGGATTTGCCCACCTGCCGAGGGAATTCAGCGTTGGGATTTGGTGACCATCATTTGGCAAACTGGTGGCTGCTTCAACCCCCTTTGAGTCCGAAGATACCGTTACCAGTTTGTGGGTAAGACGAGAGTTGGAGGCAGGCAGCTCTGTGGACACACAAGAATAGACTTTGGTTTTCGGGCCCTTTTTTTTTTTTCTCATTGACATTGACCCCATGGGTGACTGGCTTGGGGTCCCATTTCCTGTAGCGCTGCTGTAATCTCAGATCCGCACTCAGAAACTGGAGCTCCAGAAAGGCGGCGGGGGTGGGGTGGGGTGGTTAAACATTGTAAAAGTAGATGGATTAGTGTATGGAGCCAGTGTGGCTTGCCAGCGCAAGCTACGATTTTAGTCACTTGAACTAGCTTAGTCATCAGATCCCTAACCTTCTCGAAGCCTCTCACGCCGCAACTGTGGTGTAACTGCAGCCGGGCAGCTCTCGTTCTAAATAGCCCGAGCTTCCTGTATCGTCCACTTGCTGCCGAGCGAGACCCAGTTCTCATGTCCAGTTGTCACTCTTTACCTCGGCGCTTGTTGTGGACTGATTTGAAATTTTAATTTGCTAAAACCACACCAGGCTGCTGGCGCTGCCGTTGAAAATCCTTAAGGAAACAACTGGAAATTCCGCAAGTTCCCGCCCGCGTGTGCGCAGACGTGCTGACAGCGCGCGGCCGGCCCTCCCCGGACAGGGGTCCGTGCCAAGGCCAAGTCCTCCCCTCGCCTGCGCGTCCTGAAGGTCGACGGATGGGTAGAGGCAATCGCGAAGATAGTTTGTGGCCTCAAATCTGTCTGGAGTCGCTTTGAGGGTTTCTCTGTTTTTTGGGAGACCACATGGAGGCCTGCTCTTAGATTTGAGTGTTGTGATGGACAAAGGGGAACCGACCTGTAGGACAGGGTGAGAACAGTGAAAACCAGACCGCTTCCCCCATGAGGCAGGGCGCTGCTGATTCCTGCAGTAACCAGAGGCATCCAAAGATGGAGGCCAGCGTGTCCCCCTGTGCACTTCGCCAAGAGTGCAGTTCCCTGTGACGGGTATCGGTGAGACACAGCTTTCACGGGTACAGGTAATGAAGGCGGTGTCCCCGAAGGAATGCAGTCTTACCACATAACCAGGGAAAGGATGGCCTTGTCCCCATGGGGGTCAGGCCTGCAACAGGTGCACCCCGGGAGCCACCAGGTGGCTGGAGAGGACCCTGACCGGGAGGCTTTGCCAGGGGAGCAGCCCAAGGCCTGTGTGCAGTGGCAGCACCGTGCCGTCCACCTGCCTTGTTTGTGTAGCAAGTGCCGTAACCAAGCTTTGATGTTTGTCTTCTACCAAAGTTGAAACTCGTAAAACTCACTGTGGCCTGGCCATGCTGGATAGACTCTTCCGTGGTGGGAGGCCAGCATTCCCACATTTCACGTGGTGGAAAATTGGGAAACACTTTTTTTTTTTTTGGGGGGGGGATATTGATTAAAGTCACTTTCGGCTGGACTGAGGGAAGCAGTAAATTACTCCCCAAAGAGAGTCCCCTTGCTGTGCCAGGAAGGGGAGAAACCCCCGAACGTGTTTGGGTGTTTGATTCATTTCTGCCTGTACCGTTTGAGACCACATTAGTATTCCCGCTGATCCCCAGCCCGCGGCTGAGTGGCAGGTGCCCTTTACCTGCTCGGTTGCTATGGAGAAGCCTCGCCACTCAGGTTACTCAGGGCTTCGGCGGCCGTGGCTTCTTCGGTAGCAGCTGGTACGCTTGGTTAGTCCTCAGAGCGGTATTCATGGCAGCTGCTGCTATGATTCTGAGTGTTGTTGGGGTAATAAGATAATATGACCCCTCAGGCCACTGGCTGGCCCCTTCGGAGAAGTCTGGGTTTCCAGGAAAGCCCGTGTTGCAGACCTGTGAGGCTGAGTTTATTGTGTGCGTCTCGCTCTGTGGGCTTCCTGCCCCCAGCACCTCAGTTTCAGCTTTCTGTAAATCACTGCTTTTTAACAAAAGGGCTAATTGTCTCTCGAAATAGACAGTGGGTGGTTCTTGGGTGCAGCAGCCAGAAGCCTTGCCTCTTTCCTGCAGGAGCCATATCCCAGGCTTTCTCTGAACGTGACCTGGTCGTGGGCTGCGTAGGACTCAGGGGCCCCTGATGGATGGGACATGACCTGGTCCCTGAGAGTTAGCGTTGAGTGAGTAGATTTGGCTGAGTTTGGTGCTTTGAGCGGATGACCAGCTTCCTGGTCCTTCTGAGTCCTCAGTATGCTTGGCGTATCTGTTTACACTGTTTACGTCACAGTATACTACAGAGTACTGGACCTATTTTGTGCCCCTGCTTATCTTTGCTAAGAAATACATTAGACCAGGGTCAATATTAATCACAAGTGGACTGCTCACGGGGTTTCTTTCTTTGATTAAAAGTTTATAGCAAGCAGCACACAAAGGTTAATTTGTCTTTAAAGATTTATTTATTTGTTTGAAAGAATTAGAGGGAGAGACAGACTGAAAGATCTTCCATCCATTGGTCTACGCCCCAAATGGCCACAGTGGCCAGGGCTGGGTCAGACCAAAGCCAGAGCTTCATCCAGGTCTCCCATGTGCGTGGCAGGGCCTAACCACTTGGGCCAACTGCTGCTGCTTTCCCAGGGGCCTTAGCTGGGAGACGGATTGGAAGTGGAGCAGCTGAGGGGAGAACCAGCACCCATATGAGATGTCTGCATTGCAAGTGGCGGCTTAACCCACTGTGCTGATGCCGGCCCCTGATTGTGGTGGTTTTTTTGTGATCTCTTTTGCATCTTGCCGGTTCCCCACATCTGCTGCTTTGCTATGACCCAGTGATACCTGGCCTGTGCTGTTGACTTGGAAAATGTTGAAGCAGAAAACCTTTCAATAATTGGACAGAGCAGAGGCTTTTGGGTCATTGAATGAAGCTGATGTCAAGTGTCTGAAAGCTTGTCTCTGAATCGTAGGCTGACAGGGTTTTTGAATCTGGGGAGTTCAGTCTGCAGTTTCATCGGGTCTGCGTCGGTGAGGGGTAGCTGCAGAGCCTTCCGGCCAGTTCTTCCCTCCCAGACCCCTCGCATGCCCTCAGCTGGAGGGGGCAGGTCGTGAGCCCAGCCTCCTGCCAGGGAGCATCGCAAGGTCACACTGTGGCTGTCGTAGAGCGTGAGCTGAGATACAGCGGCACACGCTTCTCTCTCCTGGCAGTTTTCTGGAATCTCATGAAGCGTAGCCTCTAAGATAAGTTCCTTGTCGACTCTTAAACATGACAGCAGACGCGAGACCCTCATCGTAGAACTTGCTGAGGCTTCCCAACTTGGCTGTAGCGTGGGGCTGTGGCTGTAGATGACGCAGCAGCCTTGGGACCTCCCAGGCAGACCCAATTCCAGATCTCTAGTTGGCTCAGGAAGGCGTGGAGGAGAGAGAGCAGCCGCAGGCAGACACAGGTGCAGATGGAGTGGCCTCTCCTGGCGTGTTCACCTGGGCGCCCTCACCAGGAGCCCGGGAGCCTGTTGAGCCCTGTCTCAGGAGCCATCACCCACACTGTCCTCTCTGGAGTCCCTGGCAACATGATTGCTGGAGGCTTGGGGGAGCTTAACCTCCCACGCGGACACTCATACTCTCTTCCTTTCTCCAAGCCTTTCCGTCTTAGCCGTGGTCAGCCAGGCGTCCTGTACAGGTAGAAGGGTGGGCTCCTCCCCAGGCTCCGCGTGCAGCCAGCCTCATCGCCTGGAAGCACACAGCTTGCAAAGGGAAGGAGCCAGTGACTGTGCACCGGTGCCCCCTCCTAACATCTCCTGCCTTGTCCGTTTCTCTTGCAGGAAGATCCACGCCTGAAGTTCCCAGTTCATATGCGGTCAAAGGCATCTTTAAACCCCAATGACCTCGGCCCTCTCCCGGTGAGTATCCTGGAGGCACAGGGAGTAGTCTGAAGGCGCGTGTCCGCTGGTCCGCCCAGGGGTGATAGAGAGAGCCTGTGGGCCTTCTCCCCAGTCCCTAGGCTCCCCTGGTCTGTGTTTCTCAGTAGCACTGGGTGTTGCACACAGCATCCATCATACAGAAAAGTCTCCATGGTCCTCAGGAGTCGTGAGGCCATGAGTGGAAGGTAGACTTTGTCCCTAGGGTGTGCGGGGGACATCTCTGCGGGCGACGTTGAAGCCGCGTGCACCTGCTGTGTAGCCTCGCGTTCCCAGAGTCTGTCTATATTGCTGAATTAGTCATCAGGACAAAAATAATGAAAGCAGTGTGGGAGGGAAAGACCTAAGTCATCTCAGAAAGTTTCTTTAGGTCTTCGAGCCTGCAGATAGTTCTTTCCTCCCTGTTGATGACTGTTTATAAGTCAACTTTTTTTTTTTTTTAACCAGTTTGCCTACTTTGGGGACCTCTGTGGGAGTTGAGCTGTTCAGTCCAGGTTAGATTCTGAATAAAGCCATCCTGTGTGCCATGCGCAATGCCCATCCACAGCTGCAAGGCAAGGAAGGCTTTGTGGAGAAGCACCAGGGGCTGCACTCTGAGACTGTGATAATTGGGAGTCCCCATTGTTCTCCAAGAACAGGAGCCTCCCTCTGCCTTCTCGGTCGTGTAGTGTGGCAGAATTTGAGGCTTCAGGGGCCACGGTCCAGCCTCCCTCCCTCACCAGATCTGCTTGGTTCCTGGTTTCACACAGGAGCCCAGGGAGTGAGTGTAGCTAGTGAGACAAAGCATGTTGTCTGAACCTGTTAGATCCCTGAGCTGCACAGAGCAGGTGGCGACAGCTAACGAGGGCAGACCTGAGCCCTTCCTTGAAAACATTCATATCCGTTTAGTTCCTGAGTTTGCATAGCAAGAATTCAGAGAAAAGGGTTATCAGTTTGGAAGCACTTTAAAATGGAAGTAAATGATAAGTTTATTTTGGTGTGAAAAATGTTGGAATCCATTGATAGGTTTCCAAAATAGATTTTCCATGACCTTTGTAAGACCCATCCTATGTTTTGGCCTGCTGATAACGTGAATGAAGATACTGTGTCCCATGGGTGTGTGTGTGTGTGTAAAGATTTATTTATCTGCTTGAAAGGTAGAGTTAAAGGCACAGAGAGGGAGAAGCCTAGAGAAAGGTCATCCCTCCGCTGGTTCACTCCCTAAGTGGCTGCAACAGCCAGAGCTGGGCCAATCCAGAGCCAGGAGCTTCTTCTTCTTCTTCTTTTTTTTTTTTTTTTGACAGGCAGAGTGGACAGTGAGAGAGACAGAGAGAAAGGTCTTCCTTTGCCGTTGGTTCACCCTCCAATGGCCGCCGCGGCCGGCACGCTGCAGCCGGCGCACCGCGCTGATCCGATGGCAGGAGCCAGGAGCCAGGTGCTTTTCCTGGTCTCCCATGGGGTGCAGGGCCCAAGCACCTGGGCCATCCTCCACTGCACTCCCTGGCCACAGCAGAGGGCTGTCCTGGAAGAGGGGCAACCAGAACAGAATCCGGTGCCCCGACCGGGACTAGAACCCGGTGTGCCGGCGCCGCTAGGTGGAGGATTAGCCTAGTGAGCCGCGGCACCGGCTTGAGCCAGGAGCTTCCTCTGGGTCTCCCACTAGGGTGCAGGGGCCCAAGCACTTGGGCCATCCTCTGCTGCTTTCCCAGGCCATAGCAGAGAGTTGGATTGAAGAAGAGCAGCCAGGTTGCAAACCGGCGCCCATAAGGGATGCCGGTGCCACAGCAGAGGCTCAGCCTACTACACCACAGCTCCGGCCCCAATCCCATGTCTTCTATCAGCCTCCCTCCTGCCTCCCTGTAGTACTCCATACCTCGTTAAATCGGTGCGGGCTGCAGCCTCGGCCTCACCCGTTGGTGCTGTGCCCTGGGTGGGAAGCTGGTGAGATCGCAGCCCCGTCTCCGGTACTTCAGGCAGGGACTGTATCTGAGGCCGCTGAGCACACGATAACGCCGGAGCTCGTCAGGCGTTCACTGGAAATGTTCGCGATGAGCTGGTTCTCACTGTGAACCTGTGCGCTCAGACCAGAGGGAGAGAGGTTGTGGACGCTGCCTTTGACCGTGGCGTTGCTAACCCAGGTTTGTGTCTCCCCCTCTCGCGCCCTGCCTCGCATCCTAGCCTGGCTGGGAAGAAAGGATTCACTTGGACGGCCGGACGTTCTACATCGATCACAGTAAGTAGCCGCTGCCGCGGCCACGCGGGTGTTGCCGGGAAAGGCGGGGAGGTGGGAATTCAGATATGATAGTGAAAGCTGTGTCGTTTCGCTCTCCGTCCAGGCAGCCAGGTGTTATGTGGAGAGAGTGACCCCGGGGAGTCAGTGCCCGCCTACGGTACTGTGCATTCACCCCAAGTTTGCTTTTAAAGCAGCCGTGAAGCTTCCCCCCCATTTGATCTTGTGACCTATTAACTTTTAATTTTTTAAAACTTTTTTTTTTGGTTGATGGTCCCTTGACTTTTGCGCTTTTAATAAATACACTCGTAATAGAAAATAAGATTAGAAGTGACGACCTCGTTACAAACAAACCGTCTGTGTGTGAACAGCGCGAGAAGCCCTCGGCCCTGCCGACAGTGTGCCTGTTCTGACCTTATTTTCTATTCGTACCATGTGTCCCCGCACCCAACACACTAATGCGTGTAGTTCTCGTCCTGAAACTGTAGTACACTTGCTCCAGTGCCTCTGAATAATGTGTGGCTTCTCATCTCAACTAAAAGTTACACTAACGCTGTGTTTAGCCAGGGGGCTTTTCACTTGCGTGTTTTGTTTGTTGGTTTTTGGTCATCCTCGCGCGAGGTGACGTGTTCATCGTGGGACTGTGTAAACATAGCCCTGGAATTCCTCAAGAAGTATGCTCAAAAAAATAAACACTTGAAGTAGATGTCAGACGCAAAGCCTGCATTGGATATGGTCGCGCGTGGGTCTTTGTTTTCATCTGGGTCCTAGACAGAAAGTCCGTGCTGGGTTTCCCCACATTTTCATGATTAAACAAAAGCGCCCAGGGGAGCCTCTTGCTGGGAAGTCTGGCCACGAAGACTCCTCACACCAGCAGTGTAGGATTTGTCAGGATTTCTGACGCCCGGTGCCTCATCCAGACGGCGCTCGGGGCTGAGTGCGATGTCGGTAGGAGTGCCTGCAGGTGGGATTCAATGTGGTCCAGCAGCTCAGCGTTAAAACTCAAGGAGAAGCCCTGGATGTATTGGACCGGGCGGTAGTGCTTCCTACCTTTTGGACTAAATTAGGTATTTTAGTGTGCACAGGCAGTTTTTGTCTTTGATCCATCAAAATAGCAATCTCTCTACTCGGCAGAATTTTTCAGGGAGCATAAAATTGCTGCCATCAATGCTACAAGGTGCACACATGTACCCCACAGTTCTCCTTAATATGCTACACATCTGCAGTTCTAGGCTTAAGACTACGTGCTGAAGTGGGAGAGGTGTCACACTCCATTTCCCCATTTTTTTTTTTTAAGCATTCCAGTTTCAGTGTTTTTCATTTTTTTTTTTTTAACAGGCAGAGTGGACAGTGAGAAAGAGAGACAGAGAGAAAGGTCTTCCTTTTACCGTTGGTTCACCCTCTAATGGCCGCTGCGGCCGGCACACCGCGCTGATCCGAAGCCAGGAGCCAGGTACTTCTCCTGGTCTCCCATGCAGGTGCAGGGCCCAAGCACTTGGGCCATCCTCCACTGCACTCCCGGGACACAGCAGAGAGCTGGCCTGGAAGAGGGGCAACCGGGACAGAATCCGGCGCCCTGACCGGGACTAGAATCTGGTGTGCCGGCGCTGGCCCCAGTTTCAGTTTTTAAAGACAAGTGTGACTAGTGAGGGCTGTGTTAAAGTAAGGCTTTCACTGGTAGCACAGCCTTGGTCTGCTACACGCAGGTGTCACACTGTCTTATGCTGGTGTCCTGGCTGGTAGTGATGCGATGCTTAGGTCAACCTGATAAGAACTTCAGGTGCCAAAAAGAAAAGCAAAAGAAAAAAAAAAAACCACTAGTGCCTACTATAAAGGGCTTCCCTGGTGTACATTAGAAATCCTAACAGTGATGGGCTAGGGGCACGCGTAGGCCTGAGATTTGACTTGGAGTTCACTGGGGGTTGGTGGTGAGGGTCTCAGGAAGTTGTTGTCCTTGGCCAGACCGTAGGGGTGGCTCCTGGAGCGGCGGCAGCAGCAACCCTGCAGCCCTGCAGCCCAGGGGCCGGCCCCGCTCCTGCTCACCAGGAGGTGGAAGAGGGCAGCTGCCTGCCACGAGCCTGGGCTGCTCCTCACGGCGGAACAGCCAGCCTCTCCTCTCGAGCAGTCCCAGTTCGTCTGACAGCTCCACGCTCCCAGGAATCGAGCAGTGCGGCAGAGACGGCGTGCAGGGCCAGGCTGGCCTGTACTGATGAGAGAAGGTCACCCGCTTAGAAATTAAACTGAAAGGAAAAGATCTGCTTCCGTGAACTCCGTTAGCTCTTTATGCTGTTTCTGCGCATTCTCCGTGATCTGTCACGGCTGAGCCAGTGGACAGCGGCAAGGAGCACGTAGCAGCACAGTAGTCCGGTTCGCCTCCCCTTCACCGAAGTGCAGTTTGTGTAAAGTGCAGAATACCTGTCTTTTTAAGAGGCTTTATCAGCCTGACAGCTACCCTCCAGAGGGGTTCAGTTACCTTGGCGACAACATTTAGGGGGCCCAGAGGGAAACCGCTCCTTTTAAACAACTTTCTGCCAAAATTCAGCACCCGTTTTGCTGTCCTGATGCCTGAGGGGCAGGACCTGGGGCAGGCCCACGTGTGCCACTTAACCACCAAAGCAGTGGCCTCGTATTCCAGCCCAGCCAGGAAACGGACTGTGCACGGGGCTGCAGGCAAGGATGCACTGTGTTTTCAGTAATCAGGGTAGTGGATGGTTTTCAGCTCGTGAATTCGTCTTGAAGATTAATGATCTTCAGGCCGGCGCCGCAGCTCACTAGGCTAATCCTCTGCCTAGCAGCGCCAGCACGCCGGGTTCTGGACCCGGTCGGGGCACCGGATTCTGTCCTGGTTGCCCCTCTTCCAGGCCAGCTCTCTGCTGTGGCCCAGGAAGGCAGTGGAAGATGGCCCAAGTCCTTGGGCCCTGCACCTGCATGGGAGACCAGGAGAAGCACCTGGCTCCTGCCTTCGGATCAGCGTGGTGCGCCGGCCGCAGCACACCAGCCGTGGCGGCCATTGGAGGGTGAACCAACGGCAAAAAGGAAGACCTTTCTCTCTGTCTCTCTCTCTCACTGTCCACTCTGCCTGTTTAAAAAAAAAATAAGATTAATGGTCTTCAGCCATCTTAAAGAGTCCATTTCAGAAGCAGGGAACACTCAGTGCCTGCTTCTCTTCGGAGCTCTTGATGCCTGGGCTTGATGTTTATGGAGGAGCGCCTGTCTCGGGCCTGCTGTGAAAGGTTACGGAAGGTCTGCAGCTGACTCTCCGGCTGTACCAGCAGTGACGTCATTCTTCTTAAAGGCCTCGTATGCCTGGCAGCTGAGTAGCTGGCCCCAGCTATCTGACACACAGAGAGCAGAAAGCAAACCCCAGCGAGTCTATAAAGGATAAATACAGAGTTTCCCCTCCTCATTCTTCCTTCTAGACCTTCTATTTGAAATGCTGTGTGTGGAAGGAAGCAAGTATAGACTGAAAAGTTGAAGCAAGTATGTAGCTGGCCACCATCCACTCAGCATCAACAGTACTTCACTGCCGGATTGGTCTTCCCTGTAGCCACACGGAAGCGTGGACGGTTCTAAAAGCTCAGACTGTTTTAAAGCGACTTTGTTTTCACTATCGACTTCATTCAGTCGTTCCACGCTAGGACCTCTTTAAGGGTGCGGGTTGCAGAATCACAGACACAACCCCTGTCTTCAGGGGCCTTTCGTCTAGTGGGGGTAGCCAGGAGGTATTCCAGGAGTGCCCAGTTGGAAAGACTGCACCTGCTTGGGGAGTGGTTGGGGGCAGGGCTTGGGGAGATTGCGAGAAGATCTCATGGACTGGGAGCCTTTGAGGGGATCTCCCCAGCACGGAGTGCACTTGAGCCGGGCGAGCACCGTGACAAGCAGTGCTCAGGCGGGGAGAGAAGTGCGGGTGCGCGACTACGCAGCTGTTTCCCATTGCTGGTGTGCTGTGGGGCACCCTCAGGGTGTCTGTGGCTGTGGGGGACTCAGGCGCATTCTGCAGGCAGGTCCAGAGAGGGCAGCAGTGGTCAGTTTGTGCCTCAGCAGGATTGTTCCGGCAGAGCTGCAGGGAAGAGGGCGCGCACGGCCAGGAGAGCCCAGAGAGCAGGCTGACGGAGAAGCACTTCAGCAAGGGGCTTTCCGGGAGAGAAACGGGGCAGTTCAGGAGGGTTCCCTGCTGCTCGTGTCGGGATCACATGGACCCTCGTGGTGAGGGTGACCAGGGGTTCGCTGTGGGTAGAGCTCACCTGGGCCAGCTATAGGAACCCCGGGTGCAGGTGGCAGGGACAGCGCTCGAAGCTCAGATCTGGTCTGAGGGCTCGGGAGCCTGCAAGTCGTGAGTCGCTGGTCAGTATGGTTGCAGCCCCAGTTCTTTTGTAAGGCGCAGTTGGTGCTCCGCTGTATTCTGTCTCCTTTCCTTGGTTTTCTTTTGTTTTCCATCACAAGTTAAAGTTTCCATCCAGCAACTTGAACTTTCCAAAGTCTTCTGTTTCCAAGGTGTAAGAGACCCAAAAGTGCCTTTTGCTTCCACCAGGATACTCTATAAACACAGTTTGGGCTTTCCATGTAAATTTTTTGCCAGCATGAAAACAAAGTCAGGATCCTGGAACCATCCTGAGCTTTGGTAGTAGCTGTTTTTTTAAAGATTTATTTATTTGAAAGGCAGATTCACAGAGAGACAGAGGCAGAGAGAGAGAGAGAGAGAGGTCTTCCATCTGCTGGTTCACTCCCCCAATGGCCACAAAGGCCAGAACTGAGCCAACCCGAAGCCAGGAGCCAGGAGCTTCCTCTGGGTCTCCCCAATGGGTGCAGGGGCCCAAGGTCTCTGACCATCTTCTGTTGCTTTCCCAGGCCATAGCAGAGAGATAGATCAGAAGTGGAGCAGCCGGGACTCGAACCAGCACCCATATAGGATGCCAGTACTGTAGGTGGCCCCTCCCACCCACTACACCCTGCTTTTTTTTTTTTTTTTAAACTCTGCTTTCATTAAAATAATTGTGAGACTTTAAATTCCTGGTATGATCCTTAAAACTGAATTCATCAGTTGTTCATCGGCTCACTTAAAGAGTATACAGGAAATAAACAGAATTGAGATCCTTTACTTTTAAAACAGATAATCTCCTTTTATTATTTTTATGAGCCCATTTAGAGTCCTGAAACTCCACTCTCCCGCAGCCTGCACTCACGATATCATTTCTGCAAGTGCACCCTGCCCCGCCCCAGTGTTTTCAGGAATCCGCCGCCTTTTTAGTTCTGCACAGCCACAGACCCCAGACAGTGCAGACCGCAGTTCTGTGCCTCCCCAAGTAGTGGTGTAGCTAGCACTAAGCAGCCTTGTTCACGTCCACTCATTTGGAGGGAAGAGAACCAGCTCACAGCAAGCTGGCCAAAAGGGAGACTTTTCTCTGGACTCCTCGATTATATCTAATTCTCACATTTTGGGCTGCCTTAGCTGCTTTGATTCTTTGTATTTGAGTGACGCATGTCTGAATATTTATTTCTTCTCTATAGGATTCTTATTTGAAAGTATTGTTTCTTGACACCATAAGCAAATAATAAAACATTTGAAATTACGGGGGAAAAATCATGTTTTCAACCTTCTGGCGACCTAAGACTTCTTAATGCCTTTTTTGAAATTAAATGAATATCAAGACCAAGTTATAAATCCTTGTATGAACAGGGATTTATAGTCAAAATTTCAGCAGATTGCTTGCCGAAAACGGTGTGCGTGGATGGTTTTCCTGTAGACACGCGTTTTTGACGACACAGGCTGTGGGGAGAGGGTTGCCATGCATAGCACAGTTCCCGTCTAACCCGCGAATGCTCAGCTTCTGTTTTGGGGGCTGAGTGGGGACCTGGACAACTTGGGAAGAATCCAGAAACGCTTCTTTCTGAAACGCTCTTCGCACAGACTGGATTTGAACTCATGTGCTGATTTTCATTTCCTTTGACATTTTCAGACAGCAAAATCACCCAGTGGGAAGACCCAAGACTGCAGAACCCAGCCATCACCGGTCCGGTCAGTATTCTGGCATTCTGACTTAGCCCGGGACTCGGGGGCGGGGGGGACGCACGCGTCTCTCATGTGCTGGCTCCGTGACGACAGGGGACGCGCATAACTGAGCGGCTCCATGTTGCTCTTGTCCCTTCTTCGTGGGAGACTCCGGGCCAGGTTCGGCTGCCTGCGCTTTCCTTATGAAGGAAAAGGACATGGTTTGATGATGGCAGCAGAATTGCACGCTTTCTCGTGTAGTTAAAACTGTATTCTCGTGGGTTAAAACTGTATTCAGAATTTCTTCTGTTTTCGTGTGAAGCAAAGCCACGCCCTGTGTTCGGAGAGTTCCGTTGTTTCTTTAGGCCAAAGGTAGTCAATGCAGGCTAACAACCTTGGATATCTTCCAGCCTTAAAAAACATCTGTAGCAGTGGCAGCGCTACTGTGGCTCACGTCAGGAGCTGAGTTAGGGTCTATGAGACTCTGCTGACCCCCTTTCTCATCCTGCGCCTCCCCTGTGCTGAGTAAAAAAGGTGTCAGTTCTGACCACTTGAAGCCCTGCAGCACACAGCTTCTAGAAGGGGAAGGGGGAGGAGGGAGAATCCCACTGTCACTCAGTGACGGGAGACGCTGGTATTGAACCCCCACGGGTCAGTCTGTAGGAAGGCAAGGAGATGATGCAGGAAACCCAGTCGGATCAGCGGAGCGCGCCCCCTGCGGTTCTTGTGAAAGAGGCCGGAGGGACAGAAGGAACTGAGCAGAGGGCAGCAGGTAAATTAGAGAATGCTGACCGCATGGCTTTACTCTGCCTGTTCCAGTCGTGTTTTCACTTTTTAACGTAAGAGGCAGAGAGATGAACAGACAGAGCTCCCATCGACTGGTTCACTCCCCAGATGGCCCCAACGGCCCCCCGCGGGGACCACAGCCAGCCCCGTGACATGAGGGGCAGGCACCCAACTCACGGCCTGAGCCGTGGCCACCATTGCCTTCCGGGCCGTGACGCAGCGGCAGCAAGCTAGGCTCAGGAGCTGGGGCGGGGCAGCAAGACCAGTGCTCTGATGTGGGGTACGGTGTCGTTACCACTGGGCCAGACGCCTCCCCCTCAAAACAGGAGAACTTAGAAGTTACTGCGAAGCTTTGGTAGCTGGCGCTCCTTTTAGCTGTGTGCTGGATTTGCTTGCTGAATGTGGTGAGCTTCTCAGGTAGTGCTTCCTACGCGGAGCGCCGAATGAGGCCTGCACTAAGACAGTCAGCCACGTTTTCCTCTTCACAGCTGAAAATCCACTGCCTCCCGCCGGCGGCTTCCTTTGCACTTATTTAGCCACAGTTGGTTATTGGAATAATCTTTCCCCTTCCGCTGCATTAGAAACAAGGCAGAGCTGAGACACTGCTGGTTTTAGGTGGCAGAAGTCTATTCATAGGATGATTTTGAGACTTTTTCAAATACTCCCATCACCAGTCATCTGCCTTCACTTGGACATGGCGGATGCTTACTGATCCTTAGTGAAAATCGTGTAGCACCCTAGATTTGTCCCCAAGACAGATTTTTATTTGTTTTCTATCCATTGTTTACTCTTGTGTTACTATTCATGCTGTCGCTTTCACCGAGGGTGTGTCTTTTCTGTCACTGGCAACGTGTTGTTGACATTTGGCCTTTGTTGTCCATCTTTTCTGAGTACTTGGCCATTTCCAAGTGATTTTTCTTCTTAACTTACAAGTTAGTTAGAACAGCTTTTTAGCTTCTTTTTTCTTTTAAAAAATTTTATTTATTTATTTGAAAGGTAGTTGTCGCTCCCCCTCTTCGTGGAGGAACGACACAGGACCCTGCGCTGTTCTCTTGTCTGCTCGGCCCTCCCCAGGTTTGCTGCTGGTTCTTCCCGGGTTGGCTACCATCCCTTCCACCTCTGTGGAAGGGCGGTTCCCCCTGCCACTTTCCCCACTTCCGCGGGGGAGCAGCACACCACCGGCCGGCTCTCTCGGGGGCTGCACAGGTGTTCCTTCAGATAGAGGTTCCTGGTGCATGTTGTCTCTCTCCTCCTTTATAGTCCTCTTCCACCAATCCCAACTCTGCTACCCACACGCCGAGTACGCTGCTCTCCTCCAATCAGGAGCAGGTCCTGCTGTTTATTGGTTGAACTGGAGGCAGCTGTGTAGAAGCTGTTTACTTCTCTCCCAGCACCATATTGTGGGAGAGCAGATGCATAGAATAAGTCTTAATTCCAGTAACTTAGTCTAGTCCGAGTTGCTCCCAGTTGCTCCCCACAGGTAGACACAGAGAGAGAAGATCTTCCATCTGCTGCTTCATTCCCCCCAATGGCTGCAACAGCCAGGGCCGGGCCAGGCTGAAGCCAGGAGCCCAGAATTCTATCTGGGCCTCCCACGTGGGTGCAGGGCCCCAAGCACTTGAGCCATCCTCTGCTGCCTTCCCAGGTGCATTGGCAGGGAGCCGGATGGGAAGTGGAGCGGCCGGGACTCAAACTGGTGGCCGTGTGGGAGGGCAGCACTGCAGGCGGCTTGCCCAGTGCCGCTGTGCCAGCCCCAGACTTTGCGGTTCTGAGTATGGGAGGCTTTTCTCTGTGTTTTCTCATTTATAAGGATAGTGAAAAACATGGAATTAAACACTTTAGTTTTCAATCCTTGCGTGGTTTCTCATGACTTGCATTTTCCATGAACTTTTTGAAATGCCCCCATTTTTCTTGTTTTACTGCATTGTGGTATCAGAACAAGGCCCTCAGGTATTTGTTGGAGTGTATTTGAAACTTCCCTGGAGGCCTGGCATATTTTATGAATGTCCTCCTTTGTGTTTCAAAGGAGCATGCATTGTGTCTTCTGTTGGGGTAGGGTTCTTTGTGTCCATGTGGCCAAGCCCCTGGTGTGGAATTGGCCATTTTTGTGTTGCCTTTTTTTGTGCCAGTTTCACCTAATCCAGGTAGTTGTGTTAGAATCCGCATGCTGAGTGCTGCTCTGTCACTTTTGTTTGGGATTTATACCATTGCACTTGCTTTCTCTCATCCCACGCAGTTTGCCTCTTCCGTCTTCTATCTCCCTTACCTCTGGGAGTTCTCTGACTTCTTGCCCCGTGTGAGGTGCATAGAGTAGTCTGTATCTTCTACATGCCTGCAGTTGTACTCTCTGTCTCTTTGGTTTAATGTTCACCTGAGCATTTTTTTTTTTTTTTTTGACAGGCAGAGTTAGACTGAGAGAGAAAGACAGACAGAGAGAAAGGTCTTCCTTCCATTGGTTCACCCCCTAAATGGCCACTACATCTGGCACGCTGAGCTAATCTGAAGCCAGGAGCCAGGTGCTTCCTCCTGGTCTCCCATGGGGTGCAGGGCCCAAGGACCTGGGCCTCCTCCACTGCACTCCCGGGCCACAGCAGAGAGCTAGAACCCGGTGCCCATATGGGCTGCCGGCCCCACCTGAACATTTTTAACCCACATACCTGAGAGTAAAATGGGCCCCTCCACTCTCCCCCGGGTGGTGTCAGGACTCGACTGCCATTCTTCCCCCTCCGCTTTCCGCGTCACTGCTGGGTAGAATTCTGTAACTGCCTTGTCTGGAAACTTTGCAGTCGTGCCCGTTTCGCCCTTTTTCCCCAGCCTGTTGTTCTGAGGTCATTTTGCCTCCAGTGAGCAACCTGCTTTGCCCTCTGTTGGCACCTGCACGCGCCCTGTGTTTCCCAGGCCGTCTTCCCAGTGAACGGGCGGCGGTGCCAGCTCTGAGTGTGTGCTCGGCATCTGCACCGCTGGCACCTGCTGAGTGCGCAGCGCTGAGCCTCTCTGTGCTGCCAGAAGCCCTCCCAACGGTTCCCTGCCCTCTCACCCGAGCGCCTCTGCCCGGGGACCTCTCTCCGAGACTGTCTCTTGGTGTTTGCCCTCACTGTTAAATGTTACATCGGCTGATTTTAGAATCCTTGGTTACCTTATTTTCTTTCCGTGCATCGGCGATCCTCCCGCGTGTGCTCCATGACTGGTGACGGAGAGGCTCCCGTCAGTCTGATCACCATTTCCGGGAGCAAGCGCTCCTTTCTCTGGTGGTGCTGTGTGTTCTCTGTGTCTTTGACGTTCTGCCTTCTCACTGTCGCGTACCCGAGGGTGGGTTTCTCCTTGTGTGTTCTGCTTCGAGCGCAGGGTTCTTCCACATGAGGCTCGTGCCCTTGCTGCGTTCTGGGGGAATGTCAGCCGGGCGTGCTGCGTTCTTCCTGCTGTCTCTCTTTCTCCGCTCCCGCAGCTCCTGTTGGGAGCCGGGTTCACTTTCAAGCCGCCTTTCCCAGTGTTCCATCTCGCGTTGCTGGATGGTGAGTTACCACCCTGCTCTTGCAGTCAGTTCTTCCTTAAACTTCTTTGTACTCCACCCCTGTGAGCTCCTTGCGCCTCTTATCGTGGTGGCTGTGTCTAATTGCCGCTTCGTTTGGTTTTCTAAGGTCTGCTTTATCTGTAATTATTCTGCCTGTTCTTCTGTTTGTTTCTTTCGTCTCCTTTATCATCTTTATGACACTTCCTGCGTAGCCCTCTTCCAGGTGCTGGAGCCCTCGGCCCTCCCCCTTGTTCCGTCTGTAGACTCTCAGTGATAGTTTATTGCCTGGTTAGGTTATAATCTGTGTGTGAGAGAGAGAACGAATAAACAAGCTCATCTTCTTTTTTCCCCCATGGGCTTTTTACGTCCTGACCTATTTTTCCTGTTAGCCGCTCCGCCTGGGCTCACGCACCACAGCGTGTGTGACTGTGGACCTCCTCTGCGCTCTGGGGCAGGCGTGGAGTATGGATTTATTACCAGCCTGTTTGCTCTTCATTTCTCTCCCATTTATGGTCCTGGATGGGAGCTGAAGAAGCGTTCTTGCAGCTTCCCCGAGCAGGGGAGCCGTGTTGTCTTGGTCCGCTTTCCAGCATTGGCCGTGGGCCCCCTGGTGCGTGCAGGCTGTCAGCCAGGTTCTGTCTCCCTGTGGAAGGGTTCATGTCTCCGCGCTGTGCCTGGTCCCGCCCACTCTCGCCCCTGATGCTGAATCTCTCTGCTTATCTACTCCCTGGGGTTCCCGTTTCTCCCAGGTTTTAAAGAAGGCAATGTGAATCAGGCCAGTGCTTCTGTCTTTTCTGGAAGGGCCCTGTCTGTGACAGCGAGCCCGCAGCCTCACGTCGGTCAGTGTGCCGGCGTGACTGCATGCGGCATCTGCCCGGGCTGTCCACACAGGCACCGCCTCACTGCAGGGTCGCAGCACGCGCTTCCCCAGGAACCCTCAGTCAGCTGATCCGAAGCAGCGGTGTTCTCTGAAGGGCGGGCTCATGGTGCTTCCCCCAGCCTCTCAGGAACTCAGCGTGGACCACGCTGCCACCAGCCGGCCGTGTGAGTGGCAGTCAGGATGGAACCCGAGGTGTCCACGTCTCTGCAAGGAGTGCCGTGTCACCCCGACGCTGTGTCACCCCAACTCCGTGTCACCCCTTTCAGTCGTGTAGAACCGACTCGGGCACCTCGGGTTCCAGTCTGCGTGGGAAAGAAGTGCAGAGCAAAGGGGATCATTCGTGTTTCCCAAAGGGGTGTTATGCACATTTCACGGGCCTGTTGTATAAGTTACACTGTACATGAGCAAATGAGATGCAGGGGTTTGAGACAGTCGGTCAGCTCATTGCTAACAACAAGCAGGTAATTCTCTTTGGAAGCTGCACTGGGCCAGTGTCCTTGGGGTCCTTGTTGGACTCTTTTATGGAAGACAGTACAGAAAAAAAATCACATTTTTTCTTTTTAATGTAAGATGTATTTTTTCTATTTGAAAGGCAGAGTTACGGAAAGAGAGGGTGAGATAGCGAAAGAGATACCTTGCATCTGCTGGCTCACTCCCCAAATGGCCGCAACAGCCAGGGCTGGGCCAGGCCAAATGCAGGAACCAAGAGCTTCTTCCGGGTCTCCCATGTGGGTACAGGGGCCCAAGCACTTGGACCGTCCTCCACTGCTTTCCCAGGCACATTTGCAGGGAGCTGCATGGGACGTGGAGCAGATGGGACTCGAACTGGCCCCAAATCATGCTGCTGATTCCACACAAGAACAGCTTCTAGCGAGAGAAGCGAGCCAGTGTTGGAGGGGCAGGATGATCTCCAGGTCTGCCTTGTCCCCTGGGCGCGGGGCGCCCTCTTCCCAGCCACGCCTCCCCAGCACCTGCCTGGCTGCGGCTGTCACAGGCTGGGCAGTGTCCTGTTGGCTGTCGTGTAAGGCAACTGACCTTCTGCACTCAGGGATGGACGTTGAAGTCCTCTTTCAGCATTGAGTGGGGGGTGGAACAAAAGCAAAGTCATACTAATTGCTGGGCTGGCAGAGTGTGGGACATGGAAGAGCCGGGCACGCCGTCAGCTCCTCCTGCCTCACTGTGACAAAATCCCTGGGACTAGAAGATGCGGCCCAGAGCCGGCGGGGGGCGGGGGTGGCCTGGAAGTCACACTTCACAGCGCTGGCCTGAGAGGAAGAAAGGAGATCATTTTCTCGGTTTCGCCTTCCTCGACCCCAGCCAGTCATAGCTAAAGATGTCAGCAAACCCTGCCCCCCTCAGGACCTGGGGCTCAGCGCTCTCCTGGGAGCCCCAGGCGCTGCGCACGCGTCCCTCTGCCCTCACCTGGAACATTCCAGAACATTCCTTCCTTCCTCACTGCTGCTGAGCCCCTGCTTTGTGCATCGTTTCCTGGGCACTTAAAACGCCTTGCACAAGGCGGGTGCTCCAGGAGTCTGCTGAGCAAATCAGCCGGTGCAGCCCCCACCCAGAGCTGCTACACAGATCGACTGGGGGGGGGGGGCGGTAGAGTGAGTTGGTGGAGCCCCAGACGTGATGCAGCCCCTGACGCGACCGACCTTGCAGCCTCTGCCTTGTCGCGGTGATTGTCCAGACACCAACAAAACCACCACCGCACCGCAAATCAGAATTCCTACCTGGCTTCATCAGACTGAACGTTGCCTGAGACAGAGCGGACGGTTCAGTCCAGCGTTCGGTGGAAAATCGAACAAGGACCGATTCTTTTTAAAAACTACAGCCGTAAGCAGTGCAAGTTGGCTTGAGAACTTCTCGGTGACGGAGCGGCACACGTGTGATGGTTGTCAGGAAGAAGGTGGTTTCTGTGTGGGGGTAGCGATGATTTGTGGACTCGTTCCTGGAGGAGAGAAGCCTTTGTGCGTCTCTTCCTGGTCAGCGGTGACCAGGAGGGGAGGTGTGGACTCTGGGTCCTGCAGACGTTCCCCCGTGGTCTCGATGTTTTACTGCCTTGCCCCAAGGTGATAGCAGCACCAGGAGCCTCTGCTGAGGCCCAGGCAGGTGCCTGAGGCCGCCATGGTCCGGCTTGTGCAGCCATAACAGCCATCCCCCGGTGCTCAGCAAAAACGCGCAAACCAGTAGTGGAGCCGGGACTCCATGAAGGTGCCGTGACCTGCACAGCAAAGACGAGGCTGGAAATGACTGCGTGAAAATGCTCCTGCTTTGCCTGCCGAGCTGGGAGGGCTTCGGGGTAATCGGAATCCACCCAGCCTGTGAGCCCGCCCCCGCAGTTCCGGCGCTCTGGGGGGTGGGAGAAGTACTTGCCCGAGACCACCACACGGTAGGGGCAGATTTTCTGACCCCTGACTTGACTTCCTGGGATGTGGTCCGCCCGGTGGTGGGCTCCGGACCCAGGTGCCCATTCGCTGCCTTTCTGCTCGTGGCTGTCCCTGCGGGTTCCTACGGCGTGACTGGACTCTCGCGATGCCCGGCAGGTCCCCTGGGGCCTGCGTGTGAGCGCATCACAGCTGCTGACTCCGAGCCGCAGGGGGAGGTGCATACGTGAGGGCGGCGTGAAGCAGTTCACGGAGGATGGAATTAGAGGATAAATTCACCTTAGTGGGGAGAAAAATGCTTGAAGTCCTTGCAAAGGTGTTTTCCTGAACTTTGGAAGATGGCTCTGGCGTGTGGCTTTCACATACGACAGCAGCTGCATGGGGGGCGTGTTCAGCCTGGGCAGTGCCTCCCTCCTGACCCCCTCAGTGTCCGCAGAGTCGGCCCCACGAGTGACAGCCGCCCTCAGCGCTCACTGGCCCTTGCCAGTTCCACGAGTTCCCATATGCTGTGCAGACGTGTGACTCTTCGATGGGTACTGTGGACAGTGGGCTGTTGAGGCTTGTGGGTCAGTATATCCTCTAAATGTGGGCTCATAGGCACAAAACTCCCAGTGTGTCGTTCGCATTATCTAATTGTAAATTTCTCTTTCCAGGCTGTTCCTTATTCCAGAGAATTTAAGCAGAAATACGACTACTTCAGGAAGAAGCTGAAGAAGCCGGTGAGTAGTGAAGTCTCCCGGAAACGCTGTGCTCAGCCGTGTCTGAGTTCCCAGAGCGACCCCGGCACGGAAACCTGTGCTGGCCCCCGCGCGAGCCCCACCCCTGCCTGCTCCCGGCCTCCGTCTGGGCTTTCTTTCTAACAGAAACAGTAAAACGGAGAACAGCTCAGTATCACGTAGCAAGTCACCTGGATCGGTGATTTGTTCTGCAACACCTAACAGAGATGGAGGTGACTTTTATGGGCTATAAAATATCGGAACTCTGATCAGAAGATCTGGGGCAGCCCATGCAGTTACATATGAGTCTCTCATTTAATAAACCAAGAGCCACGTTAAAAAAAAAAAAACCACCCCGGTCCTTTTTCAGTTCAGAAGTGTAATTTTAATTAGCATTTGGAATACAAAGCTGGCAGCGTTTAATGGTAACACCATTAATCTGAGGTCCGGGAATGGTTTTCTTTTTCTTTTTTTTTTTTTTTTTTTGACAGGCAGAGTGGACAGTGAGAGAGAGAGACAGAGAGAAAGGTCTTCCTTTTGCCGTTGGTTCACCCTCCAATGGCCGCCGCGGCCGGCGCACCGCGCTGATCCAATGGCAGGAGCCAGGTGCTTCTCCTAGTCTCCCATGGGGTGCAGGGCCCAAGCACTTGGGCCATCCTCCACTGCACTCCCTGGCCACAGCAGAGAGCTGGCCTGGAAGAGGGGCAACCGGGACAGAATCTGGCGCCCCGACCGGGACTAGAACCCGGTGTGCCGGCGCCGCAAGGCGGAGGATTAGCCTAGTGAGCCGCGGCGCCCGCCGGGAATCGTTTTCTAATCACATGATCACGGGCAGTGGAAAACTGTGAAACCCTGTAGGAGCTCCAGGCGGCGTGCTCCCTGGCGGCTCTGTGTCTCCCGGGTTACTCTCTGGTCCCCTCCATGCTCTGGGCATTCCCAGTTCTCTTCCCAGCTTGCGCGGTCACTGCTGTCACTGTTGCACCGCTGGGGACGGGTGGCCGAGCCTCCACTCCGCTCGCCCCGTTTTCCCGCTCTCCACCCACCTGCCCTGGCTCAGGTCAGGCTCAGGCTCTGCTCTCTGTTCCAAAGTCCTGATTTTAGCTCTTCAGGAGCTGTTTGGAAAAGGACTCTGGCCATCAGCGCTGACGGATGAGCTGGTGTTGCCTTGTGAGCCGTCTGCTTGTAACTGGCAGTGTTACTGTTTCACCCTGGCTCCTGCACCGTGTGTGTGCAGCCTGCATCCTCTCGTAGAGCAAGGCCACCCTGGACCTCCTCCTCCCAGCAGGCAGTGTCCACAGCCTGTCAGGTGCCTTCCTCTTGTCCATCAGCTGTGGACTTAGGAAGCTTTCCCCAAACCCGGCGTGATCAGCAGCCCATCCCCACGGCAGCTAACGGGGAAGCATTGTGGATCCTGTCTGTCCCCGAGGGTCCCGTCCTGGCCATGTTTTGATGACCTGGGCTGAAGGCTCTTAGCTTGACTGAAATAAGAGGCAGAGTCGGCAGCACTGCCGTTTCAGGTGCCGGTGGGTAGATCAGTGCCATGGGGTGAGGTGGTTTTCTGCTGCTTGCCAGACCCTCCGTGTGTCCCTCCATCATGCCTGTGGCCCTCTGTGTGCGCAAGGAAAAACCCAGAAAGGGGAGGATCTAGCTGGGCCCTCGTCGCTGTGTCCGTTTACGATACGGTGACTGCTCTCTGTCTCCTGTGCAGGCTGATATTCCGAACAGATTTGAAATGAAGCTCCACAGGAACAACATATTCGAAGAATCCTACCGGAGGATCATGTCGGTGAAAAGACCAGATGTCCTGAAAGCCAGACTCTGGATAGAATTCGAGTCGGAGAAAGGCCTGGACTATGGGGGCGTGGCCAGAGAATGGTTCTTCCTACTGTCCAAAGAGATGTTCAACCCTTACTATGGTCTCTTTGAGTACTCTGCCACGTAAGTACACAGAATCCCTTCAGAATGAATTTCAACCTCATGGAAGAGTAAGCGGCCCGTTGGAGACGAAGTTGGGCCTAGAACAGGTTCCGACCCCAGCGTACACTGCAAACACCCAGAACTGATTCTTCCCTTGTCGGTCGGGGTCAGGAAGTTAAAATTTGCCTGCATGTTGGGCGATTGTGCTAAGAAACGAGGCAGTTTTTGCTTGAAATGTCACAAGTATCCAGGAGGGGAATCTGCCCGAGTCAGAATTCGGAAGAGACCTGTTATGACCCAGAGCTGTCTCTGCAGCCACACTCCTGAAAGGGCTTTGAGGACCCGGGTCTGAGCACACAAAGAACCACACCTTAGTGCCCTAAGGGGTGAACCAGGCTCCTCGTTGCCAGGTGTGGAAATGGATTCCGGTGCTTTCCGCACTTGGCCAATGCAAGGCCAGATGTTTCTTCTCCGCGCTGTGGAGCCCGCAAGGCTTAGGGCTGGACCTGAGCTCCCAGCAGAGCAGGTGCACACATAGCAATGCTGCATCCCCGGGCTCTGAGGGGACATGGGTCCCCCATCTTCCACCTGGTGCCCATCTCCCGATGGCTCATCTGGAAGGCAGCCCCTGTAGCTAAGAATTGCCCAGGACGGTGGTGCTGGCTACTGAGCTCCCACTATGAGAAAGCTACTCCGTAAAATTGATCATTGAAGTGGGGGTAACATGGGAGGCAAGATCCATAGCTCACACTCGCCTTCCCGAAGCTGCCCCTGCAGGAATCTGTCCACGGAGCCTCATGAGCACGAGACCAAGGCGGGACACTGTGTGTGGGCAGGCATTCTGAGGTTTGCATCGTGGCCAGCCGTATCCTGCTCCCCATGCCCCTGGGGACTTTGCCAGGCAGAGCAGTGGTCAGAGACCAAGAGTTGGAGTCCCAGGAACAGTCCTACCCCCAGGTACCAGAGCATGTCCCTCATCATCCCTGAGCCAGCCTTTATCATGTGGGTTTCTCGTCTGCCCAAGGTATGTGGGTGAAGTGTTAGAAACTGACACGCTTGTCGATCCTAAGGCGTTAAGACGGGGGTTTCCGAAGACCCAGCTATTCTGTAGGGCGTACAGGCGTGGTCGCAGAGAGGAGCTGGCTGGATGAGGCACCCGCTCCAGCTCCCACCTTTTCCCGGGAAGTGCAGAATGTTTGCAAGTGGCGAAGAAACGTCAAATTCTGGAATTTGTCTTTAAAAAGTAACTGTCGGGCTTTTCTTCTTTCTCCTTCTCCCAAAGGGACAACTACACACTTCAAATCAACCCCAATTCAGGCCTCTGTAATGAAGACCACTTGTCCTATTTCACGTTTATCGGGAGAGTCGCGGGTCTGGCCGTATTTCATGGGAAGCTCTTGGATGGTAAGTTGTTAGGGCTTCGTGGAACATACACAGGACAGTGCGGTGTGTGGCTCTGCGTTAGACATTTTGTCTTGCACCTCACGGGTTTTTAAAAGGTGTCTATCTGGTTCTCTTTAATGCAATAAAGTATTTTTCCATTCGGCCCAGAACAGAGATATTTTTCCCTGGTAACATCTTAACTGGGGGCACTGGAGACACGGTGTCTACATAGTTAGGAAATTTATTTTGAAACCATGAGTGTGGAGCACAAAGCATTCTGTATCTGTGCATTCTGTGTGGTTTCTGGAATAAATTGTGAGAACTGGATTTGGTGACAGATGGAAAAGCTAATTGAGAAGTTAATTTAAAATGATCGAATCCCTCCATCTTCTGCCACTGTCCTGTTTGTCCCCCAAAGTACTATTTTTTTTTTAACGTGAAGAGATTAAGCAGTTTCAAAGTAATGTTGTTGTAAGACCTTCACCCTAGACCCTCTACTGAGACAGATGATGGCCCTGTTTGTACTTAGAGCATACAAAGAACGGACAGATTTCAGGGTGCCGGGGAAGTCGGTCAGAGCCGCCGTGGCTGTGTGCACGTGACAGCCCGGGGGGATTCTTGTGGACTTAGCCAGGTCGGAAGCAGTACCCGCCAGAGGACACTGCGGAAAGCAGCAGTGAGGAAGAGCACTCAGAGACGTTGTTAGGGACTCAGGGCGGGAGACAGTAAGATGTCAGATCCATGCTGCAGCTTGGAAAGCGGTTCCACGAGAATTAGCTGACGGCGTTCATGGAGCGTGGCTGCTCCGGTACGTAGCCGGTGCGTGCACCCTGCTCTCCCTCGACGCACGGCTGCCGCTCGTTGCTGGCCGAACCGGGTGCTCCAGCTTCAGGATTTCATTTTTGGTTGCGGGGAGAAATAAACACTTTGTTCAGACTGGGAGGAAACGACATTACCTCCTTCTCTGTAGTGAGAATCTGTGTGCGGTATGAATCCATGTGTATGTAGTATGAATCTTTGTGTAGTGTGACTCTGTGTGTGTACTGTGAATCTGCGTGTAGTGTGCATCTTTGTGTGTGTGTGTGCTGTGGATGCACTTTAATGTGCAGGCTCACACCCTGTGTTACTTCCTCCTGTTAGATTCACTTGCTCCTCCTTAGAAGCAGATCCCCAGTGGGGAGACACTGTTGGCTGCCGTGGGTGATTGTGGGGGAGTGTGAGGCTCCTGCCCTCCGTGCACTTTGTGTTTCAGTAGGAAAGAGAGAAAATCAGCGACAGGGTCTGGGCAGAAGGGCGCAGGCGGTGCGGGGCGTGGCTGAGCACCAAGGCCCCGTGGAGGGACATGAGTCCAGTGGAGGATGTGGGAGCCTGCTGCTGTGGGCCCCACGAGAGGGGTCATAGTGCACGTCAGGAGCTGCAGGACGGAGCCCACAGGGTCTGTGGTGCCTGACACTTGTGTCAGCTGGGGTGCTCACCAGGCCACCCAGCTGCCCTCACTGCCCTCAGGGAGCAGCCCCCACGCTCTGACCTGCTCCCCTCATGCAGGGGCGCCCTGTTGTCCTGGGGACACCCAGTCCTGGTGCCCTGGCCAGCCACCTCCGCCCAGCGCCCTGTCCCCCTCATCCTGCACCCCAGACTCCTGCCTGGCCGTGAGGCCTTTTCCAGCCCTGTCTGCTGCTGCCTTCCTCCCGCCCAGCCTTCCCGGGCCCTTGTCTGTTTGGGCATGGATCTTTCTAGATGGTCCTGCTTTAATCCGCACTACTGTCCCGTTCAGTTGGAAGGCGGGTTTTTCTTTGTCTTTGGTTCCATGCTCTGCCCCGTATTGGTACCAGAGGTTTGACACTCAAGCCAGTTTTTGCCTTGTAGGTTTCTTCATCCGCCCGTTTTACAAAATGATGCTGGGGAAGCAGATAACCCTGAACGACATGGAGTCCGTGGTGAGTAGCTGCAGTCCTCGTCCTGGGCAGCGTCTGCCCCCTGGGGTTGGTGGCTGTCTTCTGTCCGTCACCTGATGTGGGGCCTGTGCACCCCGGGCAGTGCCAGGCGCCCCCACTGTATGTCCTGCAGTGGCGGGATTCTGAGCTCTGTCCATTGTACCAGGCAGCGCTGACCGGGGCTTTCAGCCCTCGGTGCCCGGGTGGAAGAAGCAGAGACCTGTGGTGTTCTCAGCCCCGCTGCTGGCTGCTCGGCCGCGGCCAGGCTGATGTCCCAGAGGACGGTGAGAGGTCTGAGGAAAAACGGAATTGGGGGATGACTGCGTTTTAGTGTGCGCAGTGTTAAAAGTCCACACGGACTTTCTAGCAGTACACTGCAGAGAACTTTTCAAAGACCGCTGTGTGCATGAACTTCAGGTGGTTTTTTTTATGTCCCAGAAATAAAGTTAGCCTTGAACTCCATTTCCACAAACCTGTGAAGACACTCGTCCATGTGCAGGGGAGAGAGAGAGAGAGAGTGCGAGCGAGAGAGGGAGAGAGGTGTCTTCGTTCACTGGTTCACTTCCCAAATATCCTACAACCACCAGTGCTGGGGCAGGCCAAAGTCAGGAGCCAGGAGCCTCATCTGGGTCTCCCATGTGGGTGGAGGGGCTCAAGTGGTTGGACCATCCTCTGCTGCTTTCTCAGGCTCATTGGCAGGGAGCTTTATTGGAAGTGGAGAAACTAGGATTCGAACTGGCGCCCATATGAGATACCGGCTGCACAGGTAGTGGCTTAACCCTCGACACCACAATGCCAGCCCCCAGATTAGTGTGTTAGGTACAGTGTGTGTGAGATCTTTGGCCTTTCCAGGGCTTGTCAGCTCCCCAGCCATGAAGACCTGAGGCCTGACCAGCAAGAGGAGTGTAGAGGGCCCTTGTGCCACCTACTCTGGATTGCAGAATCAGAGCAGCCTCCAAACTAAATGGCAGGAGGCTGATGCTGGGCACAGTAGTGAAGACTTGGGACACCTGCGTCCCTCATTCGGGTACCTGGGTCTGAGTCTTCCCTTTACTTCAGATTCCAGCTTCCTGCAGGTGCACACCTCGGGAAGTAGCAAATGATGGATCAAGTACTTGGGTCCCTGCCACCAAGGGAAAGACCTGGATCGGGTCCCGGGCTTCTGGCTTCAGCCTGTCCCTGTCCCATCTGTTGCGGGCATTTGGGAAATGAACCAGCAGATGGAAGGTCGATCTCTCCCATTCAATCTCAGAGGCTTTTTCTCTCTGCCTTTCAAATAAAATGAAAACACGAAAATATAAACTTTTAAAATTAGAGTAACACGGCCGGCGCCGTGGCTCAATAGGCTAATCCTCCACCTTGCGGCGCCGGCACACCGGGTTCTAGTCCCGGTCGGGGCGCCGGATTCTGTCCCGGTTGCCCCTCTTCCAGGCCAGCCCTCTGCTGTGGCCAGGGAGTGCAGTGGAGGATGGCCCAGGTGCTTGGGCCCTGCACCCCATGGGGAGACCAGGAAAAGCACCTGGCTCCTGGCTCCTGCCATCGGATCAGCGCGGTGCGCCGGCTGCAGCGGCGGCCATTGGAGGGTGAACCAACGGCAAAGGAAGACCTTTCTCTCTGTCTCTCTCTCTCACTGTCCACTCTGCCTGTCAAAAATAAAAAAAATAAAAAAATAAAAAAATAATAATTAAAAAAAAAATTAGAGTAACACAAGCACAGAAAAGGGTGTGCATTCAAACCATCGTGATTTGCCTAGAATGTTCACTGTCCTTCCCTTGGTCCTGTGACCACGTCGTCCATTGCTGCTCGGCGGTGGGAAGCAGGTGGGTCTCTGTGTGTCGGCTTCTGGACCCGGAGGTTTGTGGCTTCCGTTGTGTGTCACAGAGCACAGGTGCCAGCCCACACCCCGTCCCTGCAGGGACTGTGTGTGTGCGCTTGTTCGTATTTTAAACTGCAGAGGACGGGTTGGTGGGGTGGAGCAGGACGGGCCATGCATGTCCGTGAGCGGTGCAGTTTCTGAGCGTTCTGCACACGATCGCACTCGAAGGTCTTAACTGTTGAAAGAAGTCAGTCGCGTTGGTGTTCTGGGAAAAAATTAAAATTAAGAAAAAAAAAAAACTCGGTTTTAATTTCTGTGTTGTGCTTCTAGGACAGTGAATACTACAACTCTTTGAAGTGGATCTTAGAAAATGACCCCACCGAACTGGACCTCATGTTCTGCATAGATGAGGAGAACTTCGGGCAGGTGCGTGCGGGAGGCCCCGGGAGCCCTGCTCTGCAGGCCAGGCCCCAGCCTTGCTGGGCAGTTAAAACCAAGCAGCAGGCGCTTAGGGCTCATCAGCGCCTCATTGTTGTATGGGAATCCAAGTCCAGGCTCAACCAGCTGGCTCCCCCCGCCCCCAAGGCGTTCCCAGGGACTGTTTCCCGGGCACCTGGGTGTTGGAATTCAGGTACCTGGAGAAGCAGTGTGATGGTCTCTTGGCAGTGTGAATGCGTGGCTGTGACTTTGAGGGGCCTGGGTCTTTTCTCTGGTTCTGTGTCTGGGTTCCCGGTAGAAGTCAAAAATGCGTTTCAGGATGAAGTGGCCTGCCTGGGGTCGCATTGTCCTCCCGAAGACCCCAGGAGTGACGATGCCTCCGTGGGAGGTGTCCCCAGAGCGGCATCTGACCCGCGGTGTCCCACCTCTCAGAGCGCGCTTCTGTGGCCTTGGAGCGAGGGAGGTCACGGAGCCCACTTTAAAGGGTTGCCACATGGAAGACGCATGTGCCCCGCGCTGCTCGGAGGTGACGACAAGTTCGTCCCACTAGCACAGCTGCGTTTGCGGGTCTCTTCCCCTCAGAGTTCTGTGGGTGACGTTACGAATCGGCCCCTTCCCCTCCTGGCTTCCTAGAAATCTCAGGAACAAAAGTTGCTGAGCGGGTGGGTAGCAAGGAGTCAGTGACAACCGGGAGGTGAAATTGTTGAAAAAGAAAATGACTTGCTCCTGCATATCACGTACTGGAGGTGGGTCCTGCATATCACGTACTGGAGGTGGGTCCTGCATGACGGGGTGTGGGCCCTGGGAGGGGTGGAGCCTGGCGGCTCCGTAGCATCCTCCCCCCTGGGTTGGGTGAAGTTTGTAGACAAGTTTTGGGCTCCAAGGACAGGGACCACGAAGCTCCCCTCTGTCCACCACCCCTCCCCGTGGGTGCTGCCTACATGGCTGGGGGTGCTGCCCAGGACCCAGTGCGCTGCCTGCGTCTCCTCCTGTGGGCTCCCTCCTCCCACCACGGGCTGTGTCAGTACCCTGGAGAGGCCTGGAATCACACAGCTTACCCCCTTCCTTCCTCACCTCTCTCCCTGGTTGATTCCGGCTCCTTGAAGGGTGGGCTTCCTCCGCTGGCCCGGCAGACGCAGCCGACCCTCTGGCCGCAGTACTCTCTGGGCTGTTCCTCTTTGCACCTGCTCAGTGCAGGCCAGCTGCTGTCCACACTGCCTGGCTCCCGCCGCCTCTGAAAGGCCCAGGGCTCTCCTCACTGAAGCCGTGCTCTCCCCACGAGACCCCACGCCTGTTCTGCTCTAATTAGTTCCCCCACCCACCCGCTCCCTCCCAGAACGTGGGCATCATGGTGGAACCTCCCCTCCCGCTCACTCCGCTCGGGCTCCCCGTGCCCGGCAGGGACCAGGTCCTGCGGACTCTGGCTCTGTTGCTTTTCCTGTCTGCTCTTTGCACTGGTCCCTGCCCTGCTTGTTTCCTGGCCGCGTGGTGGCAGCAGCCACCTGTCGCTGTCCCCAGTGCCGGTTCTGCTTGCCTTCCCCGTCCACCCCTCGAAACAGCGAAGGAGTGACGCGTGCCGTGGTTTTCAGCTTGCCTTCACAGAAGCTTTGCCACATCAGTCCATCGTTCTGATGATGACGCTGAGTCTCCTTTGCAGACGTGGCGCGTGTTCTGAGCCAGGCCCTGTTGGCCAGCGCCGAGGGTGTTTGCGTAGTCACTGTAAACACACGGTTCTGCGTAATAGTCCCGGAATAGTCACGTACAACAGAGACCGCACTCCTGCAGCGCGCATCCTGCTTGCTTGACTGATTCTCCTCCCTCTGGTAGAAATTCGGAAAGAGAGATTTGGAAAGGGATATGCACATCAAAGTGTGGGTGCCTTTTTTGCCACATACCTTCAAAAAGCCGGCACCAGCTTGTCTCCCTCCCCGGGGCAGGCGGGGCCTGGCCCTCTGTGCTCTGCAGCCCTGGTTCCTTTTTCCCATGCCACCGCCCTCCCTGTCTTGTCTGGTTCAGCAGCTCTGGATCACGACTCCAGACAACACCTGGGAAGCCGTGGGAGCCAGGGCAGTGGAGGGGGAACCGGAAAGGATCACAGAGTGGATTGCAGAGACTCTGGGCATCCTGTAGACCCTCAGAGCTGGGGCAGAGGCCAGGAGAAGCCGTCTGTCTCGGTACAGCTGAGCACCATTGTCATTGCTAACTTGTCACTGTGGGGTGGATGGAGAATTTTATTACCACTTGGAACAGCAAGGCAGTCCGGGGGGGGGGGGGGTACATGCAGAGAAGAAAAATCCAGGCTGGAGCTTACTAGAAACCTCTACAAAGCTTGGGCACAACCGCTGCCCACCACCCTGCAGAGGATTGGCAGCACATTCCCGTGGGAAATGTCCCCAGACTGCTGCAGGAAACAGCCGGCGCTGTCCTCCACTGAGGGGAGGCGTGCGGAAGGGCTCCAGGCAAACGGGCAGTGCAGGACCCAAGGTCGACCCGGTCAGGGACAGGCCAGAGCGACACCACCCGTGAAAGCAGAGTTTGGTTGTGTGAGGGAGAAGCACACGGTGGTGTCCCCAGGCCCAGGAGGAGGCAGAGGGAGGAAGCCAGTGTAGGGGGGCCGGGTGGTGGTCCCTGAGCTTGGATGAGAAGAGCCATCCAGCTGTGATTCTGCAGTGTGGGCTCCGTGTTCCCCCACGCTGAGGGCTCCCTGCTGCCACTGGAGCACAGATTTCATTACAGGTTGACAGCTGTGTCCCTCGGTTTGGCTGTGGCGCCCTCTCCCCGGACTGGGCGCTCTGAGCATAGAGATGAGACTCCAGGGGCTCTCCCAGAGCTTTCCTCTGGCATCTTTCAGTGGGAGAATGGGGGGGGATGGGGCGAGTTGGTTCCAGTTCCCCCGTGGGTATCAAACTCTACAGACACTTAAGTCTGTTGAATAAAATGGCAGCGTGTAATCTCCACCAGCTTCCGTGTGCTAAGATCACAGCTGTGGGTGATCTGGAACACCTACAGTGAGAGTGCTACCGCAGTAGTCATTACACTGCACCGACTGATGAGAAATGTCGGGACAGGAAGGGTGTGCGGGTTCAGTACAGGCTCAGACGTTTGTCCAGAATGTGTGCTGCCTGCAGTAGGCGGAACCCGTGGGCGTAGAACCTGTCGGCACCGAGGACCGAGTATTTTCTCCCCTAAATTTCTACGATGAGAAGCATTTTATTTGAAATGGTAGGCGTCGGCCTCGTGGCCCTAGTGCTGGTTATGACTCTGTGCGTGGTGACATCGAGGGGAAGGTGGTGCCTGGATTTGCTCAGCTTTCCTGGCTGGTGTCCATGGGTGGTCCCAGAGGGACGGCAGAGCAGGGTGCGGGTGTCCCAGACCGATAAGCGCCTCCCTGCCCAGCCTGGCTTCTTCAGCTCCTTTTTTTAAGTCCCCATGTTTTTGGCCTCTTCCAAAGAAATCGCGTGCCTCCCTTCTGATAACTATAAAATTTAATTTTCAGAAGCAAGATGCATCAGAACTTGGGTCTCTAGTCCTGACGGATGTGTCCGGCTCTTTGCTCCGCTAAACATAATCTCTTGATGGGTGAACTTGAGATGGAAGCAAGGTCGCCCTTTCCCACTGGTGCTGCTACAGGAAGAGTAATCAGTCATAAGCAGCCATGAAATCGCTGGCCTTTGGTGATGGCATCATGAAATATGTCCGTCTTAACAGTCCAGGGCCTCGTTAGGTTCTCTCTCGTATGCAGAACCCATTTCCTGAGAAATCTGAACAAATTGTGCTTGTCGTCCTTCTGATAGTAGGATGTTACTGCTCCCTTTGCAGAGTGACTTCGTGGTGGTGACTGTGGCTTGATCTTTGTCGTTGCAGACATACCAAGTGGACCTGAAGCCCAATGGCTCAGAGATAATGGTGACGAATGAAAACAAAAGGGAATATATCGAGTACGTATGCACACGTGCAGGCCTCTCCTTGTGCCAGCTGGAATGCACCGTGGGCGGGTGGCGACTGGTCAGTTTTCCACAGGCCAAGTTCCTCTCGGGGTGCACTGTGGGAGGTTCGTGGCAGGGTGGAAAGCTGGCCCTGCAGCACGGCGGCCGTGAGCTGCCGTGGGAAGGGGTCGGGGCGAAGTTGCACGCCTCCTTGAGTAACACGGCAGGCACTCTTGGAGAATGGGCGTCTCGTCTGAAGTTCGGTGTCAGTGCCCAGCATGACGAAACTGGGGGCCGCCCAAGGTGAGATGTTTTCTCTCCGTCCCTACTTCACTTCCATAGTAAATAGAGAGGAAAATAGTTAAAACGGGCAGGAAGAACGCGTGTGCGAGGGTAATGAGCTATTCTTTAGCAGTACTTTCCTAACCCCGTCTCAGCCTCGGCTGGGAAATCAGACTGTTGAGTCCTTTTGGGGCTCTGCTGTGGGGTAACCCGAGGACGCTGGCACCAGCAGAAGGTCTTTATCTGACCGCCTCATGTTTTCCTCCTTGGGAACTGCATGAGGGATATTCCAAAAGTGCATGGTCATGGACAATGCATATTATGAAAAATCCAGACATGGGTTTCAAAAAATTTGGCACCCGAATAAACGTGATGTTTCATTCCATTTTCCACGACCGTGGTTCAGACACGCGGTCCTGGGCCGTCCTAGGGCTTGCCAGGCTGCAGGGTGGGAAGTACAGCAGCGCTGAGCCCTGCACCGGGCGGCTCAGAGCCTGAGTGCCTGTCTGTGTCCCGGGCTCCAGTCCAGCCAGCCAGGTTCCCCCCGGACTGAAACTGCCCAGAGCCCTTCTGTCCAGGGGATGGGCTGGGGGTTGGCTCAGCGTCACCTGGCGTGAGCTGCAGAGAAAAACCCTGTCCTGCCGAATTAGGAAGAAAGGGAGAGCGTCGAGGCTCCTCTCGGAGACCCCGGCAGGGCGAGCCCATGGCATAGCCGCCTGTTGCGCTGACGACTGGAGGTGACCCCTGCAGTCCTTACCTGTCCATGCTCATTGCCACACTTGCCTGAACTTGGACGGTCTCGCACGTGACACCCTGGGAGACGGCACTGTCTGCAGAATGTGCAGGCCGGGAATAGATTTTTAAAATTGCTGCAGCCACAGGTGACCAGGAGTTAAGTCTGAGGAATCCCACGTGTGTTGGGCACCGCGCTTCGCGGTTAATTGTTTTTGGGCTGTAACGTGAGGGCCAGGCAGGGTTTCAGCGCACTTCCCTGAGAGTAGTGGTTCAGACAGGCCGCCTGACACCTGCCATCCCGCGGCGCCGGGAGGGCCCTGGGTGGGGGAGGCCTGCGCTCCTGCCAGTCAAAGCCTCCTACGGTTGAGCCAAGGTCACACTGCCGGCTGCTGCTCGGGGCTGTGGTCATGGCGCCACCGCAGCAGGGAGAGCCCTTCGTGACAGTGGTGCACCCGAAGTGGAACCCAGAGTGGACGCGTGTGCAGCAGATGATGCTGTGTAGACAGTATTGTCACAGAGAGACTGTTAAAGAGGGCTCAACACTCGCCTGCCGAAGTGGATACTAAAGTAGCAGCGTGCAGCTGTATCACCGGGAAGACTTGGAGTGTAGGGACTGCAGCTACTCGAAAGAAACCTCAGGAGCAGAATACATGGTGCTGGGTTTCCCCTTTACACACGAGTGTGTGTGTGTGTGTGTGTGTGTGTGTGCGCGCGCACCTGTGTATTTGAACGTGCCTGTGGCTGTGTGTGCTTTGACACATCCCTGTCTACTCAGCCAGGGGCCTTTCTCTCCTCCACGTGGTCACGTCCGTGAAGCAGCTAGGACCAGCTGCGCCTTGGTGGGCTAGGGAGGCAGGGGGTCAGTTATGCTTTGACCGTTTCCATGAGACTTTGAGATGTCTCGCAGATGCTCCAGCGATCTCAGACTGCACGGTGGGGTCCCAGCTGTCGACCCTCCCTTCGGCTGCGTTCCTGGGGGAGGGGGGTCTCTCTCCCTCCCTGTCCCGTGTAGCAGTTGCAGCTGAGGAGGAAGGAGGGGGTGGCGGCAGTGTCCATGGCTGAACCTGCCCTGTTCTCCCCTGCAGCTTGGTCATCCAGTGGAGGTTCGTGAACCGGGTCCAGAAGCAGATGAACGCCTTCCTGGAGGTGAGCTGTGCAGGAGACGTGGGGAAACCGAGGCAGGGTGGGAGTGGGGCAATGCAGGGAGGCTGGGACGTCACAGCTCACGCTGGCCAGCTGCCGGGCCAGAGGGCTCGGCTGTTTTACCACCACCTTTTTTTAAAATTTTTTTCATGTTAAAGGCTCTCATCTTTGGCTTCTCTCATTTTTTAACTTAATAAAGAGGGCTTTTTACAGAGCTGATGCGGAGCTGTTGACTTGGCACTCCAGGGTGGCCCCCAGGAGAGGGCTGCCCATGGTAACAGGTCCTGGGAAGGGCAGGGTCCCGACGAGCTGTCCCTCCCTGTCCCTTCCTTGCCGTCTGAATTCCTCAGATTCTCTCCTGTAACAGCTGCATGAAAAGCAGTTTCTCAACTCGAGGTTTTATTTCGAATCCAGCCGCCTCGTGTGGGAGAGAAGCCAGCACTTCCCAGGTCCAAGTGTTTGAAGTCAGGGCTGCCCCCGGCCCTGCCTGGAGGCCCCCAGCATGGGGCGATGGACTTGTCATTTCTGGGTGTTTTCGCTTTGGCCGAGAGTGAGATTGCTTCATCAGGGAGGATGGACGGGGGACGCCCCGCCCCCGTGTGCCCAGCCCCCGCTGCCTGCGCAGAGCTCCCATTGGGTGCACTTCAGGCACTCTCCCGCGATGAAGGAACCTCTTGCCCAGGGGGTTCTCAGAAAGCTCCCGGGTCGTGCTGTGTGAGCACAGATGTCAGGGTCACAGGTGTCATACTCCGTTTAGGTTCAAGACCCCAGGAGGCAGGTGCCCGGGCCCCGCCCACCCCCAGGTTAGTTAGTTGGGGACCACCTGGGGACCAAGCCTGGTCCCTGTCCTCCCAGCCTCTGCCGCCCCGGGTCGCACAGCCTCCTCTGCGTTCCTCCGCCGTGTCTGCCGTGCACCTGCGGCCTGTGTGTCTCAGGACACACTGACTCGGCAGCATCTCACCTGGCCTTTGGAATCCACCTGCCTGCAGTACCCTGCGTCTTCCTAGGATTCCAGCGACTCCTCAGGACCCAAACTTCCTAGAGTCTGTAATTTTCAGAGCTTCCGTTGTGACTGTGCTGTTACTGGAACTGTGGTTGCTTTGCTGCTGTCAGTCATCAGTAAATACTCGCTTTTCCTGTAAGTTCTGTTTCTCAAGGAAAAACGTGTTTACGGTGTTTTTCGCTTGTTTCTTCCAGGGATTCACAGAACTCCTTCCCATTGACCTGATTAAAATTTTTGATGAAAATGAGCTGGAGGTTTGTATCATCAGCAGTTCACGTGGCTGCTTCCAGTACCTATCACCGCCTTACAAATGACGCTGAAAAGCCCTCGGATCCCAGTGTCCTAGGGAATAAGTTTAGGTGACTTCTGACCCCGAGCTTCCTCGGGGGTGTTTGCCGATTGGGGCATAAGGAATAGAAGAGCAGTAGACGGTACATTTCCTGTTGGCGGCACTGGGGCTGGAGAGCAGACCGAGTAGCACAGGCCCTCCAGGCTGTGTGGGGTTCCCGGCCCTGTGCCCCCGCTGTGCTGGCCAGGCCACAGCTCCTGCGCTGCCTCCCCAGTGCCCCCAGGGCTAGATGCATCCGCTAGGGGCTACGGGACAGGGCTCACGGAACTTGAGTGGTTTGTGGCAGGACAGCAGAGAGCAGAAGGCCGGTTAAGGACCGGCTGTCCCAGCTTTGTGGTGTTGATGAGAAATTGCACCCAAAAAGCGCTCGGCTCTACCCCTGGGTGCATGGAGAGAAACAGGAGCAGGAGAGCCTGGACCGTGGAGAAGCACTGACCGGTTGTCCAAGCCACAGCCGGCAAAGCCTTTCTCCGGTGCTGGAAACCTCAGGATAGATGATGTAACAGAAACTGTGTACTATAGGCCCTTGGTTTGACAGGGAGGGAAACTGAGGCAGGGAGGAGGCCGTAACTTCACAGGTCTGCCCAGCAAAGTCTGGGTCAGGCCTGTGAACCCGGCTCCGAGGCTGCCTCGTTCAGTTCTCTCTGCCCTCCGCCGCAGTCCCGCTGTGGGCATCTCACGTCCGTTTGTCCCTGCTGGAGAGCTGCACAGGAAGAGCAGACCTCCGACCAGATGCCAAGTCAGAGAACCAGTGATCCCCGGCCCGTCTGCCTCTGGATAGAGGACGTGGCCGGCAGCACCTGCGTAGGCCAGGCGGGGAGAGATGAGTGCGTGCTGTCACCGGGCTGCGGTTTTCAGTAGTAAGACAGATAAACACTCAGGAGAGGACACAGCCCAGGTGGCGTGCAGAGAGAACCAGAGACGTGAGGAAGGTGACGGAGGAGGACTTTAGTGCCAGTGTGCCTTGTCCAGGCCTCGCACAAGGGCTGGGGTTGGGTTACCCCTGTACCTGTGCTACGTCCATGATGTGTGGCAGGGAGAGTGAGGTGCACCTGCGCGCCTGCTGTCCGTGGGTTGTGTGCATTGCCAACCAGCCAGCCAGCCTGCCTGCGTCACTCACATCTGGTCACTGTCCCCCACAGTTGCTGATGTGTGGTCTCGGGGATGTGGACGTGAACGACTGGAGACAGCATTCTATCTACAAGAACGGCTACTGCCCAAACCACCCGGTCATCCAGTGGTTCTGGAAGGTAACCCGGGCCCCGGCCTGCCCCTGTGCCCTCTCCCCCGGCAGCATGGAGGGCTGCCTGGCACCTGAGGACCGGTGCTGGAGACGGGGTCTCTTAGTGCTTAGAGTGTGGGGGAGGAAGAGCAGACGGTGAGGCAGGGGTGAGGCTGGCCTGGCGCCATGTGCTGTCCTTCCCTGGCCCCCGGCTAAGGCGATGCTCACGGGGCAGACAGCTCCGATAAGGACTGCACTGGTTCCAGGAGCCCCAGGACAAATCCTCATGGCGTGAGCAGCCCCTGGAACGTCTGAATACGAACGTGCTGTGGCCCTGGCTTCCCAGGGGCTGTTGTCTGTTTAAAAATCATCATCTCCATTTTTGTATATCATTCTCTGTTTAAAATCGTCTTTTCCATTATTTTGTATCGATTACAACATTTTGGTTGTAATCAACCAAATGATTCCAACCAGAGATGGAAATGAAACCTCATTTTGCGGCTGAGGGCCAGTGTTCACGTCCTGGGTAGCTGAGGAAGGAAGTGAAATAGGATTTGGGTTGGCCAAGAGACAGATGGCACACCAACTCTGAACAAAGTCACACTCCCCCTCCTCCCCAAATGATTCAGTTACGGGGAATAAAAAAACCTTTAAGTGGCCGGTGCCGTGGCTCAATAAGCTAATCCTCCATCTAGCGGCGTCGGCACACCGGGTTCTAGTCCCGGTCGGGGCGCCGGATTCTGTCCCGGTTGCCCCTCTTTTAAGCCAGCTCTCTGCTGTGGCCCGGGAGTGCAGTGGAGGATGGCCCAAGTGCTTGGCCCCTGCACCCCATGGGAGACCAGGAGAAGCACCTGGCTCCTGCCTTCGGATCAGCGCGGTGCGCCGGCCGCAGCGCACCAGCCGTGGCGGCCATTAGAGGGTGAACCAACGGCAAAAGGAAGACCTTTCTCTCTATCTCTCTCTCTCACTGTCCACTCTGCCTGTCCAAAAAAAAAAAAAAACCTTTTAAGTGGTTTCGATTTCTAAGTGTGTACTGATACCTCACGCACCAGCAGAGGCAGAGAGCAAAAAGCAGAGCCTGCAAGTCCTCACCCGAGTCTGCCTCAGCTTGGGTCTGAATTCCGTAAGGCGGTCGAACGGACATTACCAGTAGCCCCTGCAGCCGTTCAGACCCGGGCGGTGCCTGGCCTTGCCTCTGCTTTCTGTTCTGTTTACCAAGTGTCGTCTTTGGAGAATGTACCTGCAGCCAGAGTTCCTGTCTCACCCCCCAGTACCCCGCGTGTGGGCACCTCGGACACACCCAGCGTTTACCGTGGGCTCTAAAGGAACCTGCAAGCCCAGAGCACAGAACCGCAACCTTGACGCCATCAGAGTTTGCTTTTCACGTCCTTGACTTTGGCCTGGAGAGAGACAGCGATCGCCCCTCGCTGGGACTGGGGAGGCCGGGGTTGCCATGGACTGGAGTGCGCCCAGTATGCCTGGCACCTGAGGGGTACCTGGGTTTCTAGAGTCGGCCGCAGGGAGCTAACGACGCCTGCCTCCGTTCACAGGCTGTGCTTCTGATGGACGCCGAGAAGCGCATCCGGTTACTGCAGTTTGTCACGGGCACGTCCCGGGTACCTATGAATGGATTTGCCGAACTTTATGGTGAGCGGCTCTGGGCCCGTGGGCTCCCAGCCAGGCGACAGCTGTGGCCGAGAACACTGGCTCGCAGGTCGCTGCACCAGGCTGGACAGGAAGTGCTCTGCAGAGAGGTCCCGGTGCTCCTGCCCCGAGGGAGGGAGCTGCCCATGGCGAGAACCCTGACGGTGGTCTTGCCCTCGCTTTCTAGTTGGGATTTTTGGTGTCTCAACCCTGGGCTTTGCAGACTCAAGCGTGTGGTTATAAGCCGATTGTTTCAAGGCCCCTCACCTCCCAGGAGGCAGTATTCCTCAGTACCTACTGTGGAATCTCAGGAAGTCACTCCCTGCTCTGCGTATTGGAGGTTTTGTCTCCAGAAGTAGTTTGAAGTTTGTCTTCCCAGGTTCAGTCAAGAGGCGCCAGCGTCTGCACCTGCACGTGTCCTGGCGTCTTAGCAGGCTTGGTGGGATGCCACCCTGCGGGCAGCAGGGCGTCCGTGGCAGGAGCATGGGCTGCTCTCCCGAATCCGCCAGCAGAGCTGTGTGGGGACGGAGCAGGGGTGGGGCAGGGCAGACCCGCGTCCCCTCCTCCCCTGTCCTCCCTTGCCGTTCACCTTGCTTGTCCTCTTCTCGTTTAGGTTCCAATGGTCCTCAGCTGTTTACAATAGAGCAATGGGGAAGTCCTGAAAAGCTGCCCAGAGCTCACACATGGTGAGTGAGGAGAAGCGCGTGGCGGCCGAGCAGTAGTGCGGGCTCTGCGCTCCAGGTCCCTCTGCCTGCGGGCTGGGGAACACTGCCCTTCCCCCCCAAGGCGGGCTCGGGCCAGGAGCTGACAGGGACGCACAAGGCACTGAGTGGATTTCAGCCAGGACTTGAACGCACCCAGCACACCTGGCACGTGAAGGGTGTTTATAAGCTCGCCGTGCTGTGGGAACCTCTGCAAACCCTGCGGCCACCCAGTTCTTGGCGGTGTCTGGGATCAGACCTCTGCTCACCGTCTGTGTATGGCGGCTCCCAGCTTCCAAACCGGGTGTTTTACTCCAGTGTTGAATTGATTGTTCAGGGGGTAAGCATTTGGCTCGGCAGTGAGGATACTGACTGTTGGGCATGCCCACCTCCCTTATCAGAGTGCCTGGGTTCGAGTCCTGCCTCTGCCGCTCATCCAGCCTCCTGCTTGCACACTCCGGGAGGCAGCAGGTGAAGGCTCAAGTACTTGGTCCCTGCCAGCCGCCTGGAAAACCCTGATGGATTCCAGGCTCCTGGCTTCAGCCTGGCCCAGATGCAGCTGTTGCAGGCATTTGGGGAGTGCACCCCGCAGTCTCAGTGGCTCTGTCTTTCTGCCTTTCAAACAAAGTATAAAGAAAGAAAAGGAAGGAAGAAAGGAAAGAAACAGAAATGGGGAGAGGGGTGAATAAACTTTGGTCATCTAGAGCTTAGGGTAGCACTTCCTGCAGGAAGAACACACCAGGCATGTAGCCGTGCCCCTGGACGTCCTGTGTGGACACCCAGCAGCGCTGGGGGCGATCTGGCGAGCACGAGGCACGTGCCACTTCTGATTGGAGCCTCCCAGCACCCCTGCGAGTGTCCCCCCCCCCCCCGTGTCTCAGCAGGCAGCTTCAGAGAGGTGACCTTGGTGACTCGCCCAAGGTCACGAGGCTGGCAGGTGGCAGTCAGGACAAGAACACGGTCCCAGAACCAAGCAGGAGCGGCATCCTGTAGTAGTGGACCGAGCAGTGGCCTTGGAGATGGCCACGCCCCTGGCTCACCCCACTCGGCAGCCGAGCTCCTGTGTGTCCCCAGGGTGTGCATGCCTGCGTGTGGGCTGCTTGCCCTCCCCACATCCGCGTGTGGTCACGGCAGAGGCTTCCTGGAGTCGGCGCCTGCCCCCTGTAGGTGACGCGGCCTCTCTGGGGCTGAGCGTGATGGCTCCGAGCTGGAGCCCGCTTTGGGGGCCTCAGACCCGGGGAAGGCCACTTCCCTCTCTCTCACCAGGAGCGCCATGGTGGCCAAGCGTGGTAACGGCAGCGCTCTGCCTGCCCTTTCTGCTCCTCTTGCAGCTTTAATCGCCTCGACTTACCTCCGTACGAAACCTTCGAAGATTTACGGGAGAAACTGCTCATGGCCGTGGAGAACGCCCAGGGCTTCGAAGGGGTGGATTAAGCCGCCCCCGCCGGCCGCGGCCCGTCGGGCAAGTTCCGCTTGCACTTTCGCGTTGGCCTAACGGACTTTGCAGAGACGGTGGCAGAGCAGCAGCCGCGCGGCCGGGCTCCCGGAGCCGAGCCTTCGCCCAGGCCCTCGCCCGAGCCCCGCCGTGGGGACCCAGTCCCGGCTCGAGTTCCTGCCTCTTCCGCCACACTTGATGTGTACGCTAATTACATTTCAGGAGGACTGACTCTATTTATGTTGTGCCTCTGCAGGCAAAACCCTTAATAAATATTTTGCATACTTTCTAATGACAATGAATGGAATTAATCACTCGACAGGTATAGTATTACAACTCATGTTTACTTTTTCAGATGATTTAGACCGATTCTCAGATTTTATTTCACTACGATTAAAGGTGTCTCATGTACTTGGAAAAGCAAGCATACTTTTTTTTTGTATTTGAATTTCATACCAGGCTGAATTGTCAGTGACAGTTTTATTTTTTAAGTACGTCAACGCCCCGCTCTCGCCTTTATTAGAACTGGAAGACTTTGTCCAGAAAGCGTCTGCACATGAGTACTTTGGGAGAATTTCAAGTTCAGCAGTAGGCATCATGATCACTTTCTTCCACACTGAGGATAAAAACAAACCGGATGTTGCATCGTGGTCGTACATGCGTAGGTCCTAGCTGCGGGCTGACAGGATTGTCACGTAGCGTGATGAGTTGCGTGTGACCCCGGAAGGACAAGGACGCGTGCCAGGACCCCTTGGAGACAGGGCTGGACTGTGGTTTCTCGCGACAGAAACCGCCTCACCCTTTGCAACACTGCACAGCCTTGCTCTCACCAATCTTTCCTCTGCACTGTTGGCCGTTGGGACATTTGACTGCAACGTGGCCCCGCTGGATTTGACACCGTGGAACCCAGGCCTTGCTAGTGTCTTCCCTGGGCGTGGTTGCTAACGGTAGCTGCACGGCCAGGTCCTGCTCTACCCGCTCCGATGCAGAGGCACTTTATGTACCACGTGGAGGTCGTGTGGGGGTGGGGAGGGCGTTGTTGTCGGTTTGTATCCTGCACATTCGATGTGATGATGTTTCTCCTCCCTACACACGCCTTTGTGGTGCACTGTCCACCCGACCGATCCTGGCTACCGATGTGTGAACCCCCGTGTATAGCTGAGCCCACGGACCTGTCCACTCCAATTCTTTGCTGATTTCCGCTCCACGACAGAGACTCCCCTAGTAGGCTGTAGATCTAAGCAAGCTTTGTCAACTGTGACCTGTTGCATGCTTCGGCACCGTGTCCCGCCCGAGCTGTGTGTGTCGTGTGCTGTAGTTGAAGTACGGAGAAGACTGGATTTGAGCCCCAGAGGCCCGAGGGTCCCTGCACACTTGGAGTCTCTCCCCTTCACGAGGGCCCCTGACAGCTGTGTCGTGTTGTGGGAAGATGTCCAGGACAGCCTGGGAGTCCAGGATCCTGGCCCTCCCGCCCTCCCAAGCTCATGCTGTTCCACACTCTGTCGTAACAGCCAGGGGACACGGGAGAGAGAAGACTGTGCTTTCAATGGCTGTCAGGGCGTCATAAATGTGACCCAGCTGCAGGGACGAAGGGGCGGAATACCTTCTGTTTGCTCAGAGGCCGGGACACCTGGCGGGGGAGTGGAGGTCACAGCACCTGTGACAGGTGTCCCCATGGCACAGCCCCCCCCCCCCCCCGGGAGCCCTCTCCGTGCGGTGTCCGTCTGCTCTTGAGTCGTGCCAAAGCCCACAGTGTGTGCAGTGTGCCTGGGTGATTCTTGGGAGTGAGTGATCGTATAATTGTGGGAGGAGAAGTCCTGTCCCATCTGATGACTGGGATTCTTCTGTTACTCTGTGTAAACTGTACTGTTGGGAAGTGCTGAATATTTGCTCACTGCACATAAGGCCGAATATTGAAAATGTGAAAGAAAACCCACTCTGATGACTTGGAAGCCAGGGCCAGGTAAGGATTGTTGCAATATGAGTACTTGTGGGTCAATCATCACAAAGGATGCTTCAGTTTATCCCTCCCTCCCCCCGCCATGATACCTGATGTTAAAGACGACAAAATATCACTGGATGTGGAGGGGTTTTTTGTTTGTTTGTTTTTAAGAAATAAGATTCACTAGCCCTCAAAGACTGGTGAAGCTTCACTGTTGCCTCTGACCCCTGATGCTTGCTCTGTCGCTTTCGTGACGTCACTGCAGAGAAAATGCATTGTGAAGATGTGCCGAGAGCAGGTGGCGGGGTCAGCCTCCCACGGGGCGGGGTTGAGGCTGCCTGGCCCTGCGGTGCCCGTGGCCACACGGCTCTGTACCCGGAGCCTCTGCAGCCATTGGGATCACCTGCACAGTGGCAGCTTCAGGTCATTTCTCGTGGGGCCAGGTGGAGAGGCCTTTGCCGTGAGCCACCACAGCGCCCGTGGCTCTTGGCTACTTCCGTGGGATTCACATGGTGCGGTGCGTCCGCCCGCCACCTGCTGCCCCTGGAAAGATGTGTGTGAGGCCTTCGCCGCTCTTACTGTGCACACGGCTTCAGCGCTCTTTGCATTTTGCCAAAACCTTTGCCACCACTTGCTTCTGTGTAGCCAGTCCTCTGATAAAATGTGAGAACCAACAATACGTGATCTATAGCTGTTAGGTGACACTGGGTATTCCCTGTGTTCAGGTGGCGCATAATACAGAGCCACTTGGCCATGGCATGACGTGCTGGCGGATTCGGAGACGTGGTTTGCGAGCTCCCGGAACCACTGTCCTCCTGGACCGCGCTGCATGGACAGCGTGGACCTTTGCTGTCGGATCTGGCCAGGTGTAACTGGCTCTCAAGCCACCAGCATGTGCAGCAGCTTTGTAACAGCCGTTAAGAGCTGAGTCTTGTAGCTTCCTAGTAGTCCTGTGTGCCACCTCTGAAATTCTACACACTCTGAAGTGAGCCTGGGTTAATGAGCTCTCCAGCCCTTCCCCCACTGTGCTAGCTCCCCTCTTTCTTTCTCCTCTCTCCTCCTCACCCCTGACTGCACCCCTGCACTGGGCGGGACAAGTAGGAGGGTGCAGGGGATGCTGTCTGGTGTTGTTTTCTGCCTTGCCAGTAGGGAGCGCTGTGCAGGGTGCCTGCCTGCCTGCCCGCCCTGCTCCCTCCTGACCCTGGAAGACCATGCACTACCTCTGTCTCATTCAGGCATTGGAGTACACCCTGAGAAGTCACTTCAAAACTGCCAATTTCAGGACTGAGATGTGTTTGAAAAAAACATACTTCTAGCCTCCACTTTGTACTTTAGATTTTAAAACCGGGAAGAAAATGTGATACACTTTGGACCACTTTTTTAATTTCTGTAAGCCTTAAAGAGCAGTGGGCACACACTTGTGTACGCCCGCCCCAGCCCCCCCGGAGTGCGTGCACGTGTCGGAGCAGACGCTGAGGCACAGGGACGCGAGCTCATTGTTTGGTGTCTTCCGAGAAGGGCCGAGCTTTCCGTTGGCGTGGGAATTCCCAGGTGAGCCTCTTTCTCGACACCGGTCTGCGTGCGCGTTAACAGCAGCGCGTTTTTTTCTGTTGCAACGATGGGACTGTAGCAGCTTCGCCCTGGCTCCCACTGCTAGCGTCTTGCATCCTCAACCCTGTGTCGCACATGGCATCGGGAGCCTTTCTCGTGACAGTGACCCACGTCGCGGGACGTCTGTGTCCTGCCACCCTGTAGGCCGGTTTGCCCCTTGTGTGCCGCGGCTCGTGCCTGCGTGGTCAGTTTGCTTCATGTTGACTTTGCGTGACTTTGTTCTCCCTCTACCACTATGTATGTAACGCATACCAACATGACGTGCGTGCAAGTGCTGTCCAGAACACATGTATATATTTGTATAGCGTCGTGACACCTGTGTGAGTTACCTGGTTTCCAAGGAAAGCAAGCACTCGGTCTTGCTCGGTTTGCTCCAAGCTGTGTCCTGAGATTTGCTGTCACTTCTTAATTCAGGATCAATTTTCAAAACTGGGGGTGGGGGGGAGCGGAGGAACAGTGGCTTGTAAGGTAAAAAAAAGTTTCAAGCATTCCAAATGAATTCTCAGTGTTTCGTAACTTTTTATCATGAACCCCTTCCTTACAGGAACCAAGTACTATTTGATACCGTGGTACAAACCAAACTACCTTGACCTTTTTTTAAAGACAACGGATAGCGCTCATTTTCACAATCGGAACAGCTTTAAAATGTGGTTGAATTTGATAACACACAGGAAAAAAAAAAAAAAGTTGTGTTTCAGAAGAAGTCCTTTCTGCTTTGCTTTTCTCCCGAGAGAGCTAATGAGATTGGGGCTTGTTTTCCTGCCGGCCGGAGTAATGTGACAAAAGGGAGTTGTTGTAAAGAAATAATGCCACTTGTCAAATATTTAATAAAGGATTATGGAAGCTGGAGCCTTTTCTACATCAACTATTGTGGTTGTCTGATTTCAGGCCGCAAGCTGCTGCAGGAAGATACAGCATTGTAGTTTGCAGATGGAGAGTGAATTCACGTCCTGCCTCCCCCACCCCCAAAAACCATCCATGCAAAGCACGTGGCTGAAGCTTAGTGAGACGATGCACGTTCACTCATTCTTACCCACCTCCCGTTTTACCTGTTTGCCTACTTCCTGGTGATCCGAGCCTACCAAGGCGGATGGATCTCACCTCTGGTTTTTATCCAACCAGCCCTCAACTTCCGGGAGAGCTGGTGAGCCTCAGAGTGCAGCCAGGGTGGTTGTCCAAACAATACCACCCGCTCCAGAACTGCAGGAGGTGATGTCCAAGCAGGGTAGTGCAGTCAGCCCTTGGAGCCTTGTGACTGTCTCAGTGGTGAGTGGCTTCCAGCCAGCCATCCGTGCACTGCACCCAGAGCCTGCACCCGAGGACACGTGAGGGAGGTGTGTGGGGCCATGCTGAGCCACAGCATGGTGAGGGAGGTGCGGGTGCACTGGGCCACGCTGAGCCACGATAGACACAGGTGATGGAGTTGGGTTGGTTTCGTCACTCACGCAGGAGCTGGGGAGATGAGCTCCGCACCCTCCCTGCAGTCCAGGAGTGACCCAGGCGCTGGTGCAGCGTTCAGGCCCCCAGGGAACATGGTGGTGGCGTGGGGCGGCTCTCCCTGCCTTGGCTCTGAGGAACACCTTCAGCAGGCTCTCGGCTGGGAAGCAGAAGCCGCTCTGCATCCTCCCCACTGCTCCCTCAGGTGGGAGAGGATGTGCACCCACCTCAAGACCCTGGGACACGGGCGGCAGGTGTCCGGTAGGTATTCACAGGACACGCATCGGGCAGGGGACACTCAAGGCGTACGTTGACTTAAGACGCCATGCAGACTCCTCTGTGAGTGGGCACTGGCCCCGGCTGTGACTGGTGGGGACTTGGAATGGCTGGCTGACTTCAGTCCGTACCGAGCCCAGCTCAGGCTGTCCGTGCCCGGCTCCTATGCAGCGCCCCACCCTGGAGTGCCGCTCCTCGCCCTGCCAATGCCCCACGCTGCTGCTGTCTGCCTTCGGCTTCCCCTACAGCTCCCAGGTTGGCCCTGGCGCCCTCCCCAGTGGCCTGCAAACCCCAGGCGAGGGAGGGGAAGCCACATCCCCACAGCCTCCAGGCAGAGTAGAGTTGCCTCCCAGGCCTTGTGGGCACAACCCAAACTTGGCAGCTGTGCAAGGCTGTGAACCCGCCCTGCTCCTGGGTAGAATCTGGAGCGGGGCTGACGTGGAGGGCAGCGGGAGGAGGTCCCGTGTGTTCCCCTAGGCTCTTGAGCGCTCACCACGCCTTGGTGCTGGGCAAAGCCTCTGTCTCCCGCGAGGGGAGGGCCAGCTTGCACACCAGTTGGTCTGGGAGGCATGTGTGTTACTACAAGGAAGTGCACAACCAAATCGAGCAGACTTCAAGGAGATCCGAGACAAGCTCATGCTCTAGGATTAAAGGCAAATTTGGGGCCGGCGCCACGGCTCACTAGGCTAATCCTCCGCCTGAGGCGCCGGCACACCGGGTTCTAGTCCCGGTCGGGCCGCCTGATTCTGTCCCGGTCTCTCCTCTTCCAGTCCAGCTCTCTGCTGTGGCCCGGGAGTGCAGTGGAGGATCCCGCATGGGAGACCAGGAGGAAGCACCTGGCTCCTGGCTTCAGATCAGCACAGCGTGCCAGCTGTAGCGGCCACTTTGTGGGGGTGAACCAACGGAAAAAGGAAGACCTTTCTCTCTCAACTATGCCTGTCCAAAAAAAAAGGGGGGGGGGCAAATTTGGGGGCAGTTGGGAAGCCAAGTTGGGGGTTTCCAAATCGGGAAGCTGTCCATCCTGTCTGGCCTTGTCCAGACTGAGAACCCAAGGGAGCAGCCTCCGTGCCGCCTGCCAGGGCTCACCTCACTTAAATGTCCCGTGGACTGGGTGAGCCAGAGGGGCCGCCTCAGCTGTGGCTGGTCCAGTGCCCTCCTTTTCAGGGGGACCTCAGGGTTCGTGCCCTTGACCTATTCGTACGGGATCAGTACTGTGGCCCAGGAGGGCCGGGTTTTCATCTGGAGTCCAGGGACCAGGATTTGTTCTGAGTTGTGTCCCCGAGGACTGGTGGGACCTCCCTTCCCTGTGCAGACACAGAAAAAAACACGTGGACGTTGCTCATAACTGGAAACCACAGTCGTCCAGGGCCCCTGGCGTCCTCCCTCTGTGGCTCACAGTGGCACCAGAATGGCGTGTCCTGCACCCGGCAGGTGGAGAGGATGGGGGAGCTTGGGAAGGGGGAAGGCTTGGGGGCCACTTCCCCTGGCAGGAAGTCAGCCGCGTGGCACCTAGCAGCAGGGGGGGCTGAGCAGGATCCCGTGGCACTCAGACGAGAGGGAGTTCGGAGCCAAGCCAAAGTCTGCCATAGAGAGTTTGTTTTCGACCCTCACACCACATTGCAGAGTGGGTTTCCCCGTGCTGCTGCTGGCCAAGATCATGGATCCTCAGTTTTCTCTCTTCAGATCATACTCTTGCTTCTCGTAAGTCCCCCCAGCAGCCCCAGTTTGCTCTGTATCAACCCAGTGATGTAGAGACCCGCAGCCCCAGTTTGCATGCAAGCTAGCAGACAGGGAGCTAAAGAGACTTGCACAGTGGTGCTCTCAACCCAGACTGTCGGGCACAAAGGCACTGTTCGTTCGCCTCTGACTGCTGCCCGTCCACCGTCCCCTCCAGCAAACCTCTCCGAGGAAGAGCCCATGTGCGCATCCATGCTAAGATGTGAATGACTTGCCGGCGCAGCGGCTCACTAGGCTAATCCTCCGCCTTGCGGCGCCGGCACACCGGGTTCTAGTCCCAGTCGGGGCGCTGGATTCTGTCCCGGTTGCCCCTCTTCCAGGCCAGCTCTCTGCTGTGGCCTGGGAGTGCAGTGGAGGATGGCCCAAGTGCTTGGGCCCTGCACCCCATGGGAGACCAGGAAAAGCACCTGGCTCCTGCCATCGGATCAGCACAGTGCACCAGCCGCATCGCGCTGGTCGCAGGGGCCATTGGAGGGTGAACCAACGGCAAAAGGAAGACCTTTCTCTCTGTCTCCCTCTCTCACTGTCCACTCTGCCTGTCAAAAAAAGAAAAAAAAAAAAAGATGTGAATGACTGATAGGCTAAGCACATGACCCCTTCCAGAAGCGTTTTTATTTTAATCAATGCCAGCGGTGATGCTTGACTTAAGTCAACAGGAATAAAGGTCAAAATCCTGGCATTTGGGTATTGGGGTGTTGAATAGGAGAGATGTTCGAGGGGAAGGGGGGGCCTTCTTCAAGCTGCAAAATAGTTTGTGAAGGTGGGACAATGGCTCAGTGTAAAAAGACAGACTGTTCTCAGAGACAGCCTGCCTCAGCATGCCCAGGGAGCTGTACTGTCCCGGCTGCCTCAGGAGAGAGCCCTCCCCTCCCCCACAGCAGCCTTGCCCCACAGAGATGGTGCACCTGGGAACAGCTCAAACCCGGCTCGGTCCAACAGTGTTGAAGGACCGAAGAGACCAGAGGCTGAGGGCTGGGCCTCCCACTCCTAGGAACTCATGAACCCTGCAATGTCAAAGTTTTAGAAGTCTCCTTTCCATAAAGGAACTAGATACCAGTCTATAACCATGGCAGGAGGTTTGAGTTTAGGATTCGTCTTCTGCATTCTAGTCATTGCGCTGTCTCATCGGTGTAAGACCTCGGCCACCCTCCCGACCCCATGTGCCTTCCCTGAGTCCCTGTGGAATTAGACGATCCTTGCTGGCTCATCAGATGAGTCAATCACAAGGACGTGCCCTTCCCAATGCAATGCGTGTTCAAACAACAGTGAGGCCTTCGAACCCAGGACCCCAGTTAAAAAGTAACAGGCTGGACCCTGGATCGATTGGAGGGGCAAACAGCAGCTGCAGAAGCCAAGAGGCAGCGTTGGGAAATCAAGCAGTGGTCATGCTCCGCGGGGGTCCAGGAATCCCCCGGGGCCCCTGTGACCTTGAGCCATTGCTAAACATCGATGCCAACCCTTAAGCTGGCTTCTAGAGCTGCCTCTGGCTGGCCCTCTGCAAGGTCCTGCTACAGTGTCCCTTTCTCTCCCGCTCCCACCATCTCAGCCTTGTTAGCTAATGGTGCGCTCACTGCCTGCTGGACAATCCTCCTTCGCCCCCTGTGGCACTGCTGCCTGGAGCTGGGGGCCGTTGGGGCTGGTTGGGCAGTTGGCCAGCAGCTCTCTGGGTGCAGGCATCTAGTGGCCATTTTCCCAACCTCCTCCTCCCCTTTGCTATGTGGAGTTCAGTGTCAGCGACCCAGGCTTCTCCCCTGGAGCTCCGTCTTGAGGTTCCAGGACAGCTCACTCTCCTGGCTATCTCATTCCCAAAATGCTCCCTTATTCTCCCCTGGGTGTAGACGATTCCCATAATCTGCCCTTGGGGAGCTCACTCTCCCTCACCTCTTTCTCCTGCAGTTCTCTGCCAAGGTCATTACCTCCAGATGGAGAGTTACCAGCTCTACCTCTGGCCCTGACCTGGCTCCAGACCCTCGGCTCCACTGCCTGGCGGCCATCACCACAGCACATTCCCCAAGTCACTGCAGCGCCGGTGGCCCCAGCTGGACTCTCCTTTCCAACCTCACCTCCTCGACGCTAACTAATTTCTGGGACTTGAACCCTGCTGTCTTCCAGGAGTCCACGTTGGAATTCCATCTTTGACCTTTGATGAGGCTTCGCTCCCCTCTTCCGAGTGAGAATAGTGACAAGTGCAGTTTTCTGCTCATTCATTCATTCATTCATTCCACACACAGGCATTGGGAGCCTGCCACAGGCCACACACTTGCAGGGGCTAGGAATCCCGGCAATGCAAGCAAAGCAGAAACTGTCATTCTTGCCAGAATGAAATCCTTGCTCTTCTGACGGCAAACAAATCATCAGCATAAATGACCACAGTGTATGATGTGTGAAACCTTGATGAAGCCTGGGAGAGAAAGGGGTCGGGTAGTACAGGAGGTGCAGCTGCAGACAGGGCAAGCGGGAGCAGAGCTCCAGCAGGAGAGAGTGAGCCAAGAGGCGGCCTGGGGAGAGGGTTCGGGCACTGGGCAGGAGTGGGGAGGGTGGCGACATGAGTCGTCATCTCCACGTGCGAGGGAAGGAGACGAGGAGAGAATGGAACACAGAGGGCCAGGGCCGGGCTGGGGAGCGTGAGTGCCAGCGGTGGTGGACGGTCCTGAAAGCGGTGAGCTTGAGGCAGAGGAACCCAGGAAGGCCAAGGTGAGAGGCAGCCCGGAAAAGAGGCATGGCCTGAGAGGTGGGCGGGGGGGAACAGGAGAGAATGGGGTTCCAGGGAGGTGGGGGGAGTTATTTATGAAGGAGGAGCCCCCCAGGGTGGCAGTCACTGCTGGTGGGTCAGCAAGATGGGGCTGGCCGAGGGGTAGGGGGTGGGCAGCATCGGCGACCTCCACAGGCCAGGTCTGGGTGGGATTCATAAACATAGAACAGGCTCACGGGAGAAGGGGAGGAGGAACAGCTTGGGCACCTGCCTTCTCATGTCCCTGTCCACTGCCCCTCCACCTGTTTGCCTCTTACAACAGCCTTCTGACTATACAGTACATCCCAAGGTCCTGGGGCCCCCACCTGTATACATCAGGAGCTCAAATTGTCATAACCCTGTGTCTGAGGCTTCCCACCCCGCTGCCTCTAATAACTCATCTGGGGTGGGGGCTGCCTCAGGGTCTTTCCCAGGTTCCTGCCCTGGAGTCCTTGCCTTTGTCAAGCTGGGAGCAGTGGGTGTGGCCGGGCACATGGTCCCGGTGCAGCTTGACCGTAAGTAAGGGGAAGAAAAAGACCTGGAGATGAACTCTTCAGCTTATTCCTCAATCCCAGAAACAATTCTTTTTCAAAACCTCGCTTAAACAGGGCAGGGTGGGGGTGGGGGTGGGAGCAGGGGTGCAAGAGTCTAGGTGTTCACAACATTGTCTTCCTACACCTGCTCCCCAGCCTGGGGACAGCCCGCTCAACTTGCAGGACTGCTCCCAAGGGAGAGGAATGAAAGGACCACGTGAAAAGATTTGTACAAATCCTACCACAGATGTCACAGACCGAGGGGGAATGTGACAGCAAAAAAGATAGGAGCAGGCCAGCGCCGCGGCTCACTAGGCTAATCCTCCGCCTTGCGGCGCCGGCACACTGGGTTCTAGTCCCGGTCGGGGCGCTGGATTCTGTCCCGCTTGCCCCTCTTCCAGGCCAGCTCTCTGCTGTGGCCAGGGAGTGCAGTGGAGGATGGCCCAAGTGCTTGGGCCCTGCACCCCATGGGAGACCAGGATAAGTACCTGGCTCCTGCCATTGGATCAGCGTGGTGCGCCGGCTGCAGTGCGCCGGCCGCGGCGGCCATTGGAGGGTGAACCAACGGCAAAGGAAGACCTTTGTCTCTGTCTCTCTCTCTCACTGTCCACTCTGCCTGTCAAAAAAAAAAAAAAAGACAGGCGCAGTGTCCTCCACGCGGAAGCATTCATTGAGTCAAAAATAGTAATCGATCCTCCTTTATGCCGAACGTTGTGCTAAATCCCTGATCTTTGCTCTTAGGATTGTCATGTCCAGATGTCTTGGGGGGTCCAGGTGTGTTACGGAGTGCCGAGGGCTTGGGCTTGGTTTGGTCTGCATTTTAGGAAAGTAGTTCCTTGTATACACCACTCTGTAACACCCCGGGCAGCCTGGGGCATCACTTTGTCAGCAAACTCACTCATATTTCTACAGCAAACACGAGACCTCACACTAAGGGGAACACAGACCATAAAGAGCCTCGTGTCAGGTGAGGCCAGGGTTTGTGGCCCTCAATCAGATTGCTGCACGAGGACCAAAGGTGAATTCTGGAATCGCAGGTAAGGGCACATACCCCTGCCCGGAACTCCCAGGTCCAGCGAAGGCTCCCTGGAGGAGACGAGGCTGGAGCCCACAGCTGCCCTCCACTGCGCAAGAAGCTGGAGAGCTCTTTGCAGACAAAAGTCTGCAAGGACTGAAGCACCCCAGAGGGCAGCTGGTGCCCACCCTGAGGGAAGCAGGGTCCTGCCGCCCAGGGTGGGAGCCACCCAGGCACTGCAGTGAGCAGGCGGCACTGACCGCTTGCACCCACACCCCAGCTCCTGGGCCCGCACAAACAGAGCCCTGCCCTGTGCATTGAGACAAAGTCTCCAGCAGATTCTTACCCATGCTGAGCTTTGAGAGCCACCATTTATTGGACGCATCCAATGTGCCATGCTTTGTTCTAACACTTCATCCTTCTAACTTCTTGACCAAGAGGGCACGTTACTCCCATTTTCAGATGGGAAAAATCAAGGTCCAGAGAGGACTTAGAAAATGCATTCAAGGTCACAAAGCTTGGAAGAGCTAGAGCAGGTGGGCTGGCTTCATAATTGGTGCTTTGTACTCCGCAGCCTCTTTGGCATTGGTATGGGAGAGCGTCCCTCCACCTGCAGCCACAGCTAAGCGGGGGGCTCCCTTCCTGAAGGCGCAGGTCACTCCCTGTGTCCCCATGCACAGGACAAGGACTCCTCCCCCAGCAGCTGTCAGGAGAGGGAGCTCTGAGGGCAGGGAACCAATGACCAGTTGGTGATAAGCCTACTACCCCCACGCTTGGAGCCCAGATGCTCTCTTTATCTGTCCTGTCTCCCTGTTCCAATAGTGTCTGTTTGAGGAGGCCAGTCCAGGGGTTGGAGTCTGCTGACCGAATGGTCAGGCCTGGTGTGCAGGCTGCCCCCTTCTTGTGTCAATTCCAAAAGGCAGGGTTTGGCAATAAAGTCAACAGACAGCCCCTCTTCATCTCCTCGCAAACACCTGTGCAGCACTGTTTGGAGACAGTTGGGCAATGCTGGGTGGAGCTGAGTCAGAGGAAAAGTCCACTTTGACTTGTAAGTCTCCATGCTGGCTTCCATTTACAAGTTTCCATCCACTCGCCCACAGGTAACTTCCAAGCCAGAATGAACCAGGTTTACATGCATTCCCCCACCTCATCTGCCCACTGTGGAATCACCACAGGCATCAGAGAATGTTCTGGAACATTCCATTTACTCCTCTCCCACAAGGTGCATACACCATGGGGTCTTCCCACATCAGCACCCAGCAATCTCTTTTTTTAAAATTATTTTTCCCAATGAAGCCTTTTGTTTAATGAATATAAATTTCATAAGTACAACTTTAGGAACATAGTGATTCTTCCCACCATACCAGCCCTCCCACCCACACTCCCACCTGTCGCTCCCCCTCCCTCTCCCCTCACCAATCTCATTCTCCATCAAGATTCATATTCAATTAACTTTATACACAGAAGACCAGCTCTATAGTAAGTAAAGATTTCAACAATTTGCACACACACACACACATACACACACACACACAAAACCTGAGAACAAGCTTTACGGTTAACTATCATAATACAACAAATTAAGGACAGAAGTCCTACATGGGGAGTTACTGCACAGTGACTGTTGTTGTTAACAATTAACATTTCTATATATGGCATTAGTTATCACCTGAGGCTCTTGACATAAGCTTCCTAGGCTATGGAAGACTTTTGAATCCACAAACTCCATCAGTATTTAGACAGGGCCATAGGCAAAATGGAAGTTCTCTCCTCCCTTTAGAGAAAAGTGCCTCCTTCTTTGTAGGCCACTTCATTCCACTGGGATCTCACAGAGGTCCTTCATGTAGAGCATTTTTTGCCACAGTGTCTTGGCTTTCCATGCCTGAAATGCTCTCGTGGGCTTTTCAGCCAGACCAGGAATCCTTAAAGGCTGATTCTGAGGTCAGAGTGCTACTTAAAGTGATTGTCATTCTATGAGTCTGCTGTGTGGACTGCTTCCCATGTTGGAACATACTCTCTATTTTAATTCTATCTGTTATTATTACCAGACACTTGATCCTATTTATATGATCACTTTAACACTTAATCCTATCTATGTGCCAGCAACCTCTTTTTGATGGCCATGGAGTTCCTGCCCAGAGACAACTGTTGTCCAGTGCAGCCAACACAGAGAACACCGGGATCCAGTGTGTGGTGAGAAAAGTGGCCCAGAGCCAGTGGGAATAGCAGCTGTCAGCTCGCAGAGTGTAAATGGAGAGGGAGTGTTACAGATTTGCTGAAAACCCCTGGTTTTACAGACGAGGAAACCAAGACTCAGAGAGGGAGGTGTCTTGCTCCCACTGCCCAGGTAGCCAGTGGTGTGGGTAGGGGGAAGTAAATCCATGCCACCTACCATGCTTGGGTGGGTTTTCCCCACCAAATGCCTTGGCTTCTTTGTGAATTATCTTCACACTTTCCCAGTTCACTTTCCCAATCTTCAACTGTCCATTCATCCATTCTGGACGTGAGCCTGGGTGAACTGCTGGTGCAGGCTAGCCTCTGTCCCAGAGGCTCCCTCCCAACACTTCGTGGTCATCTTCCTCCCTGCCCTTGCCCCCACCTGCTCCCTCCAGCACCTCTCTACTGGCTGCAGAGAGAAGGAAGCGCCACACCTGAGCACTGCACTGGGGCAGAAGGGTGGCCCCTGAGGGTTCCCAGCCTGTGGAGACAGAAGCCACTGAAATTTTAAAAACTGATTTCCCCTCTAACAGAGTGGAAACAAATGGGTTGGGCAAGTTCCAGAATTTGGAGGGGGCACAGACTAGAACAGGCCCAGCTCACAAGGGGCCCAGTGGCAGCACTAGAGGGAGAGAATGCCCAGTGTCACTGATCTGGGGACCATGTAAGATGCTGTCCCAAAGCGTGGGGCAGTTTCATGCAGCACCACTGAGATGCTTCCTGCGAGACAAAGACACGGAATCAGTCAGGAGAGAAATGATGTTCGGGTAAGTCCTTCACCGACCAGAAAGACAGAAACTCTATGAGCACGACACGAGCATCTGTGAAGCAGTCGTTTTGTGCTACGCAGCTGGAGACTGGGTTTTCTGAGGATTTTCGTGGATTCATTTACAGTAGCAGGAATGGAGACAGGGTGGGGAGTGTCCGGTGGTGGCCACTGCCCTCAACCTGCACCAGAGGGCTAGTCCCAGTTCTGGAAAGCAGCTGATCCAACTGATTTTTTTAAAGATTTATTTGTTTATTTGAGAGGCAGAGTTACAGACAGAGAGAGAGAGAAAGAGGTCTTCCGTCTGCTGGTTCACTCCCCAAATGGCCACAATGGCCAAAGATGAACTGATACGAAGCCAGGAGCCAGGAGCTTTTTCCAGGTCTCCCACACTGGTGCAAGGGCCCAAGCACTTGGGCCATCCTCCACTGCTTTCCCAGGGCATTGCAGAGAGCTACACTGTAAGGAGAGCAGCCGGAACTCGAACCTGTGCCCATATGGGATGCCAGCACCCCAGGCAGCGGCTTTACCCACTATGCCACAGTGCCAGCCCCAATTCGGCAGGTGTTGCTTCTAGATGCTCGAGGTGTAGCAAGTTTTGTGTGGCATCACCGAAGACAACTCAAATGAATTCAGAGCCCTTCATTCTGCACATCTAACTTATTCCTTACCTTGGCCCATTTTGCAAGCAGGAGGTGGGCCACAGCCAGCCAGCACACTCTGTGGCTTGAGCTACTAAACAGCATGGGTCAGAGGTGCCAGAACTTGGCCTGAAAGGGATTGAACAGGAGGGTTCTGCCCCCAAATGGTGGGTGGGGGAGGAAGGGGAGGCCTTGGAAAGAGCCAGACAACTGGAAGAAAGGTCCCATTCACGGGACTCTGCCTTTCTCAGCCACCTGGACAGAGCTCAAGGGACAGCCCCCAGGGTTGGGTGGGCATGCCCGTGGCCTACACTGACATGGCCAGGCTCAGGTCCCCAACAACAAAGGGGAGTCGGCTACTGAGCTCAGACCCAAAAGACTTGAAGTTGGGACCACGGTCTCTCAGAGACGGAGCCGTGTTCAGACCGTGAGCATCTGGAGATGTACCCTGAAGAATCAGCCTGCAGACCTGAGGCTGGAGCGCAGCAAGAAGCTGCATCACAGCCGGCTTTGACCTTGTGAAAGACTGAGGGAGTCCCAGGAACAGCTTAAGCAAACCACCATCCATTCTCACCGCAGAGCCCCGTGACGCTGGAGGGCGTGGATCAGGAAGCGTCCATCCTTGGAGAGTAAATCCAAAATTCTGCCCACCCCAAACGCCCGACACCCACCTGCTTGTGCACAGACTCCCTGCATTGTTTTTCAATGCAGCTGAAGCAGCTCCCGCAGCTTCTGTCGCTGGATCGTGTCCAATTCTCTTAGAACCCCCGCCTCTTTCATGACTCACCCCTTCCCCAGTGGCTCAGTCCTGGACTCTCTCCTCCCCCGACGCCTGATACTGGGGACAGGGCAGGGGAGGGGACGAACTCTCAAATTCGCTGGTGTCACGCCAGAGGCAGGGCCTGGTGTCCAGCACGGAGGGCTCTGTGGGGTGCTGGGGGTCTCTAAGTAGGTGGTTTTCCTGGGTCTGGCCTCTGGTTCACTCAGGTCCCTCTGGCACTGGGTACCCATCAGAGAAGGAGCCTTGTCCCCTTGGGGCCCATTCTGGGGTTCACATCCCTGAGCCCCTCTCAAAGTATTCCATGGCCCTGCACCTCCTTCACCTCCCCTCTGCCCTTCCATGGAATTCAGGGAAAGCTCAGGTGTGTCCTCTCGGTACCCACTGAGGCCCTGGGGAATGTCCCAGGAACCCAGCAGGTGCAAGCTGCTAAGAGACACATGGAGCTGTCTCAAGTCTCTCACCACCCTTCTTCCTTGGTGCAGCCTCATGTGGGGCCTCAATTCTAGCACTTGGCAGGCCCAGGCACCGTCCCCCTTCCAGCCCAGCTCCATGCATGACTTACTGTGAGTACTTCCTCATCCACCACCATGGCAGGAAGAAGTTGGGGAGGACAGGAAGTGGCTTGTCCCTGGCACATGCGTCCCCACCACCTTACTCGCTGCCTTCTGCCAGCTTGGGGCCTTGGCTGCCATTCCCAGACAGTAGGAAAGCTCCATCTATCCTGTTATTCAGCCAGGAGGAGAGGATGGAAGAACCCATGTGCGCTGACACACATGACCTTCCCAACACACACTGACTCTCCACGGCCTTGGCTGCAGTCAGAAATACTCGAAAAAATGGCATGATGGTAATGAATGTGGGTGGTGGAATGATGGCCACTGGCAACGGAGCCTGTCTGGCAACAGGATGTGATTGGTTAGGGCATAGACCACCCCTTGACCAGATTGGCTGTCTTGGCTATATAAGCTGCTATACCAACTGAAATAAATGAGTCTGCAGGCTGCTTTCCTCTAGCTTGCTTTCACCCGGCTCCCAGGGTCTGTGTGGTGACTCTGCCTCTTGCCTCCACTGCACTCCTCCTCTCAGAACGAATCCACAGCAACACGTGTGTACAAGCCTTTCTTCTCGCCACTGCTCTCTAAATGACTCTGTGTACCAGCTGTCCACACAGCATTCGCATTGTATTAGGTATTCCCAGCCATTTAGATGTGACTTTAAGTACACAAGAGGGTGTACATGACAGGCAAACACGGCAGCATTGGGTATAAGGGTCCTGGGCATTCTCAGATGTTGGCACGAGAGGTATCTGTATAGTGAAATTAGAAAGCAAGATTTAGAACACTCTGCGTTATGGCCCTGATGTGTACAGCAGAATGCTACAGCTTGGGTAAATTACACACAATGGGAGTCCATGCGGCTCACGATTCTGGAGCTGGGAAATCTAAGGTCAAGAGGTCCCAGCTGGTCAGGACCCTCTTGCTGCATCATAGCGTGGTGGGAGAGGCCTCATAGTGAGACAGCATGGCAGGGGGGGGGAGGGGTGACCTCTCCCACCCACCCATTATACCCAACCCACTCCCCTGCCAACAGCTTTCCTGCTTTGCACAAGAGCGAAGCCCTCGCCACTGGGTCACCTGTAAAGGCTGCCCCTCCATAGTGATATGGCTGCAGACACATTTCAAAGTGTGTGGTGGAGGGGCATGCAAACCACAGCTAGCAGGGAGGACGCAATGCGCACATATGAGTCTGGGTCTGCGGTCCATTCCTGCGAAGGGACAAGAAGTTACAGAGGTTGCTGTGGGGAATGGGGCCTGGGTCCCAGCTCTCACGCTGGGTCTCTCTCTATGCATGGTTGGGAGCAGACACCCAGTGAGATAACAACCTCAGAAGGGAGGGAGATTAAACCAATCAGAGGGGCATTTCCATCCATAGTTCAAAGGCAACAGTGAATGTCAGAGAGGGTGACTGCCCCACGTGTGTGCACCAAGGATAAGGGGCCTGTGGCCAGCAAAGGGGAACTAGACGAGTTAGTGTTATAAAAATGCATTTACAAGGCAGGTGGTGAGAAACCAGGCACTCTCTTGTTCTGATTCCACGTGCGCTTTTTCTTTCTTCCACCCACCTTTGAGAAGCTGAGCACCCTGAAGAGAGTGGGAGCAGCCCCATCAACAGCTGGCACTCGTCCATGCTGCTGGATGCCATGTGCGATGTCTCCATGGATCCGCTCACCACCTGTTCCTGGACCTCCTGGTACCCTCGTTTGACAGAAGGGAGAACAACTGCAGGGGTGCTGGGTGACTCGGGTGGAGTCACAGTTTGAGGGTGGCAGAGTGACAATTTGGCCCCGGGTTCTTCATCTCCAGCTCGCTGCCCGCAGGGAGACGGCACAGTGGTGTGACCGTTGACCCACCTCTTCTCTCTGAATGTTCTGACTTCTAATGCTGCAGGCTCAAATTTTAAAGGAAGAATTTGAGTTTAAAATATGGTATGTCTGATAGAGACACACAAAATTCAAAATTCAAATACAAAATTTACTTCTAAAGGCAATCCGAAAATCTTAAAATGTAGCGTGGGCAAGAAGTAGGCTCCCTAGAATATTCTCTTTTAGAGTTTTCCTTCCCAGCCACAAAGGCTAGTCCTGCATATTGATCAAATCTTGGAATAGACTGTAGGCTCCTTGAGATAGGAGTTTATGTTCTTCATCTGTACTTCTCCAGGGACCAGGACAGGGCCAGGCAAACAGGGGCTTCAAACATGTTGAATGCACGGAGAAGCTGCTTTGGGGGATGGGATCTGGGTCCCAGCCCTCACTCTAGGCATCTATGGATGGTTCAGAGCAGACTGCCGGAGAGTGCTTGGATGGATGGATGGATGGATGGATGGATGGATGGATGGATGGATGGATGGATGAGTTGATGGATGAATGGATGGATGGATGGATGGATGAGTTGATGGATGAATGGATGGATGGATGGATGAGTGGGTACATAGATGACATATGTATGCAGGGATGCATGGATGGGTAGAATAGTGAATAATTTCTCCTCTAAGCCTGTTTCTATATAAGCTCTCTGGAAAAATTGGTGTCAAGCCCCCTGAGCACCCTTGGTACCCATTAAAAAGCTTTGACATTTTTCCCTCCACTGTGTCTTCAGGTAATTTCCAGGTTTAAAAAAATCTGCATGGCGCACTAGGTTAATCCTCTGCCTATGGCGCCAGCATCCCATATGGGCACCGGTTCTAGTCCTGGTTGCTCTTCTTCCAGTCCAGCTCTCTGCTGTGGCCTGGGAAAGCAGTGGAGGATGGCCCAAGTGCTTGGGCCCCTGCACCTGCATGGGAGACCAGGAAGAAGCACCTGGCTCCTGGCTTTGGATTGGCACAGCTCCGGCCATTGCATCCATTTGGGGAGTGAACCAACAGAATGAAGACCTTTCTCTCTGTCTATCTCCCTCACTGTCTGTAACTCTACCTGTCAAATAAATAAATAAAATCTTTTTAAAAAATCCAGTTACAAAAAGGTAAGTACAAATTCCTCCAGCTTCTCTTTTCCTTAAAATTGACCACCTCTTTTTGGCCAGTGACCCCTGGTCTATGTCCCTGCAGGGATCCTGTCTATCTGGCTTCCTGGACCTAGCAGGTGACTGGAATGCAGGAGACATCCAATCCACATGGACTGAGTAAGTGGATGAACTCAAGTCCCTCTCCCCACTGAGACCCAAATATGTGCACTTACTGATAAGTTATATCGATGTTTGAACATACCTGAAAATTACATGTAAGGTACAGGTACTACAAAGGAGGAAATGAACACTTATAGAGGTTCTAAGATTTTCTTCCAGCATCTCAGAAGACCGCTCTGTACTCCCCCAAGAGTGCTGGAGCCCACATGGAGCCCACCGCCCACGGCGTCAGGAGCACCACTCACTCAGTTCTATGTGGGATCTCTTGTGCCCACAGAAGGCCATGAAGATGGGGCCAGCACTGTGGTATAGCGGGCGGCAGCAGAGGCCAGCACTGTGGCATAGCATCCCATATGGGTGTTGGTTTGTACCCCGGCTGCTCTACTACTTATCCAGCTAATGTGCTTGGGAAAGCAGCAGAAGATGGCTCAAGTGATTGGGCTCTTGCCACCCAAGTGACCCAGATGAAGCTTCTGGCTCCTGGCTTCAGCCTGACCCAACACTGGCCATTGCAGCCGGCTGGGGAGTGAACCAAAGGATGGAAGATTCTCTTTCTCTCTCTCTGTAACTCTGCCTTTCAAATAAATAAATACATATTTTTTTAAAAAAAGCAGCAATGAAGATGACACCAATAAAAGCAACACAAAAAGCAGTTGTTTTTTAAGTACTTATTTGCCAGCCAGGCACTGGGACAAGTGTTCTATGCTAATTACTCTCACGGGTATTTCATACCGTGGCTGACATATCAGTAGGACCCGGCAAAAGGGCAGCATTTGTGAATCCTTGTTATGGCATTTTTACCACTGACGTGGTATTTTCACTCTGAGCTTTCTCCACTGAGGAAATCTGCCTACACTTTTCTGCTTGCTCATACTAGGGGACAGGGGACAGAACTGGCACTGAAGCTGTGGATCTGAATCCCAGTCCAGCCCCTCAGGAGCTGAGAAACCCCGGTGGACACGTTCAGTGTTGCTGATGTCACTCTTTTCACCCTTACAACGGGAAGCCTTGTAGGCATTTTGCAAGGGGGCCATGAGGATTCTGGGACTGCTTTCTCCACTGTCAGCTGCAGCTCACTGGGGTCCTTCACAGGGACTGTCTTTGTGGGCCACCCTCAGTCCTCGGTCCCCTCCTGGAACTGGGGCTCAGAGAAGAGGTGCAGCGTCCTCTGTGTAGAGCACCGGCATTGTGTTTGCCACTGCTCATGCCTAACGGAGCAGCAGTCCCACGTGGATGACGTCAGCTGACTTTGTGGCCCCAGAAAACACCCAGAGGTTGCAGCAACAGCATCAGACTCCATCTTTCTTTTTGAAAAAAAAAAAATTATTTGTTATAGTCCAGAGGTTTTTTGTTTTATTTTTTTTTCCTTTTACATTTATTATATCGTGAATTCATAGGGAATAGGTTCCAGTAGCTCAGGCTCCTTTCCACTGGTTCTGACAAAGTAGGTGAAGAAATCTTCCTTGCCCAACCTGGCTGGAAATGCACACCCCCCACCCCCAAGTGCTTCTTGTGCAGTGTGGCTTAGGAGGGGAGCGGAGAAAGGGAAGCTGTGAGGCAGAGGACAGGAGACTAAATAGACTCACCTCAGTGTCACTGAACCCCAAAGCTCCCGATGCCAGAGCTGTAAGATGGTTACACCAGCCACTGTTAATTGTACTTGAGAGTGCCAAAGCTAGCAGGTGAAGGAATCCATCACAGAGCAAAGTGCCCGCCATCCAGAGCCAGTCTTCACCGGCAGCTCGGGATGAGTTTGGACAGAGTTCAGAGACATTGACCTTTCTGCCTTCTGCTGAATAGGGGAGACGTTCTCCTGCACCTTGCAGCTCTCTCCGACGCCAACCCCGCTGATGCAGATGGGCCCTGCAGGTTTACTGGCAGCCTGGAAGGTTCTTCTCCTTCCCTGGTCTGCTCAAACTTGGCCACACCCAGCTGAGCTGCCTCCTGCCGGAACGTGTGCTTGGAACATAGGTCCCTAACGTGAAAACCATTAACAGCGAAATACACTTCAGGGGGCTGGTGTTGCGGTACTGTGTTAAGACTCTGCTTGGGGACACCCACAGCCAGCACTGAAGAGCTTGAGTTGAAGTTCCACCGCTGATGCCCATCCAGCCTCCTGTTACCATGCAGATGGATGATGGCTCAAGTACTTGGGTCCCTGCCACCCACAGGGGAGACCTGGGTGGAGTTTCAGGCTTTGGCTTCAAGCCTGGTTTGGTTCTAGCTGTTGCAGGCATTTGGGGAACGAGTCAGCAGATGGAAGGTCAGTACCTCCATCTCTGTCTCTGTGTCAACCACACGGTCTTTTCGCATTTCTCTTCTTCTCCCTCCTGTCTGGCCCATTTGGCCACTAACGCTGGAGGGGCGGTGGCCTGAGACACTCACCCCTCCAGCACTGCCTCCACCAGGGGCCGCATCACCGACTTCCAGCAGTGGCTCTTCTCCGTGTGCCATCTCTTCCCTGTCGGCTGACTCCCAAGCACTTTTTCATTGTTTTTGTTTTGTTTTGTTTTGTTTTGTTTGTTTGTTTGTTTTGTATTTTGCCTTCTATTTGCCTGAAGTTGTCTTCTGGGGGGAGATAGTCCAACTTCTTCATTGATAACAGAGATAATTGCTATTTGTCATACCTGAGTCTGTCTTAGTTCGCTGAGGTGTGGTACTTTTTTTTTTTTTTTTCCGTACAGACATTCCTAAATATTCCAGGAATGGGTACAGGAAGGAAAATCATACATTCCTATTGAATTCCTTTCTAAGAAACAAATTTCCAACAGTGGAATTTCAGGCAGTAGTTTAGGGCCAGGAGAGGAGGAAAGAAGGAAGGATGATTCTTGGGTTTTTCAAGTTGCTCTCTTTCCTTGAGGTCAAACAGCAGGAAGCTTGCATCAAGAGACTGGAGGGCCACCGAAGGCCCACGGTCACCACGACAATTGCCTGTCCCATTGGCACAGCTGCCACAGTTCTCTTGCTTCTTCCTCTACCCAAAGGGTGACAGAGCCACTTCTGCCAGTCTCCACCCCTGCTACCAACTGCCCACCTCCTGGCCCGTGTCAACGTCGAAAGAAACCCTTGCAGAGAAAGGAGCAGACTGGTTCAGTTAGTAACCAATGTCCAGACTAGGTGCCTTCAAAAGCCACTGTCCAACACAAGCCAGTCACCAGGACCTAGAGGGACCAGCCAAGGCCATTGGGGAGGGCTCCGTTCTGCCCTGAAGCCTGTGGCCAAGATGAATCCTCCACAGGGCCCAGGGAGGTGAGGGGCACACCGGCCTGTGACTGTGGAGTGGCTGGATCCCAGTGGGAAGCAGCTGCTTAAGGCCCTTCGCTCTGGGGTGTGGGAGTCCCTGCTGTGTCTGGTGAAGGCGGGCCTTCCGTGGAACCCGCAGGCTGGGGATCTGCCGAGTCAGAGACTCTAGTTCAGGTCTGGGTTTGAGCTT